CGCTTGCAGTCCAAAGCTACACGTGCGCAGCACCCGTGAATACCAGTAATGCGAGCAGCACAGCAGTGGGTGGCGCGTCGTTCGTGTTGGATCGCCCGCAGCCGGCCATAGCGGGAGAACTGCGTGCGACAGTGTACAACAACAAGTTGGTGGTCACCTTCGACATTGAGTTCTTCCCACCAGGCAGTGAGTTCACTGTGCACTTTGCCTCAGGAGCTGTTGTTGATCTTTATGGTGGACAGTTCTACCACTCTGCAACCAATATTGTCGTTTTCGATCCGCAGGTAACGAGTCTTCTTGCGCTGGCATCAGAAACGTATGCTTCCCCGCCTCTGGTCGCGCTGAGCCGCGACGCGAGTCGGGACGAGATTGCGGCCACGGTCGACGAGTGTGAACGCTCGAAGAAGCGTGGTGTTGTCGGGGGCGCGAAGGATCCTCTTTTGCTGCTGTATTCGCCTCAAAAAATGCAAACGGACTTTGCTGGTCAGGAATTCTTGTTCTTTTTCCGTGAACCACTGGAAACGGTGCGTTTTGACGGAACTGTGATGAACACATCCGTCTCAGGGTGGGAGCAGAACCTCTACCTCATCGTGCACGAGGTGAGAAGTCTCACCTCAGAATTGGACTCTCTCGACACGCCCATGGACGACTACCGCTACCGCTCAGCGGACTGGGGAACCGCGGTCATGGGTAGCAACGGCGCTCAGACTACAAGCGCCGCGGACGTGCGACTCAACACTGGATCCACACTTCGCGCGCATCGGCAAGCTTTGTTCACCAACTACTCGCAGACGTCGGAGCGCGGTCCGCCGCTCTTCGTGCAACACGGCGAGAATGCAGAAGTTACAATCGAAAAGAACTTGGTGAAATTCGTATTGAAACAGCCGCTGGTCCCGGGGCGAGACTACATCGTTCAGTTTCCTGGTGGGCTACTACAAACCGTCGCAACACGAAAGCTCATCTTCAAGGGCGTGGAGGTCAGCTGTCGGGTTCCGTTGCGCAAACCGGAGATCGACAACACGTTGCAGATCGCGCGCTTCTACGACCGGTACACACAGCTGCGCCGCGAAGAGCGTGGCAGCCGCAGTGGCGCCTTCAGCGACTTCACACTGTACAACAAGACGCGGAGCAGCTTCATGAAGACGCTTTACGACTCGCAGCGAGTGGAGCGCGAGTTCCGGGTGCAGGGGCCGGCAATTGCCATTGCTGAATTTCTCGACGATCTCGAGTACTACACTGGCCCGCGGTCGGAAACTGTGAACACTTACGTTCGTGCAGAGGTGTACTTCGCACAAAATTATTCGCTGGTTGCGGCACAGGAAGTGAGTTTGCGCATCGATCGCCTGCAGAACCGAGTGCCGATCGTTTACTACGAACGCAACAAGGTCTCAATGGACATCAAGAAAAATGACTTCTACTCCTTTCACGAACGGAAACGACTGCAGGAGAAGTTGAGCGCAGAAATTCGCGGAGACGGCACGGGAGAGCAGCAACTTGCGCGCGAGACGGCCAGGGCGAAACAGAAGTTGGTTGGAGATTCCAATGTTCTGGATGTCACTGGTGAGTTTCAGGGTCTCGACGTTTCGCTAGATCCCACGCAGTCCGGTGCGCTGCGGACCACGATGGGCGCGCCCTACAGTCTGCGCAGTGTCACAATGAAAGACGACACCTACCAGGGCTTTGGGTGGATGTCCCTGACGGTTGTGGCGACGGAAGGCTTCGTCTACGTGGACGAGCACTACCTCCTGCAGCCTCGACCCTTCCGTGTGGTGCAGGGTACTTTGAACGGAACGGCAGCACTCACAGTGTTAGGTACGCTCTACGATTTGAACCATCTGGTGCGAAACCTGCACTATGCCTATCCTATGCGCACGAAGGCCGTTCTGAACGTCCATCATCGAATGGAGATCCCAATGCAGCGAGTGCGGGTGAATTTCGTGCTTTCGGATGGATTGGCCGTAGCCGGGTACACCAACAACTCGCAGTCCATGCACGAAATGCGCTACTCGCATCTGAGCACCCCTCGGGACACGTCGAATTTGACCAAGCCCGACTTCTTTCAGTTCGCAGGTCGCGTTGTAGGATTGTATGATAACGCTCCAGTGAAGAACGCAGAGATGTACATCACAAATTACTTCACCTTGATTCGCCAGTCGCAGTACGTAACGCGCGCACCAGGTCCGAACGGCACCGGACCGGTCGAGGTCATAGACGACTTGGGACTGCCAGCCAATTTTTCAACGCTCGGCACGCCTGCAGGCACACACTTCTTGCCACAGGTGGAGCAACGGGAAGAGGCGCATCACATAGTCACAGACGAGTACGGAAATTTTCTCACCTTCCTCAAACGCGGCACTGCCATGGTCAAGATCTTTCGGCAGGACCTCGTTGCGTATCTCGACTATACCGAGTACAATGTTCCGATTCAGAAGCATCACAGTGCGAACGACCTGGAATTCTACCTGCAGCCGAACAACATCCCGTGGCTCTGGGAGATCGAGCTCGAGTACAACCAGCAAGAAGTCGACTCGTTGGATTTGGACTTGCACAGCTTCATCAACACAACGAACTTCTACTGTCACACATCGTACCGCAATCCGAAGTGCTCGCATGACCGGCTCTACGGCGCGACTGCTGAACTCGCCGCGGACCGCTGGGGCCGCGGGCAGGTACGCGAGGCGCTTACGCTCTTCACATGGCCGGATATGTGTACGTACCCGAACTATCCACGTGACGGCAGCGCCGAGGGAATTGGTCTGGTGGACTCACCGTACGTGCGCGAGAAGAAACTGTTTTCGGAGTTGTGTGAGGGCTACTTCTATCTCTGGGTCCAGATCCACACCTCTTCAGTCACCGATTATTCGCAGCTGGATAAGGTACAGGTGCGGCTCCGCAAGTCGCAGACGAAACGTGACCAATACGTGTTTGACCCCTCAACCGTCTCGACCGAACAGGGTGCTGTTCTGCTGAAGGAGTGGAACTTGAAAGACGCGCTAGCGGCTGCGCCGTCCAGTTTGGCACAGGCCGCCGCAGCCAGTGGAGAGGAGCCACCAGTTGGAAGCGGTCGCAAAAACGTGTGGCTCGGTTTCCGTATTCCGCTGGACAACGTAAATCAGCCAGAATACCGAAACGAGATCGGGGGAAGCGACTCTCTGGTTGAGTGGCTGAACTATGACCTCGTGTCCGACCCTTTGCGCATTCGCCGTTTACAAGAACAGCAGGAAGAACAAGATGGAACGCCGCTTCCCTCCAGGAAAGATCAGAAGGCAAAACTTCCGACACTATCTGGCATGCGAGATCCGATCGAAACTACATTACCAGGCTTTCAGCAGCAGGCGACGCTGCGCAGCACCTTGCAGAGCGAGAGTGGGCGCGAGGACTTCCTGCACTATGGCGCACGCCACTTGAAGCTAGTCGATGCGGCGGGGAAAGCTGCCTACTTTTTGAAAGATGCTCCGACATCCTCAGAAGCTGGCTCATTGAGCAAGAGTTCCACTGGCCTCTCGCCGCTGAAGACGGTTAGGCGCGGCATGCTAGGTCGCGACAAGCAGGTTGGCCACGACTCCGAGACTGTGAAGAAAATGCCTTATCACGAAGCCGCGATGGAGTATCACCGCCAACTTTCGTTCCGACAAGCGCAGGAGGACGAGGCAATAGAGGCACAACGGGCACGTCCGCGAAAGCGCTCGGGAGGACGGCAGTTGACGCACCATGTCGATGAACGGAAAGATCTTGGTTCCGGGGTCTCTGAAGTCTTTCGGGGGCCGTTTCCGGAAAGCGCGGCGAGTAGCACAGGAGGAAGCAGTTCTACAACTGCCGACACATCTCCATCGAATAACGTGTCCAATAACTCCGCTGGAAACAGCTCGAATGCTTCTGCAGGAAGCTCAAGTTCCTCAAGTGCGAACGCTTCGGGCAGTGCCGTTGTTGCGTCCGCAAGTATGGCAAACACTACCGCGTTCCCTTACAAGGGCCAGTCGATCTTCTTTGCCCCTGTTGTTACCACTGATGCGATCTCTGATGATTCAGGATTTTCGCTTACTCGCTCGGTGGAGCGCGTGGCCTCAGGTACCAACACCACTACGGCACCACCAGTGCTGGTGGTCACCACAGTTGTGACCAATTACAAGGTTGCCTGCGTGGCAACACACTCTGGGCACGCGAATCTGCCTGATCGCGGTCCTGATTATGCAGCGACGACGGGAACGCACTGGCAGACGCGCATCCGCTTTCCATATGCACAAAGCTTTGTGGAAGTGAAATTCAACACGTTCAAAAAATTCAAGTTTTATGGTATCGAGTACTCCTCCCTGTTCGTTTCGCCCAGCGGTTTCATCACGTTTGGTACTGGCGACGTAGCCTACACTCCGCACCCGCAGTCGCTTTACAGCCGTGTGCGTGTTGCGGCGCTTATGGGCCGATTGTCGCACACCACTGGTGCCGTTTACTACCAAGAGACGGGTGATGACCGCACCGGTACCAACCCGCGCATCGTCGTGACGTGGGAAGGCGTGGAAACCTACGAGCAGTGGTTCTTCCGCACCTACGGACTGAATCCGGCGCAGGCCCTGGCGTCTAGCCCGTTTGAGAACACGACGACACCCGAGATCCTATCGAAAGCTCGCGCCGCCGCAACACAGGCTTATCTGGACTCCTCCAAGGACTACAAGGGCCTCACCAAAGCGGCGTATGAGCAACAAACACGCAACTGGCGAGCGGGGAAGTTCTCGTTCTACACGTTTTCGCTGGCTTTGTACGTAAACACCGGTGAGATCCGTCTGTCGTACGCGGACGACTTTCCAGCCCTCGCCTCTGAGGTAGACCACTTTCTTCTAGGCCTGTCACCCGGTGGCCAGACGCAAACTCACTTCCAGCGCTACGGCCCTACCACTGTTCCCGCGCTCATCGCGGAGCGGTCCACGGCGCTAGTATCGGCGGAGCAATCTACCAACAGCACGCTGTCCGTGGTGAATCGAACCGTAAACGCGACGACAGGCGAAATTGGTACCGGGTACGTGCGTACGGATTGCACACCAACCTGTGGAAACGGGGTCAAGGAACTGTTTGAGACGTGCGATGTTGCCAACACGGTTGGTTGTGATGCTCAGAACTGTACGACCGATCCTGGTTACTACTGCGATGCAACCGGTGTTTGCAAGCAGGCTGTCTGTGGAGACGGCAATCGCGATACTGATATTGGAGAAACCTGCGACGATCGCAACACGGTTGACGGCGACGGCTGCTCCAGTACCTGCCAGGTCGAGCGAGGCTACACGTGCCGACGACACGCGCAATTTGACGCGGACGCATGCCGACTATTCAATGCCGCGCCGAGTGAGTTTTTCGTACGGGACTTTGACCTCGCAAAAAGGGCAGTGTACTATTCACCGCGCGCCGTCGAAAATGTCGAGTTAGGGGCATTGACCAAGACTCAGTCAAAGGGGCTCTTCAACTCGGGCTATTCCGCATGCCGCACTGACTTCGAAGGGAACAATGCCATGCCGGACACTCCGTCCCTCCGCGCCGTCGTCATTCCTAGGGGCTACCTAGCGGAAGACGACAGTTTCGAGGTGGCTTTGCCCAGGCCTTTCCAGTTTTTCGGCAAGACGTATCAGTCCGTGTTCATCGGTTCGAACGGCTATCTTACTTTCCAGGCCCCCGATACCTCGACGACAGCATCGTTGCCCGCGCATTTCGATCAGCCACGCGTCAGCGGCATGTTCGACGACCTCTCGCCCAATCTGACGCCTGACAGCCAAGTGGCGTATGAGGTGCGGGACTGCGAAGGTGCGAACCCGATGTGCCGGCTCGTGATCAGCTATTTGCGCGTGCATCGGCACGGCCTTAAATCCTCCGCGGAGGTGCTGGCTCACAATCTTGAGCTTGACAACACATTTCAGATGGCTCTCTACCTCGACACGGGTATTGTGCGGCTGCTGTGGTGGCGCCTGATGGACTTTCCACCTTCTTACCGCGGCTTCGTTGTTGGGTTGTCGGGAGGTCGCACTGCCTTGGGAGACAGGTTTCAGGGAACCTACATGACGTCGCTTTTCGTCCGCCAAGGCTACCTCACCCTGCCCACCACGAGTGGCAATGCGCTTGCTGCTGCTTTCCAAGACAGTTTTACGATCGAAACGTACTATCGCGTAGACCTCGAGGACCGCCTCGCGCAGGTCCTGCACCCCGTCGCGATTTTCACCACAACGGTCACCGACACGGGAGCGGCCAACCACATCAATCTTTTCTTGGAGGCGGACAATTCCTTGCGATTCCGCGTTGCCGGAACGAGCATGGCCCTTCCCGGCTTCGTGCACCTGCAGCAGTACCGACTACCGTTCAACACGTGGGTGCATTTGGCGCTGACGGTAGAACGGAAAAGCGACAACTGTCGCCGCACTACTCCAAGTTGCACCTTCGTGTCCCTCTTCGTTGACGGTGAGCGCCAAGGCGACGCGGAGCTTGATGAGCAGTGGCTGAGCACCACGGAAGTGCAGGAGGTTCTTGCGTCGTCGCTTGACTCCAGTGTGACCGGTAACGCCACTGTGAATCAGACTATAGTGACGTATGGGAAGCACGACTTCAATAACGGACAGAGCTTGCGTATTGGTGGTGGCGACGCTGCCACGCCGCTCGATTTTTACCAAGCCGCGTATTTCTCGCAGTTCCGCGTCTACAAGCGTCTGCTGTCCGCAGCAGAGCTGGGGCAGTGCGCGTTTGGCGAAGGCGTGAGTCGTGACGATCTTGTTCTTCACTTGAGTTTTGATTCCGCTGTCAGCGAGTTGGTCACGGGGTTGCCCGTAACGCGGTTCGGCGAGATGGAGTTCCTCTACGACGGTCCTGAGCGATGCCAGCGTGTCGAGGACTTGACGGATGATCTCAGCGCGGCGCCGTTGTGCACATTCGAGGCCACGTGTGGGAATGGGATCCTTGAGAGCATGGAGGAGTGCGATGACGGCAATCTCGATGACAGCGACGGCTGTGACCGGGATTGCCGCATTCGCACCGGATTCGCGTGTACAAACCGGGCACTGCCGAACAACACGGTTGGCAACAGCACGTGCAACATAGTGACATGTGGAGACGGGAAACGTGAGGGCACGGAAGCCTGTGACGACGGGAACACGGCGGACTTGGACGGCTGTTCGCAGACCTGCGTGATTGAGCCTGGCTATGCGTGCGCAGGCGCGTATGGCATGCTGAGCAGCTGCGGTTCCGTGTGCGGCGATGGCTACGTTGTTGCCAACGAGACATGCGACGACGCCAATGAAGTGAGCAATGACGGATGCGACGCAAACTGCCAGGTTGAGCCGGGCTTCAAGTGCCTCCTCACGGAACGTCCGACGAAGTGCCTACCGGTGTGCGGCGATGGCGTGCGATTCAGCTCAGAGGAGTGCGATGACGCAAACACAGCAAATAGCGACGGCTGCAGCGAGTTTTGTCGTATCGAACTCGGGTGGCACTGCGACACCGGTGAAGCAATGAGCACCCGGACATTGATCAACCGCCTGGGACCGGTGGCTGCAAACGGAAAGTATCACACTTTCGAAACTGTGATCAAGGACAATGTTTTATGACCACAGAAAAGCAGAGTCAAAGAAGATCATAACACAAATAAGAATAGCAAGATGTTGACCTTGCAATCACCCAGGGTTGCGGGAGCCATGCTTGACCAGTTGTTGTAACTACTTAAGAAAAGTCTGCTGATTATTTGTGAATGTGATTATCAAATTTGGCATAATCTATGTTAGTGTACTAGTTTCGTCTTCATACAGTGCTCAACGCGTGATGCCAGAGGGCTTCGACTTTGGCACCGGAGATACGTGCAAGATGACGGTTTGCGGCGATGGTTTAATCGAGGGCCAGGAAGAATGCGACGACTTCAACGGCTTCAACTACGACGGTTGCAGTGCGGACTGTCGCATTGAGCCTGATTTGCAACTGAACACCGCTGTTGGTACCATTTCCCTGGACGTTTATCCACGCCCACAAAAGTGTAGACTGGAAAACGCGTATCAAATTGAGCTGTTCGAAGAGTCTGACGCCACAGTGAAGATGGTCGACGTGAATACTCTAGCAGGCGTTGAAGTGGATACGGGAAACAGTTCTTCGGAGAGTGGCACAGGTGCTACCTATTGGCAGCCACTCCTGAACACCTCGCTCTACGGCGCGGGTGGACTGTCAACAACTGCAGCAGAGGCGAGGATGCGAGCGGCGGCGATGCGTATCGAGAACGAACTGGATAAAGATGCACCGTTGATCAACGAGAACGCCGTCCTGCGCCGCGAGCATGAGACGCTCGAAGATCTGGTCTACAACCTGCGTCACACCGTGCTCACTGGAGACGTGAGCACCTCGCCAGTTCCGTTCAGGTCTAACCAATTCACGCAAGCGGTAACTCGAGTAAAGGTGAATATCCAAGTGCGATCGGGTGTCATCACGTTCAAACCCCTAGAGCAAAGATTCTACAACATGGGACGCATGGACGCAACCTTAGAGCGCGCGCTGTGGTTCACCCAGGGCATTTATGCAACATGATGCTTGTTATAATATATACTCGCTCGTGTTGGATTTGGAATCATGTTTGAATAGCAGGACTCTCGGCCAGGGATAGCCAGCTAGAATCGGTAATGTATAAATATGTAAAACAGCCACATCATTGATTCTGAGATAAGTAGTTTTAGTTTTCGTTCGCATCACGAGCTCATGCAACGGCTTTTTCCCTTGTGTTAGATCCTGGCCCTTGTCTCCCTTTTCATCCTCACTCTTCATATGTGCTACTTCGAGGAAAAACACCGTGATGCGGAGACTGGCACGGTGACAGAGTATCTCTATCGGACGGAGAGCAATAATTTCAACATTAGTGGAACGGCAGATAAGATCGATCGCTTCTTGCGCGACAGTGTCTTCTTCAAGCCAGGGCGCAACTTCGTGGGTGTGGATAAAGTAACCTTTTCTGTACTTGAGGGAATCGAGATGCCGGACGGTCAGAGCTTGTGCAAAGTGGACGTTTTTGTGCAGGTGCATCCGGTGTACGACGATGACAATCCGATTGTGTTTCTGAACACGGCGAAGATGATAAACACGACAGACCCTAATGTAGCTGTAACACACCCGAATCGCGACGAAAATTTCTACTCGGTTGTCATCGACGCCTTCGGCAAGCAACGGCGTGTGCCATACCTGTCTGTAGACGAAGACTGCTTGTTCTGTTAAGGCTGGATCATGATGAACGCGTTAGGGTAGTAAGTATCTATCAAGAAGTCTGACGGTTGAGTTTTTTGCTACTTTTAGTGCTCATGTTTGTACAATTGCGAAAACAACTTGAACCAGACATTCAAATTCTTGAGTCTCAAAATGTGATACATAGCTCTAATTTTTCCGACTGCCTGGTATTGAGGTTCTAGATGGGGATTGTATTCTGATTCGCGACGGTGCGTGCTACCTTCGGCTCGAGCTGGATGGCAACGGCGTGCTGGATTTGCGTCTGGCGGGCCAGGTTGGGCGCCGCGTGGCAATTGCAGGACAGCACGACAACCTGAACAGGGCCCTTGACCAAATGCGCGTCACGCCTGTCCCGCAATTTAGTGGCTTCGCGAATGTGACGGTAACGGTCACTCGTGTTTTCACGAACGAGCGAGTGCAGAATCTTGTTGCGCCAATGAGTGTGGTGGAGAACATTCCTGTGTACGTGCGTCCTCAGGACGATGCGCCTGTACTGCTCTTCGGCTTTCCAGGATCGCGCACACTGTTTCATGGTAGCATTTTGGATTTGTCAGAGCCGTGGCTAGCGCCAACGAACGAAAATGCCAGTACAGCGATTTCGTCGGGCAGCAAGAGCAACTCTTCTCTTGTAGAGAGCACTAGAAAAAACAACGTAACATCAAATGCAACTAACGGAATTGCAAATGAAAGTGCAGGATACGGTGTGTCAGCCGCAGCTAGCGCAGATCCCGCGCTGGTTCGGAGGCTACAGCTGGAATTGGAGCGCCAGCTTGCCGACGGCAGTGCGGGTCATCCTCCAGAGGCCATGATGCAGGATCACGCAGTTGTGGGGGGTTTGAGCCGCTCTGATTCCTTCTTGTACGAGTCAATGAAAGAGCTGCAGGCCGATGAGACCGAGCGATTCCCGCGTTACTTCCGGGACATTGCGGAGGTGCGCCCAGGGTACTTCGCGTACCAGCGTGAGCTGAAGCCTCCACTGATCTGGGACAACTTGGTGGAGATCTGGGACGACGAGGCCAGCCAGACAATCTGGTCTCCGTGGGCGGATCGGCGATGGAAGGAACCGGGCTTCGATCCGATGAAGCTACAGCGCGAGTACGCAGCCACATTGGCTGCGAAGAGTACCAGTTTGACGTCTGTGAGCGACTTCTTGGTAACGCTAGAAGTGACTCTCGGTCGCATCGCGCTCTTCGATCCGCCGAATGAAATCTGGCTGCAGACGCCCACAGCGCAGTGGGGACAATCACTCCGCTTCGCCCACAACTACACCGTTGTCACGGAGCTTTTCCGTCGCGGGCTGCGATTCACGTGGAACGAAGAAACGGAGTGCGGACGCATTGGACAACTGAAAATTGAGGTGGACGACTTTAGGTCGCCCAAGACCACCGGAATAGCAACGATTTGGCTGCCGCACTGCCGCGACTACGAATTCTTGGCCGTGGTGGATAACGGCCAAAACATTTCCGCTCCCGTGGCCGCGTCTGCGGGGCAACGTGAAGTCGTTAAGGCCAAAACAATGCGCGTTTTCGAGGACAATCTACAGATCCGCGAGAGCAAAGCGAAGCTGGGAAACTACATTTCGGTGCGCGACCTACAAGAAGAGGCGCAGTTTCTGCGGCTGGAAGTGAGCGTAGAGCGCGGCAAGTGCCAGTTGTGGCCAGAGGAGGTCCTGATTCGCTCTGACCGGGAAATCGCTCATGTCGACACGCCCTGGGAAGACGAGACGGGATGTTTTACTGACGGGAGGCCGCAATCCATCAACCGGGTATTGCAGCACATGCGTTACGTGTCGCCACCCAACTACTTTGGAGCTGACGAAATCACCCTGAAAATTTATCGAGATCCGGACTTCTATTTGGGCCGCGACTTTACGATCTTGCCGAATGGTACACGAAATCCCGTGGGCACGCAGGTCGAGCAAGTCCGACAGCAATACATCGGAAAGAATGCGAAGATCCTTAAAATTCCAGTGGACGTGGTTCCAGTGAACGATCCGCCCCGGCTCTTCTCCGATCGCGTTTTCTACTCAGTGCTGGAAGACGGCCTGCCATTCCCGCTTGAGGATCTCTTTATCGAAGACTGGGACAGCAGTGGGCGGGTGACGCTTTTCGTGTATCTGGACGACGGCGCCAAGTTCAAACAACGCGTAGTTGTGTGCGGGCGAGAAGGACCTTTCGCTTCTGCGGACACAAATAGCACTAACGACACAAACGCGACGAACGGGAGCGCGAGACGGCGATTGCAATACTACAGTAGTTCGTACTCTGGAGGATCCTCTGTTGTCGGTCCTTCGGCAAGTTCGACTTCTAGCTCAATGTCTTCCGCGGGCAGCAGTTATTCAGTTTCGGCCGGTGGAACAGATGGGGCGGCGGCCTTCGACTCCAGTTACGACACGGCGGCAGCGCTCGGCGCAGAACCAGTGGCACCGGATGTGAATACGCCTACATTAGAGGATGTGCAGACGCTGTTGCAGTATTTGTCATCCGCTTCCACCGTTTCGTTGGGCGATGTGCATGTCCAGCTATTCGATCCCTACGGAATGGCAGACTTGAATACGACGCAGCTGAATGTGTCCTACCGAAGTTCGGGTACTGCCTCGGCAAGCAACCAGAGCCAACTCGCTCCTTGCTTCGAGTCTTTTTACGGACTCGCTATCACGGGGTCTATCGCGGCACTCAACGAACTCGTGAACGTTCGGAGAGACTTGCGCGTGCGCACGCAGCAGGACTATGCGGACGCTTTTCTGGCAAAGTTTTTTGTCGTGGACAACCTTAATCCCACAACGGACTACCGTGCGATGACGCAACAGGCCGGAGCAATGCCGAACTCACGCATGAGCAACGAGATTGTGGCGCACGTGATCGTACAAGAAGTGCCGGACGCACCGCGGTTGAGCAATATCTGCGAGTTTGATGCTTTGGAGGATTACGCCTTCCGCGAGGTGCAGAATGCGGAGTACGAGCCGCTTTTCGCAGCACGAGGTTATTCTCTGCAAAATCGCACTTTGGCGCAGACTTTGTTCGTTCGCGACGATTTCATTCGCAGCGTCACTACTGCTTACCATCAGCAGCGCGATCCGGGTGCGCGCGTGGACACCCTGCCTAGCGCGGTCACGGGCGGCACTGGTTACCTGGACCTGCCTTCCCTGGAGTTGTTTAACACACTGCAGGCGCGACGCATCCATCCGGCGGCAACGGCGGACAGGAGCCTCTTCGTGGAGAAGATTCGGAATGCTTTCTACGTGCACAACGCGACGTTGGCGGCGGAGCCATTCTTGGGTTTGGTGAAACGTGGCGGCTGCGCGCAGGTGCGGTCGTGCGTTAAGCTAGAGCCCACGAACGAGTGGGAGTCGTACGACTCGACGCTTGTCGCCTACTTGGAGGTCCGTGACGACTACTGGAAGACGCTGCAGCGTACCGTGAACTGTTCGCTGTACTTAACGGCAGCTGCAAACGCGTCGGAAAGTCTCCTGATGCTTGGAGCAGGTGGGCCAGCTGATGTCGTTGTCCCAGGAGAATGCCTCGGCCAAAACGCGAGTAGCAATAGCAGCAGTACTGGTCTACTAGGTCTCCTCGCAGAGGAGGACGATAGCAATGGCACAGTATCGCTCTTCGGAAAAACGACCGCGAATCGGTCGCTTAGGGACACACGCCAGCTGTTCCGCTATTCACAGGGATGGAGCCTCATGGTGGACGACGCAAACGTTGAAATTCGTGGGGAGAGAACGGACCGGCTCTACGTCATCGGGCAGCTCGCAGCGCTTGCGAAGGCACTGAAGACCGTACATGTGGAGAGCGCGCGAACTATCTGGGATGACAATTGAGACACAACTTCTCTCATACGAAATTTTAGTTGTGGATTGACTTAAAAGATAAAAGATTGAAATTCGTCCGTATGTGAGGAAATAGCTGCTAAACTGGAACTCCTAAGTTTCCCTGTGTAATTGCATAGTGAGGTACCTTGGCTAGGAAAGACTTTGGTGATCATGAAGATGAAAAATCGCCTCTAAAACGCAGGCGCTATGAAGACTTTGGACTTCTCGGTGGATATTTCTGTTCGCTCTCTGGGACGACTCTTTGGTGAAGAGGATCCGGTACAGTTGTTCCATCAACAGAGGGACATCGACATGAGCGAGGATCGCGAGAAATGGTACTACCCGAGTGCAATCGGCGTTCGCGGTCAGCTCTACAGTGGTGACGCGTTTTATCAGGAGTATCATGGCCCCATTGTATTGGGTATGACTCCTACCTGGACCGTACACGACCCTGCACGCGTTACACCTTACCAGGCTCTTTCGACTGCAGAAGACGTAGAGGACGACATCATGCTTGCTCTGGTTGGAACGGTGCAGCAGGCATCTTCAAACAGTACAACGAATGTGACCAGCGACGTCAACGTCTCCGACGATGGCGACAGTACCAGTGCAAATGTATCGGCTGCAAATGCTACAAATGGAACCATGAGGAACACGTCAACATCTGGGGGAAAGGTACTGTTGCCAGCGGTGGACAAGAGTTTGAATCGATTCCCGTCAGTGTCCAGATCACTTCGCATGCAATTTCGTAGGGTAAACTCTGCGCCGGTGATCGAGACCACCGGAGGTGTGTTCTTTGAGACCTCACACCCAGATCACTTTGCCATTCCGGCCTCGGCCATGATCCAAGTACGGGATCCTGACATGGGAGCGCCCAAGGGCCTGTCTCAGCTGCTGCAGGAAGACTCGCCGACTTTCGACCCAGTGGCCAATCGAGAAGTGCTGCAGCAACAAAGCGTCGCTTTTGACCCCAAGACGGCTGCTCTGGTTCCCAGTGACGTGTACGATCTGCAATTGCGCATCGACTCGCCGATCCTCAGGAACGCGACTTTCGGCGGCGAACAGCTTGGCGCCGTGGGAACACGAGAGTTTGTACTTGCGGCTGCGAATGCGAACCGGTTTCTCCGGGACTCTCTCAAATTCAATTTCCCTGATCGGTTTTGGTATGGCGTGGCACCAATTACTGTGCGGGCTTCGGATCTCGGCAACGCAGGGTATGATTCCTTCCCGCCGCTTCCGCCAGAGCACACCGCCTTCGAGTTCAACTCAGTGCAGGGCTGCGTTTCGGTACCTAGACCTAGAACGTGACCATAATTGTCATGTTTATGATTCTTTTCCTGCAGCGAAGATTTTCCAGTATATCCAAGGACGTACTAGTACTTCTTCAAAGACAGAAATCAATCTCCTTCTAAATGATCATCTTGATCACTAAACTCACACTCACTAGTTGAAAGCGCACGATAATTCTGGTGGGGAATTGGCGACGCCTAAGAACTGCTCGGAAGCCGATTGCGGAGGCGCCAACTTGACGAAAGGTAACGGAGCCCTGTCTGTTGCCAGCCTTCCGAGTTCTGGAGAGCACACTTCCCGATTCTGGAGCTCCATGTTCTCAGATTCGTACACCTTCGAGTTCTATATGAAATATGACGGCGAGGCGCGCGTCCTTTTCTCGACGAACCCAGGAATGCAATACCTGTTACCGGAAAACAACTATTCTGCATTTACAACTGAAGAGTGGCCGTCTGATATCGTGAATAATACTCCTATAATTGGTGAGACGGAAAACCACGACTTTGATGCAAATTTCTACGACCTGACTTTCGCGGACACCCCAGGTGGTATCAACTATTACGCCCGAGATTCGGTGTTGCCGGAATGCCCCTCCGTCGAAGAGTTCCCCAAAGTCGACTTCGCAAACGTCTCAGCGGTATTTTACATGCCTTCTTACAACCCTACAGCAGGACTTGTGATGATGTAGACAAGGGGCGCACTAAGCTCATCATGGTAGTCCCACGCTCTTCTTGTGGTGAGTAGGCCATCGGCGGAATACTTTGAGTCCATCTACTTAGTGCAAAATGAATTGTAGGTTGCATCGCAGTATAGTACGAAGCCTAGTTTCACAGCGGATCTTGGCATTGATGCGGATGCCTCAACTTGCAGTGAAAGCGACGGCAGCAATACTGCGGGAAGTCACTGGTGGCGGTTGACGTTTGGCTCGACGATTCGCGTGCGCAAGTGGCGCTTATACACCAGTAGCCCCGGGCCCTTCTTGGTGACAGCAGACGTCAGCGGCTCGGGGGAAGTCTTACATCCACTTCCGGATGGTAAGGACGTAAACGGGAGCTATGTGGAGGGCGAAGCAGACATCGCCGCGAAGGAAATTCGAGTGTGGTCTTTGGACGCTCCTGCCAACGGCCTGCGTGTTTGTGATTTCCAGGTCTTCGGTGATGTTTCACGGTACTCGGCCCAGTTGGTGGTGCGCGGTGACGCGACCCACAGCGCGTTTGGCTACAGTGGGGCTGCATGGGGTGACGGGAGCTCGACGACGGGGAATGCGTCAGAGACCTACGGGACCGGATTTGTGATGCGTTCGCGGTACAATGAGCGCGGAAGTCTCGCTGGCATCCGGGTTGCACTAGATGCTACCAACTTCTATGACTTCTACTTTCCGACCGATTCTCAAAATGCATCGCTGGCCGACCTACTCGCGCCCTCATTCTTGGCACCTGGAACAGTCGTACAGGGTAGCGGAGATGCCTCTTGCAAGAGTCACTCTGCGGTCAAATCTAGGAGTGGAGTTGGCATGGTGCGAGCCGCAGCATTGTCGGAGAACGGCGTGTATCCGGGTGTGGGTGCAACAGTAAGCGGTCTCTTTGGAACTGACGCGGCTTCGGTGCGCAACAGCAGCACCACGGGTTTTGGTTTCGCATTTGAGGATGACGGGCTTACGCGAAATCGCTGTGGAGCGGGAGCGGGACGCTTGGCGTTGAATGCGGAAGTAGCGTCTACCAGCGATGGCTTAGCTGTGCCTTTGGGGCGCGCGGGCGTCAATGATTCGGCTGGTAGTACCTTCTGGACTACGCCGGCGGAACTGAAAGCCAAGCTTGCGGTTTTCCATGACTTGCAGTCGGGATGCTGCCGACAAGCGCTCAACGCGATTGGCTTAGGGTTGAGCTCGTCGCCAGCAGCAGTGTTATCAGGCGGCGCGGCTGGGAGCGCAAATACGGGTGTGCTTGAGTCGCGCCAGGTTGTATCTGCAGGAAATGCAAGTACAACGCCTTTCCAGATTGATCCCCAGCACTTCCGTATTTACAGGCTGACTTACGGGACAACCACTACGAGTACGACGCCATATCAGGTACCACAGCATTGCTTGGCGGCCACACCGACACTTGCGAGCACGATCATGGCTTTGGGCACTTCGGCCTCTGGAAGCAGCAACAGTTCTAGCACTACGACTTTAATGGACGTCGAGCACCCGGTGCAGCCCGGACGCAAGACGATGACTTTTTACCACTACGAGTACGAAGTGGACGCAACGCTGCAGGTGGACGAGAGCGGACGGCTCTTCTACCAGATTTCGAGATCGAATGTGCCAGAGGATTACTGGGCCCGCTCGGGATGGACCGACTCGGTTCTGGAACCCGGACGTTGGTACCAGATTGCGATGGTGCACAAGCGCGACGCAGGACATCCGTTTGAGAATAACCGAGCGTCGATTCTGGTGGACGGCCTCGAGGTGCGAAGCTTCCCGCTGTACAACATTTACGATCTTCGCACCACTAGCCTCAACTTCTGCGGGTACCGAGTGTCGCAGCTGAAGGTCTGGTCGCAAGCTACACCACCAGGGGATCTGGGCGTTTGCAGCAACAGGCACAAAACGATTGCACCGACACAGGCTGCGGACTACAGGTACCGCAATCTCAAGCTGGACGTCGCGCTTGACGATCGCTACTACTACGAGGAAGACCTGCTGAACAGCGACAAGTTCAGCATCAAGATTGACGGTCGTTGGCGAGCGGACGGGCCGTCGCGGTGTCGCTATGACAGGGCGATGATGACCTACTGTCTGTGCTTTCACGGAGACCTGTCGAAGGAGCTATTTCAGCACACAAACGAAAATGTCGACCGTGAACGATTCCCGGCAGTGCGCGTTGTCGAGGACATCACGAGAAAGTATTTCTATTTTCCTTTTTTTCATGGTTCTAGATGTTGAACACCCATTCAGTAGCAGTTCCATTTATCTATGATGGAATTGGAAATTATTGAATACTTCGATTTCGAAGCAATCAGAAATTGATCTAGTCGCACTTGTCAGTTCTCATGCGCCTCGCCTTCACAAGTTAAGGTGAGGTCATCTTGCTCTGCTTGCATGAAGGTATTATTTCCGATCTCGCGAAGCCCTACAGTCACCAGGACAAACAGACGACCATGTGCTTCCGGACATGAGCGTGCGGATCTCTCATGCAGAGCCGCAAAGCACGGAACAGGAGTTGGCCGTCCATCGTCCGTACTCCGCCGTGGACACGACGCCGGTGCTGACACTGCGAGGTGCTGGGCGCAACGAACTCGACTGGGGATTCTATGTGCAGAACTCAACAACGGGCACCGAAACGGTGACTGGCTACGAGGCCGGTGAGGATGGCGCTCTAACACTGGACTTGAACGTCTATGATTTCCAGCGATGGGACCTGAGCTACTTCACACACAGGGTAGAACTCGGTTTAACTTGCGACCACTGCCTTTTGCGTTCTCTGGCGCAAACTGCGGGTCTGAGGATAGAGCAAGTTGCGAACGGCACAACCTACGACGATCTCGCAAGCAAGTTGGCGCTCACTGCAAACAGCCCGAATTTGCTAGAGGTACTAAACAATCGATTCGCTGTTCTCTGTGGTGTCATCTAGGATGGTCATTTTAGATTTGCTAGGGGTGATTTTGTCGAGCTGTTCTTGTTCATTCCAATGTCTGAGATCACGCTACAGGGTAAGCTACGCAGAAAATTCTTCTACATCGCGGGGCCACTGAAGTATCTCAACGAATTTTTATCGCGGCTTGAGTATAAACCGGATCGTAACTTCTTTGGAACCGATGGGGTCCTCATACAAGCGAAGGACAATACCGGAAAAGTTTCAAATTTGCTCGACATCCTAATCACGGTACAACCGGTACCCGATATTCCTGCCCTCATTTGCCCGCCCGCATTCGAGCTAGATGAAGGAAACTTCGAGACGAATCCTGGTACAGTCACAATTTTGTCACAAGAGTGGGAACTAAAGTTTTCATTCTGTTCACCAGTTCAGAAAGGAGATTCTTCCTCATGATACAACCAATTCACTGGTTTTCTTTGTCTTAAATCAAATCCCAGGTTTTGATCAGTTGTTTATAGCGGACAACGATGTTCCTGAGGGTACACCCGACGACGACGTCGAGTATACTCTCCAACTCGCGGTATCGGAAGGTACGGTACAATACAACGCCACGGTCTATCCTCACGTTGCAAACGACTCGTACTCACTGAATACGCAGACGGGCGTGTTCAAAACAGTGAACAGGCTTGCCGATATCCGAAAGGTAATGTGTAAGTACAACTCCAGTCGCAGATCATTATCAAGAAGATCAATGAATTCAAGTAGATTCATTTTCAATGATCACGAATTTGGAATTAGATTTATGTTTTCTTCTGCTTTATTGCAGCTGTTGAGTCTCTGTCCAGGCAACCCATCCTGGATGGAGAATTTAGTGCTGCTACAGAAAAATCAAGAATCTTGTCTGTCGATTGTGCTCTCCCACTGTAGCACGGTCGCCCTGGATGTTTCATACACTCGTCACTCTAGAACAGAAAATCTAAAACTACCTTCAGTGGGGGCTTTTCCAAAGTTCCGCAAAAAAGTCCTGTGATCAAGAACATAAGCCTGAAAGCTAGGGCTAGATCGACAAGGGCATTCCAATCTTTACTTAGCAGCAGTTGAGTCTCTTTGCTGTTGGATTTTGTACGGCGCAGAGAATTTAGATCTGCAACATAAGTCAGAAGCTTGTCTGTCGGGTCTTTGCCTTCCCTTCGTGGCAGTCGCCCGCCCTGGATGCTTCAGACAAACCGTCACCACACTGACTAAAAATAAGTCATTTTAATTTTTACTACTCCTCGACGAACAACTACTCCTCGACGAACAACTACTCCTCGGCGAACAAGGGCGGGATTGCAATCGACAAAGTTATCAAACCGAATCGATAATTTGTATCGTCTTGCCAAATGTCACTGTCACAGATGCTCTCCGGGCTCACATATGAGGCGACATCTACGACGTTCCACGGAGTTGTTTTAGCGACATTTAACACCCAAGGGACAGCAGCGAATAGTTTGGCTATGGAATGTAGTGCGGGTATCTTGGTCCATCCAGTGAACACTCCTCCGTCTGTGACGTACAGCGGACCTGTGGTTTTATCCCGCGCAGCGATGCTTGGCCTTGGGATCAGCGTGGCAGGTATCGGCGCGAACTCTTTGTCTTTTGCAGGTGTCCGTGTGAAGCACACTGTGTACAGAGACAGGTCTGATAGAAATTTTTGGACAACCACTGCCTTTATTTTGCTGCTTTTTGAGTGAAGCTTTCCACGGGAGTGAAACTACAGGTTTGCGGTTTGACGATGTTGACTTCGGCTCCGAGCGCTACGCGGATCGGACGGCGGGCGTGCGTGTGATGCTCTCGGTAGGCGGTGCGGATGCTACACCCTGCGTGCCTACAATGTCCTTGGCAGATGACAACTTTGACCGAATCCTTGGTATTCCGACGGAAAATATTGGCGGCACAGAAGGAATGACGTTTTTGATGGGCAACGGATGGGCGGATCAACGACTAGTCATGGAGTCGTCGCTCGCGTTCATGAATCGGCAGATTGGAACCCGGCTCTTAGTGGATCCAGCTGCGTGCCAGTCAGCGGTAGAACTGAACGTAACAATTAACGATCTCGGAAACTACGGCAAAGGATCCGCACTAGAAGACACGATCTCGTTGTCGCTGGGCGTTGTTCCGTAACGGTTTTGCTTCCTCGCTTTATGAGTTCGACGGGTGGAGGTGGAGGGCGAAATGGAACAATGCATCTAGACATCCTCTAGACGTCGTTACCCAGTAGTAGTACTAATATCAGTAGGCAAGTTGTTTCGCAGTAGTTGCGCTAGTAGTATTCTTTCGGCCGTCTGTCATCAGGATGGGCACGGTGAGGAGAGCGGTGCTGAAGTCTGAACAGCCAGGTATCCAAAGATGGAGCTTTAACTCAGAAAGACTCCCGACGTTGGTTTCCTTGAAATTAATCAGTAAGTGCTCCGTGCTTGCTTCGGAGAAATTAATCCTTAACCCTGTCACGTTGACCGATTACTTATTATTTGTATAGCTACCTAATCTTGGCGGAGTAGGTTGAACAAACAAAATATCTCTTACTGGAGAGCGATTGATGGTAGGTTTTCCTTACAGAATTGCCTCTTGTTGTTGCAGAGTGGTTGTAGTTCTGCTTCGATTGGTAGTTTTTTGCTTCAAATGATTCCTTCGACATGCCATATGTGTGCATGTACTTTTCCACGGAGATGGTCAGGTGTCGTCGTGATGTTAGAATACCCTTTTATGGTCCTATGTATATAAATGATACCACCTATCCCCGTTGTCGACGTTTTATTTCAATTTTACAAATCAAGACAATATTATGTACTCCATTTTGGATTCAAGTCCCGGAGACAAAATCATTTTACTGTGACTGTATTCGGCGCGTAGGTAGAAAAAGTGACAATAAATGGCACACGGAACAACATCATGGTCACACATGATGAAGGGCTGCATCGTGTAACGTCCGTGGTCATTTTGATTGTCCCTCATTTGTATTATCTGCTCTGGTTCTTTTTTTATAGTGACCCAGTAGCGACGCTTCCGAGAAGGTATGCGTCCGTAGCTCATAATCCATGGTGCTCGCCTGCTCATTTTGTACTCGTTGCGTTTCTCTCGGTCTACCGCTTTCTGTATAACAGAATAAGATGATGTATCGATGCTGTCATGGGTTCCTATCTTCTCTACTGATAGAAGTTGTAATATTTCAGTTTTGGTATGGAGATATTCCATTTCATGATCATGTGTAATTCATTGTCATTTGCAATCATAGGACATCAGGAAATCGTTAGTTACTGAATGACCTTGATCTGGGAATTATTGAACAATCAGCCTTAACTTTGCGGATGTCGTGTTGTAGCTGTACTACTAGACTATTATTTTCAATGACGCCATAAGAAAGGCGTCGTCAAAGCGCAAGAGTCAACCGCCACAGGATCGATCCAGGGTCGGATCGCGTGGACTCCTCAGATCCGTTTGGGATGCAGATCATCACTTGATAATCCCGGCGGCAGATGCTAGGCCATAGCTTCGAGATGGAGTGCAACACGGCAAGCGCAGTCGTGGTCGGTCTCAGTCTGTCAGCATGCTCGGTGGCAGTGAAATGAGAAAAGTGACAGAATTGTCTCGGTCATGATCTCGAAAAAGACGACCACATTGAGATGAGGCAAAGCGAAGAGCTTGAAGAGGAAGAAACTGAGCAATAATCAAACGAGCGACAGAGCTCAAGATTTGCAGTTGAGTTCTTTCTATATCTGTGGTTGGTGCAGTAACTTCCCTTTCCGCGCATGATGAAACGGTATATACTAGACCCCACGAATGACGAAAAGGAAAAGCTGCATGCCGTGCTAGATCAGCTTGAAGAGAAAGCACCGACCATTAGTGTCTAGGCATTGACAGTATGAGGAACATAATCGCACAGTGACAAACGCGCAACGGGAATGTTGCAACTTCAGATAAAAGAATGTGTTTCTGAAACAAGCCAAAATTTTTTTTTAGCCTTCCGAGTGAAGTGAGCAGCTACGCGAGGGAGTATAGGGAGGTAACTGGTCGAAGCCAGTCGAGTATTGGGGACTGGAATTGCGGAAGCGAGTTGGTGGCTTCTCTCAGCGGTAGAAGCGACGATTGCTTTGATCAGCGCGGTTTTATAGCGTGCAGCCTGTGCTGATGTCCGCGAAAAGTGAGACCAGTGCTCTTGTGGTGCGATAACCCATTGGAGAATGAACGATCCTCCATAAGAGGGTGCGGGGCACATTGGGTTGCAACTGATCGAGTTTCCCCGTTTTCCCAGAGCAGTTTGATAAACCATCAGAGCTACGCCGTGGTTACGCCGGCGCTTCCGCTGGCCACGACGGAAACCAATTTTCGGCTTCCAACAATATTGTGGGCTAATGATCACCAGAGTGAAGACGCACCTTTTGCAGCAACAAGATGACGCACCATGGCATGGAGTATTCGGCTTTGGTCGGGTCCATGCCGTCGCTACGGCAGGGGTCTTTTCTACTGGGGGATCGTGACCCTTGGTATGTAATTTGTATGGACAACTGCAGATTTGTTTCAATCCTCTCTCCCTTTCTCCCCCTTTGTGGTGCAAGTATGAACATAAATGAACAAAGGGCAGTTCTTGAAAAGTGGAAGGACTGCAATTGTAAGCAAAGTACGTAAGCAAAGTACATGATCTGTAAATGCTCCTTCATAAAAACGTCCTGGAAACTACACGACGAGTCTCTAAGGCTGCACCGACGTCCTTTTGTGTCGGAAATATGAAAGCGGGACAGATCAAATGGCGAAATGTAAGTTTCGAGTCGGAACCGCCAGCGCGTGTCGGATTCAGTTGCTGGCTACAACAGCTGGAAGGGCGCGATTTCATTTTCGTTTTTGGTGGACAAGTTGTGGATGAAACGCGAACCGGTGGAGCAGGCAAAATTCACTTTAAACCATCAACAAAGATGTTCTGCTGCGACGTCGAGCAAAAAAAATGGCGCTCAGTATTAATGTCGGACCCAACGCCGCCTCCAAGAGCGCATGCCTCGTGTTGTGCACTCTCTGATGGTACAGCTACTCAATTCAAATTTTCCACTCTGAATTTTTTCAAGCAGAAGATTCCAACGGCGACAGAATGGACAAAATCAGGGTTCTTTTTCTTCGCGGTAAAAAGTTTTGGTCCTTCAGCTGCAAGGTCACCCCTGATCTTTTCGACAGGTGCGCTTTTGGGGTTCGGCCGTGGGCTGCCCGAGCAATTGAAGTTGGCGGACGTGTGGCGGTTTGACGTTTCTCAGGCGCGGATCGAGTTTCCAGATGTAGAGGGCTGCTACTGGCGACAGCTGGAGTACAGCTTTGGAGAGCCGAGACCAAGTCCCAGGCTCGGGGCCAGCTTTCTAGCGGTAAATCCTAACACGCTTCTCGTTTTCGGCGGGCAAGTAGGTGCCGTGGGGTGCAAAGAGGACACGCTTGCAGATGGTACTACCTCTTTCCTTGTTTCTATATCGATCAATCCACTTACTGTGCTGGCAGATCGTCGTTGTTCTTTAAACAATTCATTTAAAGATTGGTTTAACTTTATCTGCTATGAAGGACCACAGCCGTTTATCTCGTCCGCATCCACTAGATATGTGGCAGATGGACGTTGCTAGTCGCAAGTGGAAGAGCATTCAGTATGCCGGATATTACCCTGGCGCGAGACGCGGCGCGCACTTCGTGCGCGCGTCAAATACAGAGCTAATACTCATTGGCGGATACACGTCGCCAGACACTGCCTCCTTGGAGATATCGATGGACCCTGGCGGAGGACCACAAATGAAGTCAGGGACGCAGGTAAGATTCAAATATTAGAGCAGAAAGACACAATGGCCCGGACGATATTCTCCTTCTTCTGGGATTGTCGTGGTTTGTCCAGATTTTGATAAAAAGATTCAAAGGTTTGGGTTTCATATTTATTAAAAATGATTTTGGAAGATTGACGAGATTCATTATTTGCATCCAGCATCCTTCGCCCTCTTTCTACAACAGTCGATGATGACCGGGGGAGCGTCAACGGGCGCGGCTTCAGCCGGCGGCGGCGGGTGCTGCTTGGACACGTTGGTCTACGACATTGAGCTTTCTATCTTTACGCGCCCAGCAATCGGGTTCCTTCCGAGACGGCTCTCTCCTAACATCTGCGTTGCTGGTAAAGTGCCGTGTCTTTATGATCGAGCAGAATTAGCGCAAATGCATATGTTCAATACTAATACTAGACGGTAGCTAGTAGAATAGGCTACGATGCTGCTCCTCGACGTTTTGTACGTTGTTGTTAACTCAAAGCAGAACTGTGCTTTTTGTTTTCTTCAGCAAGAAATAACTCTTGTCTTTTTTTGCACTTCGTCTGGATCAGCCTGGCTAGCGCACCCAGTTATGCTTGTACAGTGCTGCGACTCGATCTACCTACTCTAAGGAATTGTTCTGAACAAGCGCGACAAGCAGGCGGCGTTTATCCAATATCCGGGCGCCAAGAAGCCACCGCCAAAAAGGGAAGAGCCAGCCGAGGAAATGATGCGGAATGACGCTGAGCGCATTCTCTTCTTAGGGCTGAAAAATTTGGATTTTTCTATGAACCTGCGATTCTTCATAAACTAGGGCTACATGCTACGAGCTCCTTGCTCAAGAGAAATCATCTTCACGTGTGCAACATCAAAATCAATTGAATTCAGTGCCTGTGCTGGTCTAACTCTTCGCACGAGGAAAGAAATCGACGAGATAGAGCAAAGTCTGCAAGGGGTCTGTAAGGAGAAAGCAGATGTGAAAAGTCAGTTGGATGAAGTTATGGCTGCAATGGAGCCCGCTGATGAAGTGAGGGAGGCGTATGACGAAATTGAGCGCCGCAAAGCAGAAATCACGAGGCAGGAAGACGTCGAAGGGGACCTCCTTAGCTGGATTTCTGAGGAAACCACATATAGAAGAAATGCAAGTCTGCTGAATCGACACATCAAGAATCTCGTCGCAGCGGCAGAAGCAAAGCTATTCTCCGAGCAGGTCTTAGAATACTCGCTTGAGCAGGATATAGATGACGCGCGAAGGCTGACGCTAGAAGCAGATACTGAGACAGCGTACACGACACACGCGGAGCATTTAGAGAGGCTGCGCAGTTTGCTGGAAAGTCCGGAGTTCAAAGAGCTACTTGCCTTAAGGTTGGCTGTACAAAAATATTTATTCCCACACTAAGTTTTGAAGCGCACTGCTCAATTAGATTAATAGCTTTTTTCTCAGTCTTTGCCCAGAAAGTGAAGATGAATGAAGTTGAAGAAAGTGAGACCAAGGAAAAACGAGTGGCAGAGAATGATGAACCGCACGCGCAGACGTGAAGATATCTAACCCTCGGCGGGGCCAAACGAGAGGCGCGGAAGAAAAAAATTGAGAAGATGCTAAAGGACTGCCTTCCAGAGGCTATGGGAGCGACAGCAAAGTCGCCGGGTGCCTCACGGAAAAACAGCGCTCGCAGCCAGACTTCACTCCAAGGTTGAAGTTGAGAGTTGGTTTGGTATAGTGACAGGTTTATCGTTTTACTGCGCAAAACCATGTGTGAATAGAGTTTTCACGTGACATTAGTACTGTATATCCGAGTTTTGGAAAAAATCAAAGGACTACATCTACAAGTCTTAGTATCGGACAGTCTTGGTTCTTCACGTAGAGTCAGAGTGTGTGGTGACCCTCGAGTAGGAAGATTTCCATGGACGGCGTTGTTGATAGAAGTTACTTTGCGATGTCAGCTAAACGCCAGTTCATTATGATTTCTTTCTGTGTACAAAAAAAGAACGATTTTGATGATTTTGGAACTTTGGAAAGGTGGCAAATGGCAGAGAGAGAGAACTAGCAAGTGTCTCCGAGACAGGTCTCTGACTGCGGTAAGCGGGGGGGCAGAAAAATGGATGGGGACTGTTGGGTAAAAATTTGCGTGCTTGTGTTGAGAACAAAATCAAAATCGATTCACCAAGTTGGCTGTAATTGTAGTGATGTACTATCTCCTCGTCTCATCACAGCAGTCGAAGGAGTTCGATCAGTAGAGAAAGCTTCACTAAGTCGTTCTTCCTCATCTTCATCTTTACTGATATTCGCGGAAGAACGCACGGCAAAAAACATGTCTCTCTCTCTCTCCTGACGGTGGCGCTCCGTCTGACCTCGTGTCTCCAGCAGTCGAGGCTGGCGCCGGCATGAGCATTATGGCGCTGCCTACGACACTGAAGAACAAGATCGCAGGTGGCGGACCGCGGCGTCCGTCGGAAATCGAACGCGAGCAGGCGGAAGGTCGTGCACCATCGACAGAGCAGGCCAGTGAGGATGGATCGTCTGCGCTGTCACCTGTCGAAAACGCGTCACATGGGACCGTCGATCTTGCGTTAAGAACGTGAAGATACATAGAGGTGTTGTGCAAGGAAATATACCTAATTCTCGCCCACATCATACCACTAGACCTTTCGTGCCAGGATGCGCGTGCGCGTGGATTTCTAGGTGTTTAGTACAAAGAGGACACATGAACATATTATGTTGTACTAGAGATTCTTGTTGTTGTTCTAGTGCTTCTTGTTCATCAACCCCCATATCATGCACATCTCTAAGAAAAGAAGTCGCTTTGGGCTCGCTACCGAGCAAGGGCCTACCAGCTGGGGCACCCTCGTCTCCGCTGCAAGACCTCCTTTCACAGGCGATCGACCTGCTTCGCGGCTCCGATATGCACTTTATTCAGGTACTAAAAATTGGAATTTGTTTTGCTGTTTGAGTGTGGTTCTTTGTAGTTCGTTGTCGAAAATGAAAGCAACAACATAATATTTTGATCGAGAAAGTGAAGAAAGGGAAACTTCAATTTGAGAAGATGAATCAGATTTTGATATCAAACCTTCTTCAGGCAGTTCACTTCACCATTGCCGTCACTTTCACGTTTATCGGCGCTTGTGTCTTTGCCGGGAGCCGCGACGAGACGAAGAGTGCGGCCGCGGCTGTGAAGTACACTGCGATGTCGGACTCCTTGCTCATCTTGATGGATCGTCCAAGTGGCGTCCAATGCCTCCTGTTGTGTGCGTGTTTTTGATCACCCAAACGTGCGCTTGGACCAAGTTGTCGCGGGGCGTTTTCCTCGCGTCTCTGCCAGACTTGCGTCGTGACCGGCGTTACTTGCGCCTTGTGCGCCCAGCGGCGTCGTCGCTGCTGGTCCAAGCTATCTGTTTGGCCGCCGCGCTGGTTTGGACCAGCTTCGCAATTGCAAGTGTCGCGGACACGGAAAACGAAGACGCCGGAACTTACACATCAGTACTTCTACTGAAATAGTTTTTCGGAACTGCTACGTACTTACTTAAACGTACATCTTCACTTCAAAGTTGTCCCTCTCGTTCTTCTGCATGTGGACTTTGTGCTTCTTATTCACAATAGGCTCATCCAACAGATCTCGTATGAAGATATCAAGAGTCCTCGTGAGCGTGCTTAGATGAACTCAAGAAATTATTTTCTCATCTTGCCAAAATGAAAATTACCTAGTAGCAGGGAGCATGGAACGCTTTTTTCGCATTGGGTTTTTTTTGTCCAGCTGTCTGATGCTCGCGAAGATCGCACGTGACCGAACTTATGCTGGCATTTTTCTGAAGCGTGGTCTTGCTGTGGAGACTACTTCGGATGTTGACACGACGGACAGCACTAGCCGGTCCGGCTCGTCTGTTGCCACGTTTGTGCAGCGTTTTCTGCTGCCGCGTGCAACGGGTGTGGAGGGCGGCTCGTCTTTGAATATCGGGCAGGAGCTGGGACAAACGTGCGAGTCCGCACTGTGCGCAGACGTGACTTCGGTGCTGAGCTTGTCTCGTGGCACTCTCGTGAACAGCGCTGTGATGTGGGGCGCATATCCTGTCTCGCTTCTGGTCACCCTCATTTTTCTCTGGGGCGTCTTCACGGACGCGGACGGCGCTGGCGATCTTGGCAGCGACAGCAGTCTGAAGAGACTCTTCATTGTCTGTCTAAGTACTTTTTTCAGCGCGACTATTATGGCCTCTTATGATAAATTCATTACCTGGAGTTCGAGTTGTCTTGTTGTTGTTTCTTCACAGACTACAAGATCATACATCGGGAAATGCATCTCGAAGTACAACAAGAAGTGAATGATCATGAGTTTGACACCGCCTTGACGCCGGTTGCATTGTCCCATCCTTGCCGCCGGTAATCATGATGGTCGATGGCGACTACATCTGTGATTATCTTAATCCGCACTGCGCTGTAAATTCCTTACCATGAGTTTACCTCTGTGTAAGTTTTGCTTCACAAATGGCCAGTAAGGGCCGAACCTGAAGCACATGACCATGACCACCTTGCCTAAGGCCGACTGGATTCAGCATGGTAGGAGTTGGGCACTAGAAATTGCAAAGAAGGAACAACTCTGCTTCTAAGACGTGCGTATTTCACTTGGCCAAGCTGGTGCGCGACATCAAGAAAATTATCTCTCCACTCCAGCGGCCCTTCCGCTGCCTCGTCGTTGGCGCTTTCCTGCTCAGCACCGCCGTCAACTTTGCTGTGATTGTTACGGCTTCATCTTCGATGGTTCAATCACTCTCACCATCCCCTTTGTCAATCTTCAATTCGCCTTCACAGCTGTTTTTTCTTGGTTTGAGGCCTAGATAATATAGATATCTAGGAAGGCGGAGTCAATGATGAGGGAAAAGCAAACTCTTCTACATCTACTGTCAGCAGTAGATACAGCGGTCAGTGAGTTTCAGAGTTCTAAGATTAGCGCTGCTGACGTGACCGGGCGCACGGAGGTCCGTCTGTTTCTGCTCATGGGGTTCTTTTTCCAGGTCGGGTCGTGCATGAACCTCGTGAAGCTTGTCCGCGATAAGCAGGAAGTGCTGAAGGCGGATCGCCAGCTTTTACAGGAAGCCGCGTTCTTGCGCAAGGGGGCTGCCGTTTAAGGCAGAACAGGATAGCTGTGCAGCTGTCTGCTGCGCACTTGGAAGGATAAACGTTGAGCTCGCTAGTCATAAACATAATTGTGAGTAAAAAAGACAGAGCCACTGAATTTTCCGAATGGTCATAACAGGGACATACACATGACATGAATTTTCCGAACATATTAATTTACTGCTTCGCTATCGCTTTACGCTGACTCAGCACTAGAAACGGAGAGAATTATGTACGAAAGAACAATGAGGGTGGTGGATCGACTTTACGACGAACTACAAGGATTTCAGGCTAGCAAATTTCTCAACATGAGCATATTGTCGTCTTGAAAGCGTTCGCTGGCTGATGAAAATTCATAGATAAAAAAGATATCGATGGCTTTCTATCGTAATCGTGCAAAGAAAGTTTTGACCACAGGGAGCTGATTAATTATCAACTTATGAATGGGTGAAAGTATTTTGTTGTGAACATGAACAACATCATAACTCCGTTGGTTGAGTAGACAAGCTGCACAGCAATCACTAGTTGTATTCACCGAGAAATCTTCGACATTTCTATGTATTCATCTACATCTTACTTACAAACATAGAAGTCACTCATTGCAAACGCAGTTGGAAACCATTTTCACAGGCGTCATCGACTCCTTACCGCCCGTGGGCTTCAATATTTATATAGGCTATTTATCTAAGTACAATATAGATAGATAGTTTTGTTGTATGAGTTAACCAATTACTTGTATTTACAGTTGCTTTGAGTGACTATACGAGCGGTCCTTTGTTGTTTCGTCTTTACTCGCGCCTCGTTTGAAATGTAATGAACTCTGTTCTTGCAATCGGTGCCCCTCCCTTACCGTCCCCACATCCCCCCACTTCCAAAATGATAGGAGTTCTATCGCCTAAGTTGTTATAATCTTTTATTTGTTGTCGTTACCTCTCTTGTTTTGCTTAGCCTGTTTTTCTCTACAAAAAATGGTTCCTCGCGGATGCGGTAGCATTGGTGGACTAGTAGCGTAGTGATCTCAATCCTTACATGTATTGACGAAAGTCGTCATTTGTTGTATAGACAGTTACTAACCACCAAGCACCACCAAAGAAGTATAAGAAGGGTGCGGTTACTTTCTCGCAGTGAGTGGGGATGGGGGCACTTCCTGGGAGAGAAAAATCAATAAGCAGTAGACGGTCTTGCATGTCTGCATGTATACGACTAACTAAGAAAAAACAAAGAGGTTGTTCTGCAGCCGAAGCCGCCCGGCCTGTGCCAGTCCAGTGTTCGCGAAGTCTAAGAAATATTTCTCTTGCGTTGTCTCATGAAGGATGTTCCCTTGAGGTTCCACAGAAGGGAAATGTCGATCTGATTTTGTTCAAAAAATGCGGAAACGATCCTGAACCTTCTGTCAGAACTCGTTTTTATCTCCTTCGTCCAATACATAGTACCCAAGGTGGGCAAAGACGGAAATACACGCTTATCTTTTTTCAAAGTTTTCTCGGTATATGTTCTATAACCGCGTCGCTAGACGTAAAGCGACAATATACAGGCATAGACTTGTGTAGTCATTCTGATTGACGATGTGCGCATTGTGACGTTTACCTGTCAGGGTGGCTCCTTTTTTTGACATTTGATATATATGTTTCAGGGCTCAGGGCGGGAGGCCCCCCCCGATCTAACTTTTTGAGGGGGGGGCCTCCCCGCCCCGGCCCCTCTTTTCGAGGGGCTGCCGGGCGGGAAGGCCTCAAAGCGCCCACTTCTGACCCCTTCCCGCTTCTTGCATGTACCCTACAGACCTGGCAAAGGTGGCAAAGGCTGGGCCCTCTTGTCGTGTTGCGTGTACCCGACAGAGCTGGCAGAGGAGGCAAGGCGGGACCCACCCCCTTGGCGTGCTGCATGTACCCGACAGACCTGGCAAAGGTGGCAAGGCTGGACCCCTCTGGCGTGTTGCATGTGCCCAACACTACAGACCTGGCAAGGGTGGCAAGGGTGGACCCCTCTGGCGCGTTGCATGTGCCCAACCCTACGCCAAGGGGGTGGGTTCCCGCATTGCCTCGTCTGCCAGCTCTGTCGGGTACACGCAAGACGACAAGAGGGCCCAGCCTTTGCCACCTTTGCCACCCCCGATCCATCCCCAGATCCATCCACAGGGGGGGGCCTCCCTCCCTGGTACATAAATATGTATCTATTGAAACAAATACAAATAAGGTTGTATAGTGTTGTAAAGATCTTTTTTGGCTTACAATTGGATAATTCAAACTTGATTTTGGAAGTTCGTTCAAGAGAAAAATGGCCATGTCGACCACGGGGAGCGGCTCAGCTATTCCAGCAGGTGTCGACGACAGCCTGGGTTCATCGTACAAGTCTTTATCGAAGCTGCATAAGCGGGAAAAAGTGATTGTTCAGTACCGCCTGATGAAAGACTACAGCGACCTCTTAAAAAATCCCTTGGACGGCGTGGACATCTGGCTCAATGAAGAGAATGTGTACGAGTGGCACGTCACAATATCACCCCTCAGCGGCCACTACGAAGGGCTACGACTGCATTGCGTCATTATGTTTCCGGAGGACTATCCGAAAATGCCGCCGAAGGTACTATACTTGGAGTTTCTTTTTTGTGATCGTGATGGACACAGATAGATGATTCTCGATAGGCACTTGTAGGACCAGACTGAATGGAAATTGAGTTATAGCTGGAGTATGTCTTTGGGAGAGGCAAGAGCATGACTTGCTGGAGAATCATGCGATATTATAAGTAGATACTAGAGAAACATCGAGTACTATGCTGCAAAACTTCCTGTGAATTGTACGCAGGTTGATCTTATGAACCCGCTGCCGCATGTGTGCGTGTTTCAGGGGGGCTTTTACTTCGGTCCATACTCGCGAAAGCCTATCAAGAGTCCCTATTCGCTCTGCACCGAGATGCTCCAACCACCCCGCGGACGCTACCATGGGTGGAGCCCGTCCTACAGCGTTACCGCAGTGCTTTCGCAGTTGCAGTGTCTGTTATTTGACGACACAATCGAGTTGGAAGACGGCTTGGGCATCCGCAACACGCTGTGGGACAGTTATTGCGGGAAGCGCTTCAGTGCGGCTCGTGTCTGCGAAGAGCTGCACAAAGCGCAGAGGCTGTCTGACGCTTGCTATTGTCCCGACTGTGGGTATTCGGGTCGCGACGCGCCGCCCCTTGTTGCAGTGACGGAAATGAACAAAGAAAAAAGAAAAGATGAAGAACGCGGTGATAGCACAGCGCCCACAGCGTCGTCTTCGCAAGTCTCCTCAGGCTCAACGTCTTCCCTGGAATGTCAAGCGAGAACACAACTTGCAGGTTTGGAGAATAAAGAGAGCATCGTCGAACAGGAGTCTGGGGGCCTCGCTATTGGGAAGCACGTGCTCATGAAAAAGGCCACGGAGCAGGAGGGCAACAGCTCTATTGACGAGGCTTCGCCGTCAGAGGGAGAGATGATCGTCGAATCAGAAGAACAGGATGAACTCAATACAGTAACGTTGTCGTGGAGTGTTGTTAGCTTGCCTGTGTCGACTTCTTTGCAAGAAGATACGAATAATCGTGTTGCCGCGACCTCTTCAGCCATCCCTAGCAAAAGCGCTTCTTCTGATGTAGGAAGGACAGCTCAGTTTTATACTACGACAGCCGATGATCACGTGGTGGAGGGAGTGGACACCGACATCAACCGACGTGGATTCCAAGAAGATACCAAGAAGCGTCGATTGCTTCCGCGCGTGCCAGGCGTTCTTCAGCACGGAGACCTGGTCTCGTTTCGTTTCTTCGGCGTGCCCGACAACGCACGCAAGGGTGTGAGGAACATCAATCAGAACTTGGCGATTTACAACTACGGTTTTCATCCAGAACGAGACTGGGTCTACGACATCGAGACGGGGGAGTGTGTCCACGTGGCCGAGCAAAAAGAGGATCGACTGGACCGGGAACGGCGCGAGCGCTTGGAGGAAGAGCAAAGGGAGAAGCAGTTGTTCGTGCTTGGATGCGACTCCATACTGCGTCGCTGTGGCGGAGAGCAGCGTTTCGAGCTCAGTGGGGTGCTCTTCGAATATGGCATCGTGACGCGTGTTGACTGCCACCGAATGCTTGTAGATGTCTACTTTTTTGGTGTGGACAACCAGGAGGAGCTGACGGAGGCAGTGTCGCCGGGGAGCCAAGGCTTCGTTGCGTGGGAGAAGATGAAACGGCGAGGAGCCCGAAATAAAATGCAGCGTCGCCGTCACGTAACTTTCAGTGAAGACGAGCTTCGGGCCCTTCAGGTATTAACTGGAGTCCCAGATCTGGGGCGCACTTTTGCCCGTAGTGCCGGACGCAAGAATAATGCGACATCGTCGAGGAATGAGCAGCCGCGCCCAACAATTCTAAATCTGGGATTGCGCCCTGGCGCGCGGTTGGAGCACCACATTTACCGAGCACTGACTGTTGAGTCCGAAATCGAATGCGAGGGAAGGAAAAATGCGAATTCCAGCAGTTCTTCAACATCGGGTCGGGACCGATTCGTGGCCTTCCATGTCGCGTACCAGGACCAAGTTAGAGGCAAAAGGGAGAGTGAGCGCTGCCCCCCCGGTGTTTTGCACCATCCGATCAAAGAGATTCCGAACCACAAATCGCAGGACGAGAAAGAAGAGGCACCTCGTAAACGGTGTGTTCTGTTCAAGAACATACCGCTGAGCCGGGTTTTTCTGGCGGATTTCTACGATGAAAATGTCCGACCGGTGTGGGACTGTCAGCCGGAAGAAGCGACGGCAAAGGGGGGGAATGGAAGGATTGCTCCACGCGTTCGTACGAGGACAGGAGTGCCGACTGTCGTCAAATCCTACGAGGAAGCTAAGGATCGTGGACTCATTCTGATGCGGACTGGAGAGGACGGCATCGTTCGGCCTGAAAAGAATGTTGTAAAAAGGGATGATAACGATGTTGCTCCAGATGCAAAGAGCAAGGGCAAAGTAGACGAGGAATACGGGGAGGAGAAGCCTTCCAGCTCTTCCGGGAGTGCCGTGGAGTCATGCGGGATTTCGGCTATCACGACCGAAAAATCAGAGAACGTTGTTATTGCTGAGGACGCGATTACTCTTTCGGACCTTCAGACTGAAAAGAGCTCGTTCGTCGTTCTCGAGGATGCCAGATCATTGCGCAGCCTTGCTGCGGAGTCGCTCTTGAGCCGCGTGTTCGCGCAATCACGAAGCACTCAGGAAGCCGTTGGCGAGCGAGGTCTTATGACGGAAAGCGTAGCATCATCTGGGACCGGCATGACAGAAGTCGGAGGTAAATTTTCCGACGTAGAGGACGTGCAGGAGCTAGACATTGATGTAGAAAGCGACTTCTCGTCAGCTCTGCTGTTGCAAAACGATGCGTTTGATGTCTGGAGTCTGGGGAATGGAGACCTGATAAGCGTGTCTGCAAAAGATGTGAAATCGTCTGCGAGCTCTGTGGTGTCCGACGCTGTTCTTGTTCCGTCTCAAACTGGGGCCACCAGCATTGCGGTACAACCTTCGAGAATGCCCCAAGGACAGTTGCGTGCACGGGGCCACAATGGTGCCTCTTTCTCCGCACTGTTAGCACTTCAGGTTGACCTAGCGAAGAGCCCGCAACTGGTCCAGGCACTCGAGGCTCTACGCACAGAGAATCGGCCGCTCGTAGGGATGAAAGTCAGAAGCGTGCTCGATTTTGGCGCTTTTTTGCAACTTCCAGTTGTCACTGTGAACACTGCGGTGTCTGGAAAAATCGTTGATAGCAGCAGCACAAATCAGATCAAAGATGAGAGCACGAGCAAGGGAACAGAAGTCAAGACCAGTACAAAAAGCAATGACCACCGCCAAAACTTGGTGATAGATGGGCTGCTTCCGTTTGCGCCGTTCATGAAGCGCGTGTTGCTAGATGCGAATGCTACTGTCGATGATAGTAAAAAGACTGATGCGGCAAATTCTTGGAGCTGCATTGGTTTGGAAAACACAGTGCGTCAGCTGCGAGACTGCAAGCAGCGATTGGATGCGTGCACCCGTCGAGGCGAAGCCTTAGCATTGACACAGGAAGACCTCACGTTCCGCATTGAGCATCCTGTGTTTGTCAATGCGATCGACGCAAACCGCGGTCGCGTGAGTCTGTCGCTGCTACCTACTTTGCGGGCCGCGGACATGGTACCTGGAAGGCCTTTGGCGGGAATCGTGGTCGATGCCTCCAAGGAGAAGACGTTGGGAGTCTTTGTGGCCGTGTCCGACAAATTGGTTGGCCTGGTGCGGCGTGCCGACTTTGGCGAAACCGCCGGCAATGTCAGTTTAGATGGCTACTCTGATTGGCTTTACCGTGACCGCAAAACCCAACGCTTCGCGGCGGGAGACAGAGTGAAGGTGTGGGTGGTCGCATGCAAAACGGGTGAACAGGCATTAGTAGCTGGCGATCATGCCACTTCATCGTCTAGCACAACAGGAAAGCAGGAACAAACAGCCACACCTGCGGGTGAAACCGAACAAAAGAACCCGCGACGGCCTGCTCGGGACTACCGTTTAGATCTCACATTGGATCAGCACAGTCCAGCTATGAGGGACGCGCGCTGGAACTACTTGGTGCGGCCACTGCGTCTGCCGTGTGCGGGAGAGAAAGAGGATGGCGAAGCGACGACAAAACAGCGCATTGAGCACGTAAACCTTGGCCTTGCGGACCAGTCTAATAAAGATGAAGCATTGATGCGAGAGAAGGCAGTAGATAGAGAAGTAGAGTCCTCATCTTCTCAATCAGGCTCTCTCGGCACAGCTAAGCATGTTGCGGCAGGCGTTTACGACTACGAGCAAAATTTGGTTTCTGATCGCGACCTCTTGTTGAAGAACAGCAACTTCATGCGTTCTGCCATCGCCTGCTATCCAGACCTGTTTTCTGCTGAAGAGCTCGCTCGGCTGCAAATAGACTATCGGGAGCAGGAGATGGACCTGAAAAAGGAGGGAGAGATCCAGCGTGCGGCCCGCGAAAAGCGACTAGAAGCTCATCGCGACGCGGAAGTACTGCGAAAGATGACGCCTGAGGAGCGGGAACGAATACTGTGGGGCCGCGAGTACTACCGCAAGATCGAGGAGGAGCGCAAGCGGCGCGAAAAGCTTTGGGAGGAATTGGTAGAACGCATCGAGAAGCGCCGGTCGAACTATCCAGGCAAATCGGTTGTGGATATTGCTGCATTGCAAAAGGTGCTGCATACTATTAAACTTAAGAATTACAACTGCCGCAGCTGTTTTGTCACCGGGCTGTCTTTTAAGCAGGACGTTTTGGGAGTAGGCCTCGAGATCCGCCCTGAGGACGCGTTCAGCGACCGGCTGGCGCTGCATTGCAGCTTCGACCTGCTGTCGAAGACTGCATATTACGACTTCGGAACGCGCATGGGCGTGTGGGGTGACGGCCTCAGCTTCTGGATGCCTGCAGCGATCGACGCGGAGCACTTCGAGCGGGCCTTGCAGTATCTCCGAGACCTCTTCCAGCACCTCGGAAACTCGGAAGTGGCAGCGAAGACGCGTTCTTACGGCACGCAAAGTGGGTCAAGTCGGTTCCATGCTGGCGCGCAGATGCGTGAGGCTATCCGCAGTGGTGGGAAAATTACTTCTTTGGATGAATACCGAAAGCAGCAGGCGGAACGAACGAAGCAACAGAAAGCTTTGGAACGAGGCGCAGCCGATAAGGAGGCCGTGGTGGTTGTCAGCGCTGCTGATGCAGATCCAGATGCTGCGTCTATGCGCGGTGATGACGCAACGTCTGTAGCATCGTCTTCATTTGTTCTTGTGCAAGGAGGCTGCTCAGCGGAAGTAGCTAAAGGTATGGCGTTCAGTCCTGCCTCTTCCAGTCGGAGCGAAAAACTCCGCGATGGACCTCCTCCTCCGAAACAGCCTGCGATCCGAGCACCTCCCGCCTTGACCGAAAATGATATGTCCTACGCTCTCGAGGTTCTGCCGAAGCTAATGAATTCACAAGTGGTCTTCCTGTTGAAAGGCGAGCTGCACCATTCAGAGAAGGCGTTGGAGGGCTACATCGGCTTTCATCACCTTTTCCTGAGCATTCTGGACCGCTTTCCGCGATTGCAGCAACAGGTCGAGGCTCGCATTCAAGTGTTCAAGAACGTGGAAGCCGCTAGATCTAAAAAGGGCACCCCGAATATCGGCGAATTTCTTTGCCTTCTTAGCGTCTCGGAAAAGTTTACCTGGGATGATTTATCCTCGGAAATTTTGCGCGAAACGCTAGACCGTAACGCTAGCTGGGCCATTGATCCATATCCGCAATTGGCGGTGTCCTGTGACCCTACTTTTCGACTGGAAAAGACCTTCCTTGGGAGTATCGTCTCCATTCGTCTGCTGGTTTTCAACGTGTGGTTTTTGCGAAACGTAGTCTTTCGCTACGAAACGACAGAGGAACTCCTTGAGGCGCGGCGTGAGCGCCTCTCGTTCCCCAAGTTGCGCTTGCGTGCCTACAATCGCTCCAAGGGCGTGCCTTCCGCTGCGGTTTTGGAGCGCCTGACCAGATTCTTTCGTGCCTTTCGCGAGGGTGGCGGCGGGCTCGAGTCCTGGGCCGAGTATTTCCAGTACCTCAACCTCGCACCGGTGTCGAAGGAGGAGCTGGACCGGTTATTGCTGGACCGCATTGTAGAGTCGGTCAGAAAGGGTTACCTGCCCAAATTTCGCTTACGGCAGGCGGAGGCACGGCAGGAGATGTTGCGCAACCGCAAGGCGAACAAAAAAGCTGTCAAGGCGGGCGCTGGCGAAGCCACTGGGGAAAATTACATGAATGACGTATGAAACGTCTAAGATACGAAGGAAAAAACAAAATACTGCAGGTCGTCGGAGCACGCATGTAGTTCATGTTATATAATATATTTAGATGATTTTGATTCGATTTTTACTTTTAGTACAAGTAGTTTTTATCAGCCTGATATGATGTTGAGAGACGAAATCGCATGTTCATTAGTTTCGACAAAGGACATAATATTTATAAATCTTATAATTATAGGCGAGACCTATGGGGCTGACAGGACGACGATAGCGCCGGCGCTTAATTAGTTTTAGCAGTTACCAGGATGCTTTAGGATACTTGTTGATAGTCGCCCTTTTCTCTTTTATATCTTCCTCTGGTCTGTCTTTTTTCTAGTTAGGTCGGCTCCGCCACAAATATTATATATTTATAATTATAATATGCAAGTGAAAGCGCTTTGCCACTTCCACAGTGGCAGTTTCGAATGCGTCGGTTTTCTTATGTCTGCGCCTGCCCCAGTTTCATCCAGAACCGGAACAGTAGTGCATCTTCCATTCTTGTACGGCCAGACTCCTATCGTAATGCGATGTGAAATCCGTGCATCGTTCCGCACCATCATAAACTCACTCTTTAGTACTTACACGCATGAACAATAGTCACCGTCGGGATTCACTACATACTTGATGCATAGATGTATCTACACAAGAGACAAATTTGTATTTTTGAACGCTAGAATCATGATTACCTCAAAAAAACTACACCCAATGATCCCCTGCATTGCAAACCTATGCAACTAGACAACACCTCGCGAACAGGTTCTTACATGAATGAATTAATGAATATATTTATACTTGTAATAGACGGGGGCAGCATAGTATTTCTTTGTAGAAAACAAGGTTTATGAACACACATGCTCCCTCGTTCAAATCATCGCAGCTTGCAAGTTGTATTTGCGTAGGAGGTAAACAGAATTATGTTCCTAGTACGTGCTTACGCTTAGGTAGTGATTGACTTTTGGAGGATAAAGCAAAGATTTCCATCAGTCAGGTAGTCTACCCCAAGGCGTGGGGAGACTACGGCTTCGGCTGCGTATCCGGTCATCCGCAATGACACATTCGTTCTCTTTTGGGACTGGATAAGCTTGCTGAGTCATAACAAAAACTTTACTATCGTCCGCTTTCTTTATTTAATGATCATTTCCTACACCGACGAGCATAAAAATCTGAAGACTGACACTACACGCAGTCCATCTATCAGGGATGAACGCGAGGCTGTCTTTTCTCGAGCAGAGGCAGGATCTTGTTGCGCGCAAGGTCACGATGTCTGTGCGTATAAAAGCTCTGACGGAAATTGATGCTTTGTCGAGCGAGGATTGTAGCATCAGTTGTGCTATTTTGTGTACTTATTCATTGGTGGAAACGATAGCTAGAGTGAGTAGCGAGAACTATCGCTGTAGCAAGAAGAGCTCAGAGGCAAGTAGCACGCTGGAGATGGCAGAGCCAACGGGAAATAGAAGGAAACGTTCTATGGGAGTATAACAAAACTCTTGAGTTAGAGGGTCTCCACGCATACACATTATATTTATCGGTATCCACTCGGACACTTGCACTTCCACCTAAAGTAAGCTAAGCAAATGATGCAGCGAACCCAATACTATTGAGGAAGAACGAAAAAGAAAGACCTAATAGAGGAAGCACAAGAAAATGGCTGCGACGTCGGGGCACCATTTGGTGACGCCGGAAGCGTTGACTGGCTGCAGTACGATTATCAAGGAGCTCTTCACAACTGGATCCAGCGCAGCGTATTCGTACTCGTTGTCTTCCGAGATCAGTACCTACTACTATGAAAAGGACGAAAAAACACTTCCGTACACGCTGAAGGAGTTCAAGTGCACTCTTGTGTTAAGGCTGAATGATATACGAATAACTCATACCCTCTGGTGGCTGTGCAAGGCTATGCTTATGTGATGAAGCAAGAGAAGGTCACGCCGCACGCTGGAATACACTCAGTTAGGAGGGACACTGTGTAGGGATGAGCTTCTATAGAAATTCAAATTTGTTGATTTTTTCCCTGCACGGCCACGTCTAACTTCCCATGGTAGCAAGATCGCTCTCATCGTCTGGGACATGCGGAAGACCCTCAATGCAATAACCAGGACCACTCTCTGGGAACTCTGTTTCCTCCTCGAGCACTTTCGCCGGGTAGAGTCAGTCGTTGCGTTGGTGTGGGTTTCGTCCTCCACACCGAAAGGGTTTTGTTCGGGAGCAAACCCGGCAGGCTTGCAATCAACGGAGGTTGCCGATGAAGTCGCTGCAGGATACAAGCACGCACGAAGTTAAGACTTTGATACTTTGATGATACGCACAAGGAGTGATCCAATTCCAACACACACTACTATTTAATTCATCTTGATCTTTTCTTTGCAACAACGTGAATATCATGTCGATGTCGACGCTTCTTCTTTGTAGTTCGCCATTCCACATCGACTTTTCACAACAGATGATTCTACTTTTCGAGTGCCAAGATGGGCGATGAAAGCAGTTGTAATTATTTGCTGCAATCATTAGCGTAGCAAGCACTTCCACATACGCTAACGTACAGGCCTGGCGGAAGATTTTCCAAATGGTCGCGATGGATCATCGATCGACTTTACCCTGAAGGGTCCTGTCGCGATCTGGCATGAGTATCCCAAGCTGTCGATCTGTGCATGTCCAGGTTTAGCGATCGGCGGTGGTACAAATGCTTTACGTTGATGTTTCAATAACGCAAGTAGATGAGATACAACCATTTTGGTTGCTTGAGCAGAATCGTGGTAGGGGTTGTCATTGCACCACAGTACCGCTGATAAGAAGCAGTTGTGCTTACTTACCTATGGTTCAACATTATACTCGATGCGATCAAATATAGCATTTTTTGGCTTTGGTGTTGTTCTTCTAACACTTGCTTTGATGGTGCATGATTTTGTGTTTGTTGCACCTGACACAAAATTTCGCTTTCCTTTTGCCGAACTGGGTGTTACGGCGGAGGTGGCTTCGAGTTACTGGCTCCCGCGATGGGTAGGCATGGCGAGAGCGAAGGAGTGGATTATGACCGGAAAGTGGTTCACCGGTCCGGAGTGTGTCGCGGCTGGGATTGCAACGGAGGTCGTGACCGGGCCAGTCTACGCCCTGGAGGGACACGCACTTGCCTACACCCAAGCGCTACTAGACACATCCGCGAAATTTTCAACGGTCTCGCTATTAAAAAATAAGCGCCTCTTGCATGCTAGCTACGACGCCACGCTGGAGCCGCACCTTACTAAGGAACAGTTGTTCTTCACGGAATGCCTATCCGATCGGGACAGCATGGAGCGTTTCTCAAATCTGATGAAACTCGCGAAAAAAAGGAAGGCAGAACAGCAGCAGAAAAGTAAGCTATAAGCACAGTAATGACTCACTGCGGTGTTGAACCTGCTTAAGGAAATCGAAAATTCACTGGGGAGGAGAACAAGTGCAGCTTGTAGCAGATTTATAGATACTAGTAATTTTTGATGTGAACAAATAAATGACCACTGAATATGAAAGAAGAACGTATTCGTCTTAGAAAGACTAGAAGCAAATTATAGATCGGCGATTGACTTCGTTTTCGTTTCTCTTTTTAGACGTGATGATGTTGTCTATCCTATGTGGCCGTTGTCATCCTGTCGCGGCAAATCCTTTTCATTGATTTGTGCTTATGTCTCTTTTTCTGTGATCTTGACACAAGATTGAAACAGATTCAGAATCTTATTTTAGGAATTTTTGATGGGTGTAGCCTGATTCTTTCACGCTTGCTCAATCTTCTTGTCGCCACACGAGGACCTCTTAAACGCTAATGGCTCCTTTGAGCTAATTTGATTCTTCTTCACATTGGCAAAACAGATTTCAGCAAGTGTCACTACTGTCTTCTAACGACGCTTGGAGCAAAGACTGACATTGTTCAGACTCCGTTTCATGGTCGGGTTGATAGGTTTTTGATTTTTTTTCGTCTTTCGACATCCTTGTGTATAAGCGCGGCCACCTGTCGTGGGTCGGCATGGCGACTAATTTTCCGCGAGCTTCAAGCCGCAAATAAATTCTGATTCATGGTAAACGTGAAAAAGTAACTGTGTGATGAAAAGTCACTGCTTTCCTAAATCGGGGGATGGTGCTGAATACAGCTGCACTACGGACGCGTGGCGTGACTTTCAGAAGGTACGAAGTTGGAGATTTTTTTGTCTTCGGTAGTCATCGTGAGTTTTTGTTCGATTTCCCTTTGTCACGTATCGCTCAGTAGAGCATGCCTGATGACAAAGAATTTCGGTAAGATGCGCTTACTCGCCTCAGGTGCTCCTGAGATGAGTGTGATGATAAGCCCCACCAACACCATTGTGATCAAGAAGCTGATGCGTAATATTCATTGAATGTTGACGATGGAGCGGTAAACGCGGGATCCCTTGGTCGGAATGGTTACCCACTTCTAAGTAATTTATTGTTGCAGCAATGCTGATTAACATTGATGATTCGTCGTTGGCCAACGCCAACGTTGTGTGGCTGTGTTTTTTTGTAACAAATAACAACGTTTGGTTTGTCGAAATGAAAAAGGATCTCTCGATGAGCTGAAGATAGAGATGGAGTGAAAAATAGTCACTAGTGTTCAGTCTCGGCATTGATGCGTCCTTGTGGTTATTCGTGTCCACCATAGTAACTTACCGGATGAAACTCTTTATCGTGTCTATCAAATTGATGGTGTTGTAAAAGTAAATTGTATGTTGTACGGATTCAATCGTTTCCAATAATGATGTTTCGAAGTGCTGGAACGTCCGCGAAAAACACGACTTTAGCTCGAGGTTTGACCGTCTCATTGTCACAACGACAGAGCAGTTTTGTCGGAATGGGAAGCACGATGGCTATGTCCACCACAAGCACAACCAAGACTGACCGCTTTCTGGTCGATGTGCATTCGCACATGTACTACCCAGGCTACATGAACATTCTGCGGGCTCGAAAAACGATCCCGAAAGTAGTCCCAAGTCGCGTGACCGCTGGACAGGAGCGACTGGTGATTCTGCCGAACGAGGAAAATAACAACGAAACGGCTGATATCGGACGCCCGATCGGATCGGAATACTTCGATGTCGGAGCCAAGTTGGAGTTCATGAATACGCATCGCATCAGTCATTCGATCGTGTCACTGGCGAATCCATGGCTGGACTTCTTGAACGCGAATGCGGAAGAAGTCGCCTCCGCGCCGAAATTGGCGCGCCGCCTCAACGCAGACCTAGAGTCACTCTGCGCCAGCGAGAAAGCTGCAAGCCGCCTTTACTTATGACACAGTGGTATGAGTCATCATGATGACATTGATTTACTTAAGATAATTTCAAAGGTCTAATTGAGAAAGTAATTTGATCATGTTATACTAGAGACAGAAGATCTTTCAGAAATTTGCCGTATAGAATTTCAAAATGAAGGCAACGACCAGCACTAGTCTTCGGCGCAGCTGAACCCGAAGTTTGATTTACCAATGATGCGCTGCTCTAATTCATGGTTTCGGAATTTTGCCCACTACAGCAGGCGGTGTCGCGTGCGCAGAAGAGGTTCGCTCTCATCTTTCACAGCTGCCGCACTTACGGGGCGTAATTCTCGGGACAACTGGCGTTTTGGGCCGTGGTCTTGACTGTGCGGCAGAGATGGACCCAGTTTATGCCGAGCTGGAAAAAAGCGGCTTAGTGCTCTTCATCCATCCACACTATGGGTTGAGAGGGGAAGACATGAGCCAGTACGGACACAGTTTGGAGTTAGCGCTTGGATTTCCCATGGAAACGAGTATCGCGATCTCCCGTCTCATTCTCAGTGGAGTCATGGATCGCTTTCCAAACCTGAAGGTGTACGTTGCGCACGCAGGTGGCGTGCTGCCTTGGTTGCAGGGCCGACTGGACAGCTGCGTCGGGTACTTCTGAGTCTCTAATATATAATAAGAATGTGCACATCACGTGTCTGTGTGGGGAAAACGAGAAACGTGTCTATCAATCTTCACAATATTGTTCAGGATGACGTTACTTATACTGCAAGTATGATGTTAGCATGTAATTTTCTGTCGACTTTTCATTTTCTACCGCCTCACAGCTATGAGAAGGAGATTCGATTGGAAAAGGCGCCCTCCGAGTACTTGAAGGATCTTTATTACGACGCGATCATTTACAACTCCGATTGTCTTGACCTGTTGATCAAGTCGGTTGGAGCCGATCGCATAATGTACGGCACTGATCACCCGTTCTTTCCACCGACCGGCACAGAAAAACTTTGGAAATCTGCCGTGAAGATTCAAGAGATCATCCCGAGTCAGCACCGTGATACCATCTATTCGAGCGCAGCGGCCAAACTTTTCGGCTTGCAACTGGGACAGTCGGTAGATCAGAGCGGGGCCGCAAATAGTTCCTCCTCAAGGATCGGCATGGCGGTAGGGGTAAAGCCTGCTCAGGGAGTGAAGGTGGAGTCCTCATGTAGCTGAGGCGCATGAAAAGCTGCAGACGAGTCGCGACAAAGTTTTGGACAAGTGAAGTTTGGCGCAAACAACCATAGACAGTGACAAAGTCAAGACAAGCGTGAAGTGACTTGGTTATTTTCGTACAAGTTACCTGTTTTCGATTTCGGGTAGTGTGCAAAACCTATGATCTACAACAGCATCTTGTGGCCATTTTCCACTTCGTGGTACTTTTTTCGTGCACAATTTATCCGATCGAGTGTAGCTGCACCAATACCGGTTTAATGCAGACGACGAAGACCGGCCTCGTCTGCCGAGGGATGTCACCAATATCCTTCCTAGATCATTAAGATGATGATTGAAGTGCGTTTTAAGGTCAACTAAACCTCCTTTGGAGCAACGACGAAGATTGCTGTTTCTGCAATTATAGGGATTTTGGGCTCGGATTAAGTTTTTGAAATGAACCAACCTATGAATAATCATATAATCAATGAATACTTATGTTGTCAATCATGGCAATAGACGAGAAAGAAATTTATATACATACTGACTTGAAATGAAAAAAAATTGATTTCAAGAGGATGTTATAATTCATCTCGCATGAAAGAATGTACTACAACAACATGGGAAAAAATTGCAATGCTGATGAATGTTGGTCGGAGTTGGCAAATGGGTCTTCTACAGCAAGAAGCTATGGACGTCATCATGTACAACTCACTTAATTTCTACTGAGTTTGTAACCCACAACCAACTACTACTTCTGGTTCTTGTTTTGAATGATGGTGGTTACTACGGCGATCCACGTCGACACCAGACAGGTACAAAAGTGAAGATAGATGGCTGATGCTCGATGGCTGTGATGCTAGATCAACTTGTTTCTGATCTAGCAAATAACTGTATGAAGAAGACGACAGAATGTGCGAAAGCGCAATTGATAGAGAAATGAACATGTTCGGGGAGGATCCCGATTGAGTCAGACCATCAGTATGATGGAAGGCCTGTGTTGTGTCATTGCATTGTATGGCTACGAGCCGAAGTCCGTTCGATCAACAGTCAATGCATGAGCTGGATAGTGATTAGGCTTGTTCCGCGTGCACATTTTAACTGAAGCTGATGTGCCATGATGAATGTGAATTACCGAACCAAAGGGTGAAAATGAGGTGATCCTGATTCTATTGTGGTGGAGCAATGCTCCTTTGACGTGAAATGACCGGAAGTGTTGGAGATAGAGGAGAAGACACCTTATTCGCTTCGAAACTAAACGGCGTTCGATTCTGTTGAAAGTCTGTAAGCAATATTGTGGATAAGGAAAGGAAGCTGCTATTGTTGCTATAACAATTGGTTCATTCTTCTTCGTTTCCTATTCGGAGGATGTAGGCTTCTGTTTGTTCTCCAAGACAAAATCATTCGCAACGCAGAAATATGACTTTTTGATGCTCTTATCGACCAATGCAATAATTGATGAAAGTGAGTATGTATCTTCGGCTACCTTCTAACACCACGACTACGATTTCGCTGCAGGTAGTTTTTAGTGTTGTTAGTGATTCTCTTTCTGTTTCAATAAGGGTTGAGCTTGAAGAGTTGTACTGAGATATAGAAGGACATTATATATAAATCACCCTCGAGCACGTGATAAATATGAGCAAGAACCGCACTAAGAGATTATGTTATTAGGCTATTAGCTGGTACCTCTACTACAAGAATGTTGACAATTATGTGTTTTATGTTTCTGGATGAGCAGCAGTATCTTCATCATCATCACATCATGAAGAAACATGCATGTCAAGAAGCCGCACGATGACGCACCAGCATAATGTTGAGAATTCTAACTTGCCTTTTGTGATGTCGTATTCTACTTCATCGTCCCATGTTAGTAGCAGAGCTCAGCCTTACTGTCACGCAGCGGACAGCTTTCAGCAAGAGCAGCACCCGACGTACAGTTTTCAGCCGGGGTCTGGACGCCATCAGCCGGCTTCATTTCCCGATGGAACAGAACAAATACACGGCAGTCGATACTATCGATATGTCTTGCCGGAAGAGATATCAATGAACAATCGAAATGCCCTCCCGCATCACGGTAATGCCAGAGCGGAGACTGCGGGCGCTAGAAACTGTAGTAACTTTTTCGCTCAGCATGCTGTTGGGGCGGGTGCTTACGTCGTTTCACCTATGTCAACAGTAAGCACGCAAGGCACGCCTTTCTCTCTGCCAGGAGAAGGGTCTACTTCCACAGGGCAACAGCAGAATGACTACTATTTTTCGTTCGCTGGAGGACGCGGGGGCAGTTGTGGTGAGCAGATGTCGCAGAAGAGTTTAACGATGAATGCCAATGCACATCCTGATCTGCATCAGGCGGGGCCTTCAGCGACCGGGCATGGCGCTGGACGTGGTTTTTCCTCTAGTAGTGCCTCCTCAAGTTGTGCTGGCCCGAAGTCGAAGAACAGCTTGATGTCGGCACAAGAGAGATCACCCGCACAAAGGCAGGTGATAGCGCCGTATGTAAACCCTTACGCAGAAATAGAGCACGAAATCTCGAACCTTCCGGGTGCACGAGACGGACATCCGGCCGCTAACGCAGACCTACTTGTTCAACGTACGAACGACTCTCGTAACGACTCCTACAAGAAAACATATGAAGATCAAAGCATTGTCGAACAAATTTCACCAGGAGGTCCCTGTACAACTAATACTGGTGCAACGACGGTTGACGCTGGCAGCACCTCTGTTGACCGTGAAAGTTCATCGAGAACAAAAGGGCATGCGCGGGAACTAGATGAACATGAAAAACGAGCTTTTGTAGTTGACGTCAGAAATGAGGCCACAATGACAAAGCGAGAGCCGCGGCACAATTTGCACTATAATGTTGGAAGCGGTGCAGAGCAGCGAAGGAGGCGCACGGGGCCGGCTACGTGGCCAGAAGCTGGTCCGATGCAGGGGGGCTTTGCGTCTCCGTTTCCCCACGAGTACGACTACGTCGCAAGAGTGGCAATGTGGTATTTGCAGCGAGAGCGTGCTAAAGGCCAGGCCGGCAGAAGCGGTGGTCTATGTACCAAGCGGCGTCTCGATAACACCTTCGGGTGCCACCATGGTATTCCCACAATTCTGAAACAAAGGGAGTTTTTCGACCAACACGACAACAGCAACACCAATAAAAAGAAATCTGCTTCTTGCGTGCGGCAACAAGACAATCACTCAAGTGTCTTGTATGGTTCGCGCGCGGCGGGGTTTTCCGACTTCACTGCAAATGCTGAACGCTTGCCGGATTTCGATCTCACGTACTTACTAGATCTACCCACGGACGACGAGGGCGCGGCGAAAGCCCGAGTTCTCACTAACATCAAAGATTTGTGCGAAGCATTGGATACAAAGTTCCAACAACTACACGAGGATCCGGAACAACTGATGTCCTTATTAGGAAGCTGTCGCACGTCCGATACCTCCCATAAAACTGATGGGGCAGGAGGTGGTCAGGAACACACTCCAGCAGCTTCTTCAGCATCGCTTTCGACCTCAACCTCATCAACCTCCAAGACTAAGAGCAGTGCCCGTGGCAACTCATATCCGTTTCACGAGCGCATTGAGACCCAGGATTTTGGGCCCGTGTATCTGCTGCACCGTTTCGTTGTGAAGGAACTGGTCACTCAAGGAGCGCGGGTGCCCGTACTAAAACTGGAGGAGGTTACGTCTGTGGTATGTTTTGCGCCTTCGCGACAGGTGAATATTGGGGATGAAGACATTGACAAAGCGCCAGGGAGTCTTTCTGTTGAACATGGTAATTTAGTGTCGGTCGACCCTGCCACTACCTGTAGATCCTCTACATCATCGCGGGTGCGCGATATCTGCCGAGTCGAGATCGATATCACCATCGATAACTGGGCCGCGGTGAGAAACACAGCGCTGCTACGACAATACGCGACTTGCCCTCTGTGCGTCGATCTTGTCTTGCGGGTGAAGCGGTGGGCGAAGCGTCTGGACTTGGTGCGGACCGCGACAAACGGGCTCCACTCCAGTTTTAGCTACACGCTCACGGTGATCGCATTTTTGCAGAGCAAAAAACTTTTGCCAAATCTGCAGGATGAGTACTACGAAAGACTTTCGCGAGAATCTTCCTACTTGTGGGAATGGGCAGCGGAGTCAACGCGGGATGGTCCAGGCTACCACGCGAAATCTCTACTGCGGCGCCTGTTGAAGCGGGAGATGAAAGAAATTAATACGGTCTTGTCAGCGCGACAGACGGAAAATAGCTCCCTGAGCCGTTCCGGGGAGCACGGCATGGAACTAGAACGAGAAAGGTCCGAGTTGATGCAGCAGAAAGTAGCCCTGGAAAGGGACTACGTGTGGGTAGCAAATTCTGAGAGCTGGATGGACGAACGGCCTGACATGCTTGATCGGCTGTTTAACTACCTCGAGCGTGAATACTTTGCGTTCTTGTTGAGCAGATGCCGGGACCAACCAGTCACGGCTGCAGGGCGCAGCGGTGGGATTCCTGGCGCCTGGCAGTGCAACGGCGCGGATCCTTCGCGCGCGTCGACTTCGGCAGATCCCTCATTCGCGCTCGGGTCAAAGTCGACGGTATTGTCCGTTGCTGCAGGCGGCACTCGCGTCGTGCATAGCGATCGCAAGATCTGTGCGCCGGCTCTTGCAGTAGAGGATCCGTTCGTGACGCATTCCGGTAATTTCACCCAACAACGGCCGGAGGAAGCAGACGACCTGCGCATTCACGTATGCTGGCAGCCACGCGGAGCTGGAAATCCTGCAGAACGGCTGCGGCGTGCGGTGCAAGCAAAAATCTTCGAGTTTCAGAAGGACCAAAAAAAGGTCAGAGTCCGACAACCCGATCCGCCAGCGCAGCTTCAAAAACAAGAAGGGAAAGCGAGATCGTCATCGGCTGAAGCATGCACAACGGGAACGACGCACCTGCCACCGCGCCATCCACCAAGAGAATGTCCTTTGCCGCCCCCTCCGAAATATGAGGCGGGGCAGGACGCTGTCCGAGGAGACGCCACCTTCTTGGGAGATGAGCCACAAACCCCCCGTCTTCATGAAGGCCTCTCAGCGAAAACGTCAGAAGAGCATATTCTCGGTCTCGGAGCAGGCCAGGGTTGGGCACGAAGTTCCGCTGCATCTGTAGCATATTTATCGACAGGTGCGACTGGAACTATAATGGCTAGTAGCGGCATGCCCGCCACCGCCTCGGCCTCTGGAGGTTCGGCCAGAAGAAGTCCGATACCAACGCCGCCATCGCGTGCTGTACCTTCCGAGTTCAGTGTCGCCGAAAAAGTAGCAGTTCTTCAGGAGACCACGGCACCCAAGAACACAGGCACGACGAGACCGCCACCCTTTGACTCCAGAGGATTGTACAACGAGTGCGAGGATCAAAGTGAGTTTATTTCACCCAATGCTTCTCCTTCGACGACGACGTTGCAAGAACAAAACCACTTTTGCGATGACCGATCACGTACACGTGATCCTCGACAAAATGACTATCGCAGCGGAGTGATCGAAACCTGCTCAGCGATAGAAATACATGCATATGTAGACGACTACGATGAGAAGATGACGAATTATATAGTAGGAAACAAGAAAAGCTCTGGGGACTACGCTGTGCACCATGATCGGTCCAGACCATTAGGAGCGGATTTTTCTGGTGGTCGAGGAGTGCCACGAACGCGTGGATCATATTTCGCACTGGGTGGAGGTGGTGGTCGAGAAGACGTAGAGGTCGACTTCGATTGGCGAAAGAAGGGAGCTGCAAAGGCGCAGAGTAGGCCTCGTCGAGATCAACATAGCGGAGCTGCGTCCGCTGGCGGTGGTGGTGGTCCTGAAAGTTCTCCTGACTGGGCTCCGGTGTCGTTTTCTGTTGCGGACGAACTAAAATGTGGTCAACGAAAAATACTGTCGTACCACACGAATTCGAATAAGAGCAAGCGGGGAAACGCTGACGCCTCTGAGCAGGTGGACATTCAGAACGGACATAGCTACAACGATACTGAGAGGAGCGACAACAGACAGCCCTCGTATATTTCGTCGAACAATCCCAGCAGCACTCCTCGACGTAGAAGACCGCAGTATTCCGAAGATGAAGACTGCGGACGACACGAGTACAAAACGGTGGCTAACGAGCATCAGTGGCATGCTTCTACAGATTGCAGACAAGGTAATGATGATGACCATATCAGCGGGCGAAGCGGGTTCGCTCATGCCGTCTATGACGACGAGGGAAACCGAGATAGGGATCGCGAGGCAACAAACGTTAGATACTACCCTGATGAGGGTTATTTTGACGAAAGCCACGTTGTCGATGGTGACAACGACGGACGGGGATATACTAATGAACTAGAGAAACAGCAACAGGATGATGATGCTGCCTCATATGGAGACTACTACAATAACTACTGCAAAGACGGGGAGTTTGACGACGAGGACGATGATATTAACCAAGATTGGAATCGTGGTCACGCAGATGACCGCCAACCACACGGGCAACATAGAAATTACGCCACGACGGGTGACGAAGAGGATAGCTACTATGCTGATCAACATGCTCCTGAGGAACACTACAACGAGGAGGGACATCAAGAGCGCTGCTGGGATCATCAGGGGCGAAGAGGACACACCGAGAACAGGAGCTACTGCAATCATGAGAAATATCATGAGCAGAATACCGATGGTTTGCAATCTGACGATTCCGACACCTGTTCTGAGCTATTGTGGCAGAAGGCGCGCGGCAAAGGTCAAAGGCAAGGAGGCGGAAGGAACTACAGTAAAAGAAATGAGAAGGACTATGATTCTCGAAAGGAAGGAGACTATGGAAGTGAAAGGGATTATAACCACAGGTCCCAGAGAACAACAAGGAGCGCTGCTCCTGCTCCTCACACATCTTCATTTCCTTTGCCAGGTAAAATGGGACGTCGAGGATCCACACCGGCGCCTCCAGAGTACCAAGAGGATGAAGGAGCACAAGGCGCCGGCTCCGGTCGCCTCCGTCGACGTAGCAATAATATGTCTGGACTAAGGCATGAAGATGATGATGATATAACTGAGTTCTCCTCGAGCAGCGATGGAAGTGAGAACACATCGGAAGACGATGTCGAATTTCGGAGGCGGTTAGAGGCAAAAAAGGGGAAAGGGAAAGGTAAGCTACCACGTCGCAAAACAGCAGACGATGGCACAAGTCCTTCTTGTTTAGGACGCGCCGATGAAGACGGGAACCCCTCAGAAACTAGTAATTTCTGCACACGAGAAGGAGAAGACGAGATAGACGATGCTCCCGCCGACCGGAATGTTGAAGTTTGTACGTGGGAGGAGCAGGCAGAAGTAGCCCGGACGTTTCACAAACCCGAGCGCGGCCGTGCGGGTCCGTCGTACAGCGCGAGATGGACAAAGGTGGGCAACAGCGTGTCTACCCTCACCGCGGATGTTCCAGCGGCAACATCGAAATCGTCAGCAACATATAAAAATGCAGCTCCACGGGAAGAAACCTTTGACCAGCACGGAGAAGCACCCGGCGTTGTTGGACCCTCTTCTGTATTGCCTTCACGGCGAACAAGAAGAGGCGAGGATGCTCTTGGCTGCGGGAAAATTGCCGAAAGTCGTGCGGTCGTGTGCCATGCCGGTGAGACTAGAGATGATCAAAACTTTCGTGAGCATAGCGATCGATGCAGGAGGAAGGGGCATGCTGTGGCGAAGCTCGAAGCGCAACCGTCGCTGAGTAGGAGAATGAAGAATCATGACGCTGCGACCTGTTCGTTAACATCAAAGCGGGGACGAAGTGACCGGCAACGAGAAGGCTTTCTTGAGGATGATTCTTGGAACCAGCATCAAGAGCAGGTGCAGGCTAGCAGAGCGTGCGATCTTGAGCAGACAATAAGGGTTGGGAAGAAAAAGTCATCTTCTCCTCCACCCGATTATCACATGGAAGAAGATGAGACGCCACTTGAACGATATTCTCAGAGCCCGACGTGGTTAAACAGGTCGCGTTGTGATGAAGGAGAGTTTGACAGAGCTGCGTCTGAACAGAGTCCTCGACCAGCTCGGTTTTGCCGACTTCCCCTCATTGGAGGCCCTGCGATGCGTGGTTGAAACCGTGGCGTAAGGAGCTCAACAATTGCCGCCTTTGAAGAAGAAAGCGCTTCGGGTTGCTTCTTTATTGTTGTACTGCATTTGTAGTTATAGCCATGATTAGCTTATGTAGTTCGATTTTTTTCGACTGACTGCCTTTCGTTTATAATCGATTTCTGGTGTTCGTGTTTTCCTGAATTTCTCCTCACTGGATTCTCCGGACATCGGATTCGACTCTTCACCCTTCCTGTCGCTACTTTGAAAGCAAAAAATCTGATGAAAAATGCACCATCTTGTTCGCTAGGTCTAGTAGAGTAGAAGTTGTTTTGCAAACAATTGAAAATGATTGTGGCTTTGGGCCTATTTTACTCGCACAATAATGAATGTCAACGTGCTTGATGCCTCGGCGCTCAAACTTTACTGGGTTACCGAAATCGAATTGAGAAGTTGACACCCACTATACCATACATCGGCTGGAATGGAATTGCAGAATTGTTCTTTTTGATTCCTGCGCTTATGATAGATACACATAGTTGCAAAATTGCCAATTTGCCAACACTTTCGCAACGGTTTCTTTTTCTAACGAGCGAAGCGGTTCATTTCTGGAAACGGACACCATCCATGACGTGCCTAATTAGCGTGGTGACATGACAGGCATTGTTGTTTATTGATGCTCATGTGTTTTCAGTCTTCAACAAGGATATAATTCCTGGAGCAGAGGGTCTGATCGGATGTGTGCTCGACGTTGTCTTTGTCCTCTTTGATGTTCCGCATCATCGTGCAAATCCGAAGCTGTCGAAATCTCCATAGTTATTCTCTCCGACCCGTCCCGGCCAAAAAATCCGAGGCATCGAAGGGTGATGTGTGATGATCCTAAACGGAGATGGATGATATTTTCGGTAAGGTGTTCAACTTCAGGAAGATGAAAGATGATGAATGTTTTGATTACTTCTGCGCTTTTTGATCTTACCTGTTTCTTTGTCTTAGAATTTGTGCTACCGGTATATGATATAAAAAAGGAAGACCACAAAAATTGGGCTTGCCGCTTATCTCACATCATGAACCGTAAAAAGATACTTTTCACACAAAGCCTTAATATGGAATCTTTGGTAGTATGGGGTCTCCTACAAGTCTACATATCGTTGCGCGTTCTGCGAAAAATGATTTTTTGATCATCATGGAGAACGAAAAATTATTGAACTTAGGGGTGTGACGTCTTGATCGTTTTCTTCAGTCTGTTGTATATATTTTTGAACGAAAATTCAAAATCGAAGCTGATACTGATTTTCATGTTGTAGTCTTATGATTTCATTGCCACGTAAGAATAGGGTAGCTAGGGGAGACAAGTGCCATACACCTTCAATCTCGACGCTTTACAACTCAAAAGTTCTGACTTATTCGAATTCGACTGAGTAGTATTGCGAACTAAGAATATTTTCGCTCAGTCATTCCTCGTCGTTTTTCTCGGATTGTTGATCTGTCAGTAATTGATGCAGTCTGTCAGCTGGGATAGCCATTCTTTCATGACCGAAGCGACCGCTTCAGAAGCGGCTCATTAATTGTCCAACTCGGATCGCACTACTTCTGCCAAGGCGATTGGTTTTGAGAATCTTCTAATCAACGCTGTGAAGGTGTTGTCGAACTGCGGCTTTCCGGAGTCGGAGACTGCAGTTATGGAGTCCTCGCACATCGAGGAAGAAGGCGACGCCGAAGGCGGTCGCCAGAAGGTTTTGCACGACGACTTGCCGTGTGCTTGGTCCAGTCGCACTGCGAAACCACTGCCGTCGACGGACGAAGGAAATGCGCAGAATCGAGGTCGCATCGTGGTGTCACAACTTGTGGCATTACAGGAGGAGTACAATCGAGAGCAAAGTCGCAACGTATACGAGAAAGGGCTCTCGATTATGGGGCGTGTCAAAGATAGCCTTTTCCGTCGTGCCATCATGCGAGATGATAGCTCCAGGTCTCCCTTTAGGCCGGATTTCTCCCGCGTTCATGTTGCCGCTTGGATGTTCGGTTCTCGTGCATCGGGATTTTTCGCCGAGTGCGGTAATGAGGTGCCTGATGTCGATCTAACAATCTTTTTCTCCGGACCATGCACCAGTTTTCTTCGGCGTCCCGACGTTACGTTCAAGCGCGATTGTCACGCTCACCTCGTAGAGTGGCTAAGCTCCATCATTGGTTTAGTAGAAAAGCGGCACGACGACATAACGAGTAGCTCAACGGACGCTGACGAGGAAAGCGGTTCGGCGGGAAAATCGCAGCCTTCGGCTGATGTATTTGTATCTGGAGAATTGTGGAAATCCGCGAGCTTGGGCCGGTGTATCCCGCTCCAGCATAGACTTCGCCTACAACAGGCTGTCACACACGGAGCTCGTGTTCCCGTCCTCAAATTGCTACAGGAAACTACCGTGGTCTTCGACGACATTAACGGTGTAGTTCCATTGGGCCGTCCGATTTCGATTGATGTCACATTCGAGAACAGACTCGGAGTGGAAAATACGGAGCTGCTTAGCCAATACGCCACGTGCCCCTTGTGCGTGGAACTGGTTCAGCGTGTCAAAAAGTGGGTGAAAGAGAATGGATTTCTTCGTAATGCGACGAATGGGATGCACTCTAGCTACACCTACACGTTGATGGTCATTGCGTTTTTGCAGCAGCTCCAGGTTCTACCCTGCTTGCAAACGGGTCCTGGAGCTATAGCATGGGACTGGGAGTATGCCCATAAGTGGCGAAGCAGTGCAATAATTCGTCTCTCGAAGATCTGGCGGTCACGCGCCGGTCAGAGCAAGCTCTTCGAGGCAGGGAGCCGATGCGAATCTGGTGGCCAAACGAACTGTGATGAGCAAAGACGAGGCAAGATTTTTTACGATTGGCTTGAGACCGAATTTTTCCAGTATCTTCACGAACGCATTTCCTCATGGCTGTCGGTGTTGCCTAACCAGTATAACTTTCAAGGACCATACGAGTGCTTCAAGCTTTCTCACAAGGTGCCGGAACGGGTAAGGATTTTGGCGCAAATCCTGCGGCCTTTTTCAATATCGTCAGGTTCGGGCTTCGGCAACTTCCCGTGTCTGCAGGAAGGGAGTGTGTGTTCGCTGCCCGGACTTGCCTTAGCGGTTGAAGACCCACTTGAGTCGCGCACTGCTCCTGGTACTATCCTACAACGGAGCGATCCAATTCGCGAAGGCGAGGCAAGAGTGCATTTGCTGCAAAAGAGTACGACGTCTGACTCTGAGGATTTGGTGTTCCGTCTTTTTAAAAGCATTAGACGGCGTGCGACGAAGTCGTACTCGTAAAATAACTATGTCTTTTCTTGAGATAGAAATAGTATCTATGTACTTATAAATATGTTCAAAGTACTGTAGCTGTAGGACTCTCCTTGTGTTCAAGGGGAGGAAAAATCACCAGCCTGCTAGCAGGGGAGGGGGCAAGGATGATGATTCAAACTGCTGGTAGCAGGGGCATCGTAGATAATAAACCTTCTATAGCAATAACAATATCGAGCTTCGTCTCTTAGAGACTGAGTATTAAGTTTGTAAGGAATTACGAGTGGGAGGTCATTGAGCCGGTTGATGCCTGAATGTCTATCAGGCTACATTCTTTAGACCAAGATGGTAAAAATACTGCGAGTTGTCTGATTTTGAGTTGGAATTTGACGAGAAGAAAACAACGCTGATGCAGAGATCAAAAAGAGCACGCATAACGGGGAATGATAATAATAGATGCAACTACAAGGGAAAGAAGAAATAGATAATCATGCACCAAATGATTAAAGATGCTATACCCCGAGAGTGGGCACTGACATCAATCAAGACTGTTCGTCTGATCATTGGACTTAAGTACAAAAGTCTTCAGGTATTCAATAGGTATATAGACAGACTGCGTGTCTGAGGAATTGTTACCATTAAGTGGGATATCGGGCGTGTATGTCAGTCCGCGACATGGTTGTCGTCGTCGTACACAGGCGGGTGTGACTTATTCATAGCTTTGGGATCTGATATAATAGTAGCATCGGTATCGATGTGAAAGGAAAAGGAAAGATGTTGAGTGTTTGTTAAGGTCGCGCGGCTCGAAGAGTCACATGGACAGTCAAGTCGACTAGTTACGTCAAAATGCAAAACTGCGTTGTTTATAATATATAACAAACAGAGCAGTTTATAGCACGCATGTCGCATGGAGTGCATGGAGCGCAGATCCATAAGGGACGCAAGAAGCGCCCCCTTTAGCTCCATGCAACTCCATGCACTCCATGCCGCGCGAGCTGGCAAACCTTGGAAATCGCTCGGATATGATGAAACTATGCGTGCCTGAGCCTGATGTAAATGTATAGATTCATATTGAATTGTGCTCTGCCATTGTTCGGTCGTTGGTCACCGCAGGTTCTGACGGAAGGCGAAGCGTTGAAACAGACTGCGTGTCTGAATAGATTTTTCGCTTCGGCGCTTTCAGTAGATTTATTTTGCGTTTTGGCGCTTTCAGTAGATTTTGCGCTTCGGCGCTGATAGAAGTATAATATTTAGCCTCTCAGCGCACAAAGTACTACTGGAGATTTAGCTGTTAGCCAAAGCCACTTCGGCGAATACACTAGATTTAGCCATTTCGGCACACACACTAGATTTAAGCCAATATTTCGGCTCACACAGGGATAGATTTAGCCCATTTCGGCTCACACAGGGATAGATTTAGCCCATGATTTCGGCTCACACAGGAGTAGATTTAGCCACTTTCGGCTCACATGACAGGAGTAGATTTAAGTAGCCACTTCCGGTTCACACAGGAGTATAATTAGCCACTTTTGGCTCTCACATGAGTAGATTTTTTAGCCACTTCCGCACGGACAGTGGATTTTTTAGCCCAAATTGGCTGATACACAGTAGATTCGGCCCATTTCGGCTCACAGAGGAGTAGATTTAGCGCTTCCGCGCCTAGCCATATGGTGATAGAAAGATTAAGTAATTCTTTTGGGCTTCGAGCCTATGCTTCCCTCCGGCTCCGGGTTTTGATTTGCAGTTGGTTTGGCGCTTTAACCGCATAATCACTTTCACTTAGTCACGTCGGGAGCGGCACGCCCTGGCCCACATTGATTTTCGTGTCACGCGAATTCACAGGATACTTATGGAGCGCTTGCGGGGCGCTGGGTTTTATCAAGCCACACTTTTATCATCTGACTAATCATAACAAAAAGTGCTTACGAGGCACTGTGCCTTCGCCCACCATCTGCGACTTCCGTAGCCGGTTAAGCCGCATTTTTATCATCGGACTAACCAGAACAAAAAGTGCGTAAGAGACATTGGGCCTTCGCTCACTTTCTACGACTTTCGTAGCCGGTTAAGCCGCATTCTTATCATCTGATTAACCAGAATAAAAAGTGCTTACGAGGCATTGGGTTTCGGCGTACGACCTGAGAAGTTGTGTGTCTAAGGCCGGACTCTGAGATCTTCGTGGGATAGCAGATCCCTGACGGATCACATGATCTGCGTTCTTTCGCGTGGCTTTATCTGCCTGACGTCTTGAGGAAGGTGGCAGATTGATTCGTGGTGGTCTTCCCGTGGCAGAAATGTGTAGCTCTATCGCAGTTTGTTTGTGGGAGTTGTCCTTTTTCATCTTAACAAGATTTGTAGCTTGCCGTCTGGGTCTATCGTGTTGTAGCTAATCAAAGCGTCAGTGCCACCGTCTTTAGTTGTCTTTGTAGTTGTCTACAAAATATCCTTCGCGTCCTGTTCTCTCGTGATATGAATGTACGCGTCCTCTCACCAGTAAATGATCTACAACATGGATTTTCAATGAACTCATGTGAGTGTTTCGTCGACGTCTCTTCGTTCGCTGTTGATGAAAATAGGTGAATAAAGACTATTTGGACTTGGAAAGAAATTGTTGACCTTACCAGCTTCGTTTCCTGACTTCCTTGATTCATGAAAGATGATGAGTAAGATTAAGAACGTGCTCTTGGGTGTTGCGAAACGTCGTATTATTCCGTCTCACGCGGTTTCTGCGCAGCAACAGCATCTGCGTGGTGTGAGTGCTGCTGCCGCGTGTGCGGGGCATCCGCCAGGACGCGCGATGCAGAGCAACGGGCATGAGACCTCTGCAAAAGCGTTTGGTAGAGAAAATCCAGGTGGTGGAAGTGGAACTGATCATGTGCCTCCTACATTCAGCCATTTCGTGAACGGTTCTTTTCAGCTGAATCCAAGTGGCACAGTGGATTCTTCACTTCATCAACAAGTGGATTACCGTGATGTAATCTCTCCCGTGACGAATGTCGCAGTTTCCCAGTTCCCATGCGCGAACGATGCGGACGTCGCGGCGGCGGTGTCCGTTGCCCAGAGGGCCTTCGATGACCGAAAGGGTTGGGCTGGCAATCGCGCTAAGCGCGTACAGGCGTTGCAGAAAATGGCCGCTGCCTTGCGCGATCCGGAAACGATGTCTGAACTGGCGGCTTCGGAAGTCCAGCAGATCGGACGCCCACTGCGCGAAATGCGGTTCCAGCTGGGCCGTCTCCACGAATGGTTTGACTACTACGCTGCGTTGCTGCGTGTGCATGAAGATGCGGTGCTGCCCCTTCCAGAAAGCTCAAATTAAGGCAAACACAACTACGAGGACTAGCTGGAGTAGTCCATAATCTATGTGGCACTTTCCTCCAACGTTTCTGCATCTTCGAATTAGTTGCCTACTGTTGCTAACTGGTGCACTTCCTTCCTTAGTCGTTTGCTCGCGTTGATGGGCTAGAAACTTGCTGCTGCTGTTGTTGGTGTTGTTGGCGTTCTGTGTCTTACAAGATGGGCCTACTCCTATCATCACTTGATTCAGGGGCCTTTTCATTTTCCTCTCTCCCAAATAGAGCCGTCAGGGGTCCAAGCGGGCCACCTCTTCTTCTTGCGCCTCTATCTGTTCGACAGTGCGAAATCGAGACTGGGGCTGCGGCCAATCTTGACTTCGCAGTGTGGAATCAAGACTCGGGCGGCGGCCAATGATCTTGATTTCACAGCGCGGAAGCAAGACCCGGACTGCGGCCAATCTTGATTTCACAGTGCGAAATCAAGACTCGAGCTGCGGCTAATCTTGATTTCGCAGTGCGAAATCAAGACTCGGGCTGCGGCTAATCTTGGTTTCGCAGTGCGAAGTCAAGACTTTTCGTAGATCTTTGCCGACTACGACAAATCTTGATTACGCACGGCGTAATCAAGATTTGTCGTAGATGCGAAAAATCGTTTTCATCTTACGAAGATTTGTCGCATCTACGACAAGTCACGTCTCCACCACAGTGGAAGCAGGTTTTCGGGGGGTCGGCCAAGATCTACGACAAATCTTGACTCCGCACTGCGGAATCAAGATTTTTCGTAGCCGGCCAAGATCTGCGACAAATCTTGACTCCGCAGTGCGGAATCTTGATTACGCGCGGCGTAATCAAGATTTGTCGCAGATGCGACAAATCTTCGTAAGATGAAAAAGATTGGTCGGATCTACGACACATCCTGTTTCCACCAGGTTTCTGGGGGGTCGGCCAAGATCTACGACAAATCTTGACTCCGCACTGCGGAATCAAGATTTGTCGCAGCCGGCCAAGATCTGCGACAAATCTTGATTCCGCAGTGCGGAATCAAGATTTGTCGTAGATCTTGGCCGACCCCTCAAAAACCTGTTTCCACTGTGGTGGAAACAGGATCTGTCGTAGATGCGACAAATCTTCGTAGGATGAAAAAGACTTGTCGCATCTACGACAAATCCTGTTTCCACCACAGTGGAAACAGGTTTTTAGGGGGTCGGCAAAGATCTACGACAAATCTTGATTCCGCACTGCGGAATCAAGATTTTTCGTAGCCGGCCAAGATCTGCGACAAATCCTGACTTCGCAGCCCGAATCTTGATTACGCACGGCGTAATCAAGATTCGTCGTAGATGCGAAAACTCTTTTTCATCTTACGAAGATTTGCCGCATCTACGACAAATCACGTTTCCACCACTGTGGAAACGGGATTTGTAGCAGTTCTGCCAAACCTACGACAAATCTTGACTTCACAGTGCGGAATCAAGATTCGAGCTGCGGCTAGTCTCGATTTCGCAGCGCGAAATCAAGACTCGGGGGGGCTGCGGCTGATCTGTCGTAGATTTTGGCCGATCTTGCAAAAACCTGCGTTACGCGGTGCGACCCACGAGCCGCCTCTGGTGCAGAAAATAAAAAATCAGTTCCTGATGCATATTTTTCGCTCTGATAAAGGTAAGCACCGACAGAATGGACTTTACGGATTTCATTCGTCTCAAAAATAATCCTAGAAGGAAAGCTCCAGTCTGTCGCTGCGTATATCGTTAGCCGAATGCTAGCCCTAGCCGACAGCGAACGCAGCTGCTAGTTGAAATGGATAGACGCCGACCGGTCGCATGGCTCGCGTTGTTGTTCCTCTTTTTGCGTTTTCGTTGTTGGGCCAGGCGGTGGCGGATGCTCTCCCGGACTCATGTCGTCGATAGAATAACACACAGCACCATATTAACACTAAGCAACTTTTTCGGACCTGTTAGATTTGGTTGGCAAAGTGCCACTAAGTAATAGAAAAAAGATTATGTAAGTTGTAGATCAGCATCAGGTCGTCGCATGTCTTCAAGGAGAACGTAGTTCCAGCACTTCTTACATACATTTCTCACTTATCTGTGTCTGTCCCATTGAAAGTAACTGCCATTTTTTTTCGATTTAGTGTCGGATGTGTATTACTTAGAACATATACGAGAATAAAGAAGGCTCATCTAAGGAGGTTTGCTGAACTATACGCGGCGCGTGCCTCTGGGAGTGGTTGCACAAATTACGCCTTGGAATCACCCGCTTTTAATCACAGTCAAAAAACTCGCTCCAGCACTGGCAGCCGGAAACGCAATCGTGGTGAAGCCTTCGGAGCTCGCGCCAAACTCTATTGTTCTGCTTGCAGAAATCCTCACGAAAGCCTGCAACGCAGATTTACGTAGCGATGAAAAATCGAGTATAGGCCAATAAGTCTCTCCTGATGATCGTCTAGAAGGAATTGAGTTTGAGTAGTATTTAACTTTTCCTAGTTAATACCAACATGAGACAAGTAAGTTGTACTTACTAGAAGCAGAGGTATCGCCCTGTAACTTCTGATTCGAACATACGACTTCTAAGAATTTCCGAGTTGCTTCCACCGGGGATTCTGAACGTAGTCCTAGGTGATGGGCGTACTGGGGCTGCACTGGTTGGCGATTCGCGCATCGCGAAGGTTGATTTCACAGGCGGGCCGTCGACTGGCCGGGCCATTGGTCGCGCCGCAGGAGGTAACCTCGCTGGATACATCGCAGAGCTTGGCGGAAAAAGTCCAATGGTGCTCTTTGATGACGGACAGCGCGGTGAGCGCATACAGCAGTTGGTCAATGGCGTCACTTTCGGATGCTTCATTGCCAGTGGCCAAACGTGCATCGCGGGCACGCGCTTGTTAGTGCAGAAAAGCTTGGTCGAAAAATCTGACTTCTTGGATCGTTTGGTCGAGAAAGTAAACGGGCTCAAGGTGGGTGATCCGCTGGCTTCGGGAACTGGTTTGGGCCCTGTAATCACGAAAACGCAGCTTGACTTCATCGAAAGCACAGTACAAGCAGCCGTGAAGTCTGGCGCAAAGGTGCTGTGTGGAGGCGCACGAAAGACTGGTACTTAATTTATATTTTCAAATTCGAGTGGGGTACTGTACCTACTAGTACAGCTTTCTCTAGCCGCCTCCATCTATTGAGCATGTTGTACTTGCACATATGTTGTCTTTGTAATACTAAGTAAGAGCACCAGCGGGTAAGTTGTGCCATCCTCACTCTGTTTTTATCATATCTGTTTCTCCGGAACTGAGCCGTCATGACATGGTGAAGATTCTAATCCATAGATACATCTCATCGATGTCAGTCAAGGAGTCAAGTTTTATCTCGATATCAATTTCTCTTTTGTCATTCAGACTTTCCAGCTGACTCTCCTTTGCGTGATGGGAATTTCTTCGAGCCTAGTGTGCTATTGTGCGATTCCCACGATAACATTGTTTTTCATACTGAACTCTTTGGGCCTGTTCTTGCCGTGACCATGTTTGGAACGGAGGAGGAAGCGGTTGCGCTGGCAAATGGCACTGAATTTGGCCTCGGTTGCAGTGTGTGGAGCAGCGATGTGGCTCAAGCGCACCGCGTGGCAGAGCAGATTGACAGTGGTATCGTATGGATCAACGAGCACCATAAAAACGATCCAAGTGCACCGTGGGGAGGAGTGAAAAAAGCCTCTGGTATCGGACGAGAAAATGGGCGCGATGCTTTCAACGAATACACGCAAAGCAAATCTATTGTGGTCAACTGCGCACCTGGGGGTGCTTACACACAGGACTGGTTCGGTAACCTCAACGCAAGATACAACTAACCAAAATTGTGGTACACGAGAATTCTTTTCGTATCACCTGATAGAGATAGGTACATTCGTGGTGTATGACATCATGGTAACGCAAATCGCTGCGGCAGCATTCGGCACCGCAATCGACATGAGAATTATATTTATTATATTTTCATCCTTTTCCTTGTACATCTACGTACTAGAAAGCTCGACGTGATGAGGCATTTTTTCGAAGAAGAATCGAAGTACAGATGCGCTGCAGAAACATAGAATGAAAGCAGACTGCCCTCACTCGTTTCAAATAGTGTTAACGTTTCACCCATCAAGGAACAGATTGATAGTATGGATGCATGGGTAAATAAAAATATCTAAATTGATCGACGCACGTCTATACGACCTAGCTTGCTCGCAAAGCAAGCAAAAGGCTTTTGACTTTCTCAGTGTTTGTTTCTACGCCAGTTTGTACAATTTTATCCAGGCTTTTAAGTAGGGGGAAATTTGATGATCCACAAAAATGTACTTGTACCAGTAGAAATATCTTATTCCGATGGCGATGCCCACTTTTTCGAGGAAAAATATCTGAAAATGATGGTTCACAAAGTAATGTTGAATGATGTTCGATGCTCTGGTGTGCTGCTTCGACCGACATAGCAGTTGTAACTATTCCGAATCGTACATTCGCGGTGTTCATCAAATAATGATTGTAAGCAGAGCAGAAAAATGTAGACGATGTGGCACTGACGGTCCAAGATCCTTTCAACGGCAATTTCGTGGTCTTGAAAAAATCACGACACCAGACTAAGGATTGGCAAGAACAATCCTCATCTTGTTCATGATACATCCGATTATATACATAAGTTTCAATTCGATGTTCTTGGCCACGATTGAGGACGAGAGGCACAGAAATGCAAGAGATCAAATTGTCAAGATCCTCGACCGACGACCTTGTCGTTGTTACGCTTACGGCATGTGTGATCCACTGCTCTTCAGGCTCCGCTCCCCTTCTGATCACCTTGCACCGTCTTTTGTACTCCCTGCAAACTGAAGACGAGATCTTGAATACTCTATGCAGCTTTTATTTGCAGCGTCTCCTGGGGTAGTAAACTTTACTAGCTGAAAGGCAGCTTAGAGTCATCTTCTTGAATGCGTTTTTCAATGCGATGCGCGCACGGATGGCATAATTTTCGAATGACTGAATGCTACTTGCTATGTAGTATTAAGTCAGGTAAGACTACTAATCTCTCTAAGCCAGGTTTGTAAGTGTACGTAGAAGCAAGGCATTCAATACTTGTCCTGCTTATTCCGATTGGTTCGTTTGTTGTGTCTCAGAGTATTACGAGTGAGACAGATCGTCTAGAAAGCACTAGCATATCACATTTCCTTTTGCAAGGAAGACAACCGAGGAAAATCAAGATGTCTTCAGGCAGTGGGAGCACCGCGTTGTTGTCGGGGTCGTATGTTTGCACACAGGATGATGCTTTGGAGCGAAGTTTTCAGCAGTGGGCAGAAAGTGGGGCCACTAGCTGCGAACTTCACACCGGAGTTGGTCCATCAAGCGAGAAACTCGTAGCAAACGTGTACGCTATGGCTAAGGAGATCCCCGCGAAGGTCGAGATGCTTGGAGGTGGTCTCTGCCGGATTACCAGAAAAGCAGAGTCATAATCGAAGCTTCACTAGATTCACCCTCGTTCCAAACTACTTAGATGCATCCTCGGATCATGTCCACTGTCATTCGCTGATTGGAGAACGACGAATACTGCGAAGACAAGTGTCTGTCGTTCCTCTGGAGATATGGCCGAGCGGTTCTACTCTCAGCTTACGTCGTGTTGTCACCGCGACCACGCTCGGTCAAGGTAGAAGGCACGACTACCACTCTCTTGTGGAAAAAGCCTTTGTGTTGCGAATCTGTAGAAGATTCTCAAGCCTCTTCCTCAAGGATGTTCCCGTCAACCCGAAATCGAAAGAGAGTCGACTTCTCGTTGGCATAAAATAAGTGTTGCTTCGGCAACAAATAAATGACTGTGTTCTTGCGTTGCGTATCTCTGGAAGCGTCGGTAAGGTAAGTTGTATGTCTAAGATACCGAATTCCAATGTACTGCTGCTACTCTAGTACATGTTTTTGCAACTTCTAGTTGTGCGTAACTAAGAATTTTGTAGCTCCAAATCTTCACTTGGTCTGTCATCACCTCCATGTCGATTATGATCGTTGACTATCGGTGACAATGAGCATAGTTCAGATCTGGAGGCGAGATCCAAATAATGATGATCATGTCATTGTAAAACACTAGAGCGCATCACTTTCCCCATCGCTTCCTTCCTGCTGTAAGAAAAGTTGTAATTCAAAGATGTCGGTTTGCTTGATGAATGTGAAGCTGAATCGGTTAGAATCGGTCTAGGTACCACAAAAAAGAGTAGGTACAGGAATAGCTCCAATGGTTCGGTGAAATAAGACAAGTCTCCAATAAAGCTCTTCCCGTGATACCATAACCTGGTTGATGAGGTCGCTGTCTTTTTCAAAAAGATCATGATCATGCGCGATGGAGATCCCGTTTAACCCGTTTTTCGATTTGATCAAAGTTGAAGTTTTTTTTGGATAGTCTAGCAGAGCCGGTTGTAACTCTAGAAATTAGCCTCGTTAACTTCTTCTATCTATCTATGTATGATATGAATACAAGCATAAGGATACGCGAACACTTCTGAGTCATGTTTATGCGAGCATTGTCTTCGGCTTCGCCTCTGTTTGTTGCGTTCTTTCTGAACTGAAGAAAGGATTGAACCAGACATCATACTGCTGACCATATCCTCAGTCAGTCACTCAGAAGCTGGAGGCTTCGTACCCCACCCTAGCCTCCTAATCGTTAAAATATTGTTGTGGAGTAGCACTAGCATGAAACTGGTCTACCAGAAAAATAAACAATAAGAATGGCAACCAGTCTTAGATACCCCGTCCACTTGGCCGACTTCGACTATCATGGTGTCGGAACCCATAAAGCGGCGGTACCAAAGACGGATCACCTTTTTCGCGCGGGCATGAGTGGCGGGACAGTTCAAGCTGTCGTGAGCACGACGGGCAAAAAAGAATCGCGTGCACGTCACGAGACTCGCATTGAAGCAGTTCTAGACGCGGGTAGGATCGGAGATCGGCTCTCCATCGAGATAATCGAAACTGATTGGACCCAAGTGTGTGCTGTAGAAAGGAAGGGGAAGGGGAAAATGAAACAAGCTGCTGCGAATAAGAACAAGATGAGTATTGCTGCTCTGATATCGTCTGCTGTCGCTGAGGCCGACGAGAGCAAGGTGCTGCTGAATAGAGACAATCGGCGCGTAGTGCAGTTTAAATACGACAAAATCAGACTCGTTGAATCTTTCAACGAGCAAAAGAAGCGAGTCGCCGCTACATCTAGCGGCTCCTCTTCTACTAGTGCAACTCCTGCGTCTTCATCCTCCAACCTGACTGATATTCCTTTTTTACCTAGTATCGTGATCATCTCCGTCCGGAGTGTAGGGGAGTGTTTGGCGACGCCGGCTCAGAGCGAGGTGCGACAGGAGTTGGTGAAGATGGAGAAGCCTTTCGTACAGGCGGATCGAGGCGAGTTCGCCTTGCAGTTTTTGAGCGCAGATGACGCGCGGCGTTTCGTGGTCGATTTGCAGCGTGCGAAGACGCAGGCGAAAGAGGAGGCTGCGGAGAAACGCGAGGAGCGAAAAGCGCTGAAGGAGGCTGGTCTCGGGTCGCGCGCAGTAGTCCCCAGCACGCCTGCCGACGCACTTCTCAACCACCTTGCAGTCGCGCCGAACTCCTACGCAGAAAAATCCATCAAGCGATGGAATCTCTTCGGACCCTTTGTGCGCGCATCCGAGGCCCACTGGAAACGTTACTACGAAGAGCGTGACAAAGATGAGGAGGACAGGCATGTGTCTGTGGAAGGGGAGTCGGAAGCCAGTCAGTTGCAGGAAAAATTACGACACCAATTCGAAAACGCGCTCGTCTCGACTGGCAAGGTAGTCATTTTATGATCCTTTTTCTTTGATTTTGAATCAATTCGACTGAGTAATGTACAAATCTAGAAGTAGAAATTAGAAATAGAAAATGAAAAAATCAACATTCTCTTGACCTTGAAGTTGAAAGTCAATCATAAATAGAAAAAAAATGGTTCCGTCCTCCTTCTCTGTGGCATTGAAAAAGATCATATTGATTGGACGTTCAAAGAAGACTGTACACCATAAGCATATTAAAGCAACCTACTAGCGATAGTTGTCTACATCAAGGAACGTTGCGGAAGTTCTTCTACGAAAGGCTTTGTGACATTCTTTTTTTTCATGACGTGTTGATGTAATGTTAATTTCACCAGGTACGTCCTCATGAGGCAGCGCTAGCGGCTTCGGGTTTGTTTCTCGGTTGGGCGGGCACATTCGAAATCGACTCTCTTCTCTGTCACAGAAGATCTATGTGCATCCATGCTGCCAATGCGTGCCCATATAAATTGAGCATCGACTTCGTTGACTTGGACAACCACGAAAGCCATCGCTCTTCTGAAAGGCCCGGCCATTAAGGAAGCATTGTTTGTCAATAACAATTATATCGTGATTGTTCTGATGTGTCAAGAAGTACACTTTTTAGTTACGTTAGGTTTACTGGATGAAGTTCCTGTTATGTCTTGTGCTTCTTAGTTATATATAACTAGTTAATAGAAATAGGAAAGAAGCCCCATCCCCAACACGAACATAGTAGTTGATTGTACACATTAATCAATCTCAAATAGAAAGAGCATTTTCATTCGACCGTACTGTGTGTATAATACGGGGATCACCACACTCAGCATGAGTAGTAGTAAATGACGATCGCTAACGCTAACAAGAAACGAACCTCCTGGAAAAAATTGCTACAATCAATAAACCGAGCATGGCAGGTTTCGAAATTTCCGCACCACCAGATCGAATGCTGGAAGCGCCAAAGGCTAGTACGAAGGCACTCGCAGGTCGTTATCTCACCGCCGCCGGTATACTTTTGAACGAATCAAGTCATTTATATCATTCCGATGCTATTTTGTCAACTCAATCATCAATCTTGATCATTATTCACGCATAGGTCTTTTATTCTCATCACCGGAGAAATGAGTCTAAGATTATGGAAGAGTTTGTCCTTTTGATTGTGTGATTAGTATTAATGAATCATGATGATGATTGCATCAAAACGACTACCATGGATATACACGAAATGAAAACTCGTTGAACGCCAAATTCAAATCTAGGTGGTGTGCAAATACTGCTCGGAGAAGAATACACGGGATCGCTTTCGTCGCGAGAATGTGACTCCGCTCTCCTTCGAGCTGTCGGTGCAAACACGGATGGCAGAGAGCTAATTTACGGGAAGGGAGCCCAGGCCAATAGATTGATAGCCCCGCAGACTGTGCCTGATGCAGCTGCGGTAGAAGTATTGGAGCTCGCTTCCATACTACCTCTAGAAATAGTAAAAGAGATGAAGATATTGAAGAATACTAGCACGTTATCACATCAATGTCCCGACAAGGAGGAGGACGATGCACTGCTTGATCTGGCACGACCAAACAGAATGGAAGGTGCGAAGCTCTCGCAGGAAAGCGACGAGCCTGCGATGAAGAAAGCACGGATAAATCTCGATAACTAGTAATATTTAGGTGCTTATCCCTACTTTGGCGAGGAGTAGGGACATCATTTGTTAAGATGGATGATGGACTGCATGTCTGGACATGCCTGGCATGCATGGCGTGGGTCGAAGAAGGTCAGGTCGCGACCTTCTACAGGGAGCCAGATGAAAGTGACGGGTGGCGGGGCGGCGTAATGGGTTCTGCACGTTATGCGCCGCTGTTGCCCTTGAGGCTCGCCCGTGTCTGTAATAGGTTGGCCGTAGTTGCATTTTTTTGGGTAAGGCGTGCCTCACTTAGCCGCTCCCGCTCCCAGGTCCCGCTGAAACATGCAGAGTGCCCGGAGCCTGCCCACGCTTTCTCTTGCTTTAGCTGTTGGGGGCTGGGTTCCAACGGTTGGCGGACTTTATGCGTGTTCATATTGTTTCTACTCTTTGGTTGTCATGTAGTCTGCAAGCGATTAGGGGGAAACTACGTTCGAGCTATGGCGCCCGAAGGGCGCCGCCGAAAATACAGAGGGTGTGGGGGGCGCACATCCATGCCAGGCTTGTCATCCATGCCATGCAATCCACAAATTCATCAAGAAAAACCAAATGTCCTAATATCGTACAAAATGAAAAAATATCATTATCAAAATCTTCTTTGATAAAAAAAAGGGTTGAAATATATAATTATGTTCATTTTCATTGATAATGTGAAAAGTAGTTCATTGATGCACTGGTGTTGTCTACCCGTAAATGTAATATCGGCACAAGCATAGTTGTCAGTGGTCGTTGTCATTGTACTACCAGTTGTAGTATTCTTATTACCTCCCGCTCTCCTGGTGCTGCACCAGAGTGCACAACAATAATAGTTATCATTCGCATTCACAGCCAATATTTCTACGATCACGATATGTCATCCCCGCAATCACCGCGAAGGAACAGATTATGTCGAGTAAAATCATACCCATGAAAAGAAAAGGAACGCCAAGGAAAAATACAGTAAATCACAGAGCTTTGTCGATCTTCCCTGTCTGAAATTTTCAAGGTGCATAAGTTGGAGATGAGGGTGAGCTACTCTTCATCTCTTTCAGTTAGAGGTAGTACCGCTAGAGTGAAAAGTTGAAAGCACTGAAAACCTTCTTGTAAGTACATAACTACTTCATGATCATGCTCACTTCTCGAGTATGACTAAAGACACAACGCTACAGCTACGATAAAAAGTAAAAGATTAATACTTCATTGAGTGGAATTCTCGATTACAGTTACGAATAGATCTTTTCATATCCCCGTTTCCCAGAATCTTTGCTGAACTTTTTCAGCTGCATGACGCGACCACGACTACGAACCTGATTGCCAGCGTGAATGATTTCGATCGATGCTGCCCTAGTGACGAAAGCAAGAATTGAAACGGAGCAGGATAGAAATCTCCGAAGGGTACTTATAACGCCTGCCCTTTAAGGACTACAGGATCCGTGCGGGATTGCGAAGGCATTCCAAGTCCAATTTATATTATAAATATATCTAATTTTGATCCCTCTTTTTTCTTTTGCGAGATGGAACTAGGAGCATATTATGGAGTGTGACAAAAAGTAACGAGCGTGAGATGGTGATGAGCACTAATTTCCGAGCACCAAAGAACTGAAGATGAGCAGCAGGTGCGGGAACGGGAAGTCTTTATACTAACAACGTGACTGGTGACTACAGCCACATATTCCCATTAGGGAGTAAACATGCTGAATTTTCAATGTAGGAAGCTGCGATCTAATCATTATTGTTTGTCGAGAAGACCTACAGCTACAGCTCAATACAAAAAAGATAGTGGGATCTTCGGGGAAGGGAAGTAGAAATATGGCGCAGGTGAGTACTCCTCTGTTCGCATTAGAGCGAGCTATGCTCAGCGAGCCGTTTTACGTTTCTACATATACTTTTTTCCGTAATTGTGGGCACTCTACAGAGGAATCAGAAAGTTCTTCGTCCGCGAACTTCCAGAGAGAGCTAGAGAGACGGCTCAAGGCAGTAATAGCGCGTAATCCTTGGGTGCTCGCGCGCATCGCTAAGGACGGAACGCGATTTGAATGGCCATCACACTTTTCCTAGACTGGTGAGGATGCACTGCCATCGACTGTGTTGACGAAATTGATCCCGGAACTACACTCGGGTGACCCGAAGACCCACGGTGTGAGCAATGCCAAGGGAGGTAAAACAGGTCACTATTTTACCAGACGAGTTGGCGGTACAGAAGCGGAAGTCGACACCTTTAAGGCGACTCGGGCACTAAAAAAGCACTTTTCCAAACCTATGTGGCAGATACTCGTGTTCGAGGTCGGGCCTGCGGGAGAGAAGATATGAGTAAGCGGAGAACCGGGGCGAATCGCGTTGCCCCAGGAGGGGAAGGAGAGCAGACGGCCGAAGGTGACGAGCAGGGTGAAGAAGACAGCACATGCGCAACCGCTCCGACTGTTGGTGTTTTGGTGAGGTCTAACCACGCCTTCGCTGACGGATACACGTACTATACGCTTCTGCATGCTCTCAGCTACGATAACGTCGCGACCAGTATCCCTACGATGCGGTTCTACCGCGCACTGGCCTACGACACGCAGCGTTTCGCTACGTCCCACAGGAGTGGCGACCCTTGTTCCAGGCGCTGTTCGAGGGTGACATGTCGGCCGGGCAAGCAGTCGCTTTCCCGCGTGGCTTCCTGGTGCGCAACTTGAGCTGTGCCTGTGTGCCGGCGGACCCCCAAGGAAGTCCGCCACATCGTACTTGACATGGATATATAACTTGGAGGTTCTGAAGCGAGCGAGCGCAGGGGCAGCTGCAGAGGAAGACACGAAGCTGAGCATTCGAGACAGAATTTTGTCGACGTCCGACCTGCTGCACTCGTTATGGTTCCAAGCGCGCAGCTGCATTTATGACTCCTTGGACTTGCAGCTAAAGTACACAAAAAAAAAGTAAGAATGCTAAACAACTTACTAGAAGAAGTAGACACTAGTAACAAGGGACAGCCAACTACTATTACAATTATAGACGGACGACGTAGGCCTAGGCTAGAAGGAGACGAGTTATCGAGGAACGTGCTAGTTGATTTCCTGTTTGGGTTGTAGCTCGACAAAATTCAATGTGAATAATTGAGTCTAAGCTCTCGACAATCCGCCGCATGCTGCGGAACTGCGCAAGAGCGTCTTCTTTTTCGAGCTCGGCATGGACTTGCGAAACCTCTTCCGAAAAGAACTGGAAAAGAGCGTGGAAAACGATGAACAGGGTGGTGGAGGACAGAAGACGCCGGCCTCGCTCTTGGCTGGCAACTACGTCGGCAGCTTGGCCTTCATGCAGGGCGATGCACTTCAGCCCACAAGCGTGCCTGCTGCGCTCACTGCTTTCCGCGACGAACCGCCGAGATCTTGCAGTCGCCCGAAGGACAGCTACCTGGCTTCGGGGCCGTTTTACAAGATGGGCCGCGCCGTCGCGGGTCTCTGTGGAGTTGTCAACTGGAGCAAGCTCTATCGTGGCGAAATTCGATTCCACAACGAAGATTATGAGCGCCGTTACAACATCTTTCCGAGTGCTTCTACTTTTCTACTTGATAGTCCGTCGTATGCTTTGTACAACTAATTAACTAGTACCTACATTACAGGTAAGAAACACCAAGGCCGCGTCGGTATACATTGCTCTTGATTTTTCTTGTCAAGTTAATTCTCTTGCCAGTCCCACCTAGTAAGTAACTGAAAGTGATAGGTTGAAGTGTTTTCAGGAACACGAGCTCTTCATCTAGATTTGCTTATTAAAGTTCCATCGTTGTCGTTGTCGTTGTCGTTTTTGTTCTTCTAAGAGGGGGAAAACGTCGAATGGCATGCGACGTTCTTACACACGGCCACGCGCTGGGTTGCGGAATCGAGTCATATGCCTCCCGTCGCAAACGTTTCTAGAATGGACAGTGATCGCATGGAAGTCCAGTACAGAACATTTCCCGGTATAATTGACCCTTTCGCGGATACTCGTCTACGAGATTTGGATTGATGATTGGGCAGGAACGCGAAGAAAATGGAGACCGTGGAGTTGACATCTCTATGCGCGTCTCTGTGTCTTCTTCAAGTAGGAAAGCCACAGATATGCGAGCTAGAGACGCCAACTTTCAACCCCTAAGTGAAGTATTCAGGACAAGATATCGGGGAGCGGGACCTCTCTGGCAAAGGAACTCGGATTTCGAGTTTATCAGATGAGCTTCGCTTGTAGCAAACACAGTTCGCTCGTTTTAGAAACCGTGTAATACATTGAAAATATTAGACAACTTTTATTTCAAAAAACAAAGCATAATTCCGTTTCTGTTCGTCCTGAAATATTTTTTTGTCGTATGTTTCGGTTGCAAGTGCATGGATTTGGGCTTGCTCTCAATGATTGAATCGCGATATTTTATTATCTTGTTCTTCAACATGTCCAAGAACTGGAAGCTAACCGGCTCTACCTTGTGTCGAGCACGTTTCGTTTTAAACAAGTAGACACAATTTCAGATGATGTCCCATAGATGATAAACAAGTCACCATGATTTGCTTTTCTCAATCTGGAACTGGATCGATCTACTGGGAGGCATGCGCTGGCGTGACATTGCCTTACAGTGGTGAGAAGATGGTAAGCCTCTCTAGATGCAGAAGTATTCGACCTTTCACAAGATGCATATTGACTCTTGTCGTGGAATCGGTCAGGATGGCAATCTATCCATCCATAATCAGTACATGGATTCGGTAGTGTGGAGACACAGAAGAGATGAGATGAGCGATGCTGGAGATATTAGTACTTATAAATATATATATACGGCAGCAAAGGTTGATCATGAAGTTCAGATTCTTGTAATATAGATCTATGAACAATATTTCTGTTCACAGAAGCAGAACCTACAGATGCAATAATGAGGGCATGTAATTTTCCCTACACACCCGCAGCCGAAAATAGCAACCTGTACTTTTTGGGATCATGCTTTCACAGTTTGTTAAGTACTCATTTCTTGTTTCTGTGCGTGGCTGGGCGAATAGATTTGTGACTGTTCTTAGTACTTCTCGTGATTTGATAAGTCAACATGTACATGTAGTGATTATATGATGTGGTAGATTTTTGTGTTTGTTTTACCAAGGATAAGCTACGGTGGTACAAGGTGAGGTGCCTGCGAAGTGGAAGAAAAATGAAGTTGAACGCTGCTACTCCCTCGACGCTGACGAGAAGAACCTTTCATTCTCACTCTTCAGTAGGATGTCAACGTCCGCTATAATCATGTTATAACGCCTTCAGATGCTGATCCGTAAGAGATACGCCACTTTTGGATGAACAACGTCGATCATGGTTGTACGAACTGCAGGAACCAGGAAGCGAGGGATAACAGCGTCGGCGACGCCTTCTGGGATGCGCGCGGCCTTTTGGTCGGTTAATAAAGGTTACAATACTAGGATAGAGGAACTACAACATGTTCATTTACAACATAAAAGGTCGTTATGTTCTGCCGCAAAAGCTAGCATAAAACGTGGCGCTGTTTATCGGGCAGCGCAGGCGCAGCTGGCGCATTCAGGGAGTTGCCGGTCAACCGGCCCGGCTGTTGCAGCGAACAGGGAGTGGCAAGAATTCGGCGACTACTTGCTGCAACACGAAATCGATCCTTTTGGGTCAAAGCACGGGATCCGCCATTTACAAAAGGTCTTACGCCTGTTGGCCTTCGATGCGAATTTCCGCAGTATTGCGTTCTGGCCTTCGCTGTCGCTGCAAATCGGTCATATCTACGACCCGGATTTTGTACCGTCTGCTGAAGAGCTAGCAGTTGAGGGAGGTGTCTCCTTATCAAGGGGCGGCGCCAGCGTCAGCAAAATTGGGGAAGATGAACAAGACGGCGTAGACGAGAATGAGGATGATGAGGACGAACAGGTGATCGAAAACGTCGAGGGGGCGTGTTCTTCCAACCACGGCGAAGCAGAAGGAGAAATAAAAAACGTCACCGTTGTTGATGAAGAGGCTCAATCAAGAAGGTCCACGACCGGCTGCGTTTCACCCTCGCCCACCACGAGAAAGACAAACGAAATCATAGCGAAAAAGGATGGAACCGGAAGTCAGCAAGACCTTCTAGATTACCATGGACCGTGCATTATATCGCGTAAGGGCCAACAAGATGCGCGGGGCGCCAGAACGACGAGCCACTCAGCTACATGCTTGTCGCTCGAGGATGTGCTAATTTTCTGCGAATGCTTTGCCGCGGTGGGTCACCAGTGCAAGTACGCCTTCACCGCTCTTGTAAAGCAGGGACTCGCGAGGCTGCGGGCGGAGCTCCCAATCACTTCAGCGGAGTTTGGGAGCGATTATGGAGCCACGTTGCGGGCTGCTTCGCAACTGCAACTGTCGTCAGGTTGTGGAGACGGTGAAGCAGTCCTCAAGATGAACGAATGCGAATGGGAAGCGCAGGAACGTGCAGCGGGAATAATGACATCCGAGGAAATCGACGCTTTGCCTACGCGTTTGCAGCGTCGTGCCGCGGAAGTAAAAAATGTGCAGATAAGACGGCAACTCGAAGTTCAGAGAACCGTCCCGCTGAAGGCTATGGAAAATTACAAATTGATGTCGCGCCTCCTTCGTTGCTTTGGAAATTCGAATATACTGAACAATCGCCTCTTTGAAGAGGTTGCTGAGTTTATACTCACCTGGCGCGACCCACGCCCCTTTCATCGCAAAGAATTTGTGCTTATGCTCATGCACGTTATGGGCCAGATTGGCTACACCAATCCTCGGCTTCTCGAACACCTGGGTAAAAAGTATTGGAACACGGCTGCTGACCTGGAAGAGTGCGGGAAGAGTAGAGTAGAACTGGGGAGGACATCAACTTCTGCCTTCTCTGTGAATATCGATGAAGAAAAAAGTCTTCATCACGTTGGCGGTAAGAAATGGAGAGAAACAAAGAATGATGAGCATGAGGCCACGACTGGTGCTGGTGGCAGTTCGTCCTCGGCGGGAGCACGAGTATTTGGAGCAACGGCCGCTGCGTCAACATTTTCATCGGGTCTTACACGCGCCGAAAAGAGGAGTAACCAGGCCCGTGCCTGGAAGCACTCGGTGCTGTTCGCAGATTGCTATACAGACCGTACAGAGCTTTCGAGACGCGCTGAATCTTGGAAAAGCCTTTCGGGAAAAGAAATATGTACCGTCATACGGACATACGGTTAAGGCTCGATAAAAAATACTAGTCAATTCCCGTTCTTTCTACGTACCTATTTACATCATAATTATCTATGATGTGAATTCTACTCCGTTTGTTCCTTTTCGAAATCATTCTGAGAATACGTCGGAGATAGAACTAGAATATGAGAAACGGCGTGCGCTCTAATACGGGCGGCTGGGGTTCCGCCACGACTCGCTGCTGAGGCTTGTAGTGAAGGACATCTTGGCTGATGATGATAAACGTGTCATCGGTCGGGCACTTGCGACGGGAGATATGGACAACATTGCTGCAACCAAGTACGACTGTGCCGACGTCGCTACAGTCTGCGAAGCCATGCTCACAACCAAGAGAGACAGGGGCAACACGGAATGGTACTAGTTGTATCGCGTTATTTTGCGATAGCCTCATGCTCATCAGTGATTGGGGGCAATTCAAGTGTTGTCTCATTTTATATAAGAAGGTCGCTCCTGGATAAGACACTGGCAAATCAGTTTGCGTTGATTCATTTGTAATACAGAGTGTGCACTACATCAAACCGGACATCTTTTAGGTGGAGAACGAAAGAGGACTTTGCAAATTTGCTGCAGAGTTTGCAGGTCCGTTTGGGCGATGAGATGCGCAAACTACGGCTTGCAGATATTGCAACGGCAGCCTGGGTCCTCGGAAAGGCGAAGGTGGATCGAGAGGACCTGGCTCTGTCGCTGTGGAAGCTAATGGTCGAGGACCGACTCCTCCGCGAGGGGGAACACCCAACCGAGGGAAGTGAGCAAGCAAGCGCGCCGCGTCTGTTGAGCAGTTCCGAAGATGAAGAACAACCACTAGCACTAGCAGATGCCACGAGAAGAGAGCAAATCGAAGATGAACAAGGTTCGATGGATCAGGACTCAATAAAGGAAGAAAGTAGTTGCCTCCTCGAGGTCGAGGCAGGCTCTAATTGTTCGCATCCCAGCAAGGTCAACGTCGATGAAGCGGCTGTGATGACTATAGCAGAGCGACAAAGCCAAGAAGATCTCAAAAATGCACCCCCACGAGAAGAAGGAGCTTTAACCTGCACTACCACAAGTATAAGCAAGAACACATCTGCTAGGACGACCGAGACCATGACGAGCCAGAACACCGCGTTTTTCACTTCAGAGGAGAAGGAAGATGGGTATGTTTTTCCGGAGATTCGCATAGCGGATTTTGAGGAAAGTTTCTTGCTGGGAAAGCACGATTCTGAGACAGCAAAGCTCGATGAAAAGGACCCTAGTACTAGAATTAGAGGTGGTACAACTGGGCGAGTAAGTGCACCGCATGATGATTCTTCAACTAGTAATAGTAGTAGTACGCATTCCTTATCCTCAAGCAAAAGCAATCAAAGTGACGTATCTTCAACAACTGAAACTTCCTTTACCCATGAGAGATGTCTGATGGAAGAGAACTTCAACCCGCAGTACCTAACGCGCTTTTTAGAAGGACTGGTTTACATGTGTCCGACACACAAGCGCAAAAGTTCTCTCGAGTCAAGGATGGTTATGGCATATTTTTAGTACTTGGTTTCGGTTTGGATTTGGTATTTTATGCAGATGGGCGTCTAATATTCATTTATTCATTGGGTACTTATTTAGTTTTGCATCGTTTACGTTTTGTTTCGTAATCCTCGTATTCGTCCGGTGCGGGGTGTTCTTAGTAGATACATAGCGGCGGATTGATTCCTCTTAGAAGCAAGCTGAACAGGAGAACAGAGGGGATCATAAAAATATCACGATGTCACTACTGAGATCAGGTTCAGCACAATTAATAACTCGCTCTAACATCGGAAAGCTGACTCCATGGATTTGTGCGAACGTATGGCTTTTCAGTTTGAGCGAGCTAGTGCTCACAAATCGGTATCTTGCCGACCTAGGATATTCGGAGCCTGGGTATTACGAGGTCTTCATCCCGTTTCTCTCGCAAAGGGTGCATGCGATGACACGAGAGGACGTTCGCAACACGGTGGACTGCTTCAACAAGCTAAGGTTTACAGACGACATGCTGGGCGGACGGCAGTTCTTTTATCGTCTTGGGAAACAGTGGCAAACCCTCTACGCGAAAAGCATGCAGGAGAAAGCGATCGCCAAAAAAAGAAGCCTCAACAAGCGTGGAGAGGTCGTTCAAAGGCACGGCTGAAGGCAAAATTGATTCTGATTGCAATTATTCTTCAATTTTACGGCTCCTTCTTGTTTTTCTCTACTTCTAGGATGAATTCTTCGATTGGATTTGGAATGAACTTCTGCATCTGCTTCAACTTTTTCGTTGATTTTATTAGACTTTGTTATTATTTCTTCTACCACTACCTCCAGCCGCAGTGTGTGTGTGTGTGTGTGTGTGTGTGTGTGTGTGTGTGTGTGTGTTTTGTACACCCAGCGACCCACATCCAATGAAATCTTTGGTTTGACGCCAATTTGTAGAATCATGATGCACGACACAAATGAAGGAACGTACAACGTATTCAGGGGCGTAATTATCACTGCTCAGTGGTACTAATTATAGGGCCGATCATGTTCATGTCAGGAATCCCGCGACACTGTTAGTGGCGGTGTATCTGTGGAGGGTGATTTATTTCGTGAAAGGAAGAAATACGATGAATATAGACCAGGAGCATGCTGAGTCGTCGAGGTCGAAGAGCAGCAAGAGAAAGAGGAACACGAGAGCAGACAGACCATGCATTCGACGTTTTTTATAATCGGCATCGGTCTTTCAGAGTGACGCTGCATGAGAACTCTAGAGACGTGCCGTTCCAGCACCCCAAACGTATTGCCCATTCAGCTCCCTCCAAGCATGCACGACCCACAACCTCAAATGAGTACATGATTAGTGATCAGGAGGAAATGCTGTGCAACACCTCCTACGTACTTCTGGTTAACACGACGTTGATGTAGTGAATAGTTTGATCGGCATCGTTATTGTATCAATGTGATCTAGTTTTGCCTCTCTTCAGATTGCTGAGAAATTGAGCGAAGTCAAGGAGAACAATCGACGTTTGTCGGAATAAGAAGCATCTCCATGGGCACTCGATTTCGACTCCTACTTATATTCGCAGGTGATTGTAGTACGCAAAAAAATTTGATGTGTGTCGATCAAGGATTTTCGTTTTAGATTATTCGAGTAGGTGATTTTTGTAAACTGAAATTACGTCGAACAAATCAATGATTATTAGGAAGTAGGAGGAATTTTTAGTGACGAGATTCACCAGGCGAAATGTCCTACAAGGGGAGTCTTGGGTAGGCAGTCTGAGCGAGACTAGCCTTTCCCATCGAGTTGCAAAGACTTCGTTGCAGTGTGGAGACTGCATAGGAAGCAGGACAGCTGTGCGCCGCACGCACGAGCCACCATTTTGGGCTTGTGTCGTTTGCATAAGCAAGTTTGATACAAGGTCTCGTCTCGCCTTCGCGAGCACTCAAACCGAACACGGTTTGATTACAAACGCGCCGACTTCAAATCCACCTCCAGTTATTTTACTACTTGGTTCATCTTCTACTTAGCGCTGGAATCGATTGCAGAAAACAAACGAAAGGAAAAGCCTGTGAAGATGCAGATTCAACAGCACAGCACTGAGCCGCGGGCCGTCGTGGAACGGCAGAAATACCGCGATGAAGATAAGCACCAATCAACGAATATCATGTATGACAAGAGGGTCGTCAGAGGTAATTTTTTTCTTAGACTTAGTCGCTGGAGCGCCGTGTCCTGGTCGGTTGTATCCATATTTTTTATCTGATGATGAAGATATTGTTAGTATTACGATCACTTTTGCGGTAGATGTAGCTTTTGCAGACATCAAAAGAATTTCCTTTCCCATTTCGTCGTGGTATTTGCGATCCCTGTTGAAAGCATCTATTTTCCAATCGCAATGGCAGGTAACACCTATGCCGCACTTGTCGTACCTGAAGACGACCCGAGGGAACTTGCTAGCCAACGAGCCGCCCAGCGAAGAAGGCTGAAAGCCGCAAATCGGGGAATGCAGAGGGTACACTATAGCTACATAGCAATATCTTTTTACGGGACCATTGTCGTCGCAGTACTAGAAGTGCATGATGACGATGAAGCTCACCATATTTATGTATGAGTATTTGTTCATCTCCTGTCATGTCTGAAGGTTCTTCTTATCACCAGAATATGCATAACTACTACGCCTGGTAGTTTTAATTGTTGTCAACATCTACATCAACCACTGAGCTCTTTGACACCAAACAACAGCCTGGGACACCAGAAGCCGTTCCAGGACGACATCATATGGACGTGCAGACGGATCCGTATCTTGAAGAGCTGACGCAGCGCGCTACAGAGTTTGAAGCGGAGACGCAGACAGATTTTCTCCTAGATAGGCCAAGCACGCCACTCTACGTTCCAGAAAAGGTGAGATCTTCAAACAGTCGTTGTGATGCTTCCAAGGAATGAACCAACTGCAACTTTCTTAGCTAGATCTATGAAGTTACTACATCATCATGTGCATATTATATGAACTAAAGCAGGAGCACTAGGAGGCCCGAGCATCACTATCATAGCTTCGAATTTCACTGCTACTGACAAACAACAGAGCGGACAGGACGTATCAACGCAAATTGAGGATGGCGATTTGTTTGATTTTGACGCAGAAGTTGCGCCGGTTCTCGAGGTGTTGGTCGGAAAGTGTCTGGAGCGATCTATGATCGAGGTTTTGGAGGAGGAGGAGTTGGCGGCAATGCGAAAGCATCAGGAATACTTCCAACAACTACGCGAGCAGGAGCTCATAGAAGTGCAGAGAATGGAGGTACAACCTCTAAAGTATTTTGCGCAGTATTCATCACTACTTCTGTCGTGAAATTAAGTATATCAATCCACGGAATTTGATAGTAGTCCAATTATACCGTCGTAGCGGTTGTAGCCTACTTGTTTTAGTAAGGCTTGTAAAAAGTTGTAAACGCATATACTTCAGGCCGTGGAAAAGCGACGACAAGAGGAAATTTCGCGAAGGAAAGAGCAATCATCAGCGCGAAAACAATTCGACGAGGCGGTTTTACGCAAGGTACTCAAAACCTGAATGTCCTGTACTTCGTGCTCGGCTACAATTTACAATCAGCTCAACATTTTGGATGAGGACCTATACCAGCTTCTTATAGTATACAACTATACAACTTACATTAACGACTCCTTCTTTCTTTAATATTCTCCACAACTTCAGATTCTATCGCGGAATGTGGCTCGAAGCTATTTGTCTGGACTGCAAAACCGATGTTTCGAGGAGTTGTTCGATGCAGGAATTTTCCACGACTCAAATCTCATTGCAGTCGAAGGCATGTTTATGCCATGGCTCCTCGACACGGTCAAGGACCGCGTTTCGAAGCTCAAGGAACACAAAACGGTGTGATATATTTTTGGTGATAGATAGTAGTTACTCTGGCTCAACCAATACAAGATTTTGCACTCATCCGTGGCACGACAATAGCCTGATTCTTGATCATTTGCTTTTGCCTTGATTGGCGGACATCTGGTGTGTAGCACGAAAGTCACAAGTTTGCATAATTCCAATTGATTCGCTGTCGTGATGATTTATCTTGCAAGTCGAAATCATGAAAAGTTTCTACCTGTACCTCCAGGCCGTCGAAGCAGCAATGGCGGACATGGTAGAGGCAAAGCACCTGAAGCACGAACGAGTGTTGGCCATGTGCGAGGGTCGAATCGAGGAGCTCGAGGCAGCGGAGAAGCGAGTCCGAGCAGAACGCGACGAAGAGAAGAAAATCGCAAAGATGGAAGAAGCTCGTATTGCAGCAGAGGAGCAGGCATTCATCGACGCAGAGGCAGAGGATTTCATCAAGGAGGTAGTTGATCATTGATTCTCCCTGAACGAAGCTTGTTTTTTCGCTTTCGATGAAAATGTCTTTGTCTTCATTGGGTTACACGAGAAACCATTCATTTTTGTACTCCTACTTCGTCTACTCACACGACCCACAGTTCACATGCGTGGAGTACAACGAGGAGGAGGCAGTACTGACACTGGATGACGAGTCCACTGACACGGCTATCCCAGCCGAGCTGCTGGAGGAGCTCCAAGCAAGAATAGCTGGCAACGCCGAAAAAGAAGAACCAGTTCCGATCATTCTGAAGGTGAACAAGACCCAGAAGACCGTCCTTGAGATCATCCCAGAACCAGTGGTCGAGGAACCACCGGCGGAGGAAGAGGGTGAGGCTCCCGCAGAGGAGTAAGGCGTAGAAGAAGCCTTCTGAGTAGTTAGTGATAGTGATCTTCCCCTTTGTGGTGGTGCTGCGGGGGAAGCTGTAAAGATGAGTCGTGGAGGTCGTGGTGGAGATGCTGTACAAGGAACATGTGGAATGCAAGTCGAGACGAGACAATGGAATGAACAGCGATCGGCGACAGCAATGATCTCTGGTAGTTGTACTTCTGTTCCTTATTATGCCCGCTGGGGCCGCGGCCACCCTGTCACTTATGACCTACATGGACACAAGGTAGAGGAGGGCCGCAAGCCAAAAATTATATCGTCATCACGTGAATGAGCCGAATCTTCAATTTCCAAATAATCAGTATCTGCAAACTTCAACCAAGTATACGATTTTGAGTATCTGCTTCAACACAGTGTCTAGCTTACTGCGACAAACGACAAGAGTGATTATGGATAAACAGTTGTCTGCTTAGTTCTCGTCTTGATGTTGGAAATCGAATGTACTTAGTTAATAGCCAGTTTTCCGATTAGATGTTTAATACAAAAATTCAGTTAAAAAATGGTTGAACTTACTCCTGAAAGATGCACATAGATACAGATATAATCATGGGGAGTATAGACCAACTCCTCGATACTATGGTTGTAGTTGTAGTCTCGTGTGTGGGCTGCTGTAGTCGTGAGATCCCACGTTGCTTCTATGTTACAAAGCTGTGGCTACCAGCAAGTTAGAATTGAGCATCTGATACCGATTCGATCAAGAAGGTAGTTGCGTGTGTGTTATTTGTCATTCGTGTTTCGAATTCATTTTGTCTGTTGTATTTCTTGTCTTGTCACAAAAAATGGAAAATGCGGCCGATTGGGAAATGAAAAAGAATCCGTGAAAGTAATACAGCTGCTCTCGTCTTCTTGTCTACAAAATATCCCGATTAAGCTCGATGTTTATTGATTTCCAGTTTTGACTCTTATACTACTATGAGAAAATAACACATGTTAAATGGCAATTATTTACAAGTAGTCAGGACTCAGGATCTGCAGGTGAAGATTGATATAAAAACGCAAGAGGACGCAGCATAAACGAGGACGACCTCTATGCATAGAAACACCTTTTATCATAAGAATTAACAACAGTGGTCGACTGCGAAGCTAACATGGATGATGATTGAGGAAGGACGATCAAATACAGCCTATGCATCTACCTCCGCAACGCACAGTCACATCTTCAGATGATGGCTTGTCACCATGAGCATATTAACTATTCGACTATGTATCCATGTGTAATATGTTGTGCAACATCAAAAATAGTGATCATTATGTCTGCATAAAAAATTATAACAATCCATGATCTTCGTTATAGCTCGATAAACTTTGTTCTTTCATCCCACGCGATAGTCTCAATCGCTGTCAGGTTCGGTTATGATTAAAGAATCGAAGCCGTTGTATTCAACTAAAATTACTTAGTTACGGGCACTCCGGCGCACACTTTCCTCGTATTTGTGCGTCGATGTCGATGCGGTTGCGGTATTCGGTCGACATCGTCTCGGCAATCGTTGAAAGTGGAGTCCTCCGATGTCTCAGACGGGGGTGCAAGCGCCGCCGAAGTCGTGACAAGAGAGTCAAGGGAGTACTCGTCGCATCAACGCCTGAGTTGGGGAATCCAACAACGGGCGTCGTCGAGAGGCCACGAGTGCCCCCACTATGCATGGAACGTAGGCATTCCGCTATGGTCTCAAAGCTGGCAAAGATTATCATCGAAAAACGACCAAGTAGACTACTAGGGACCGCGCAGTAGACTATTAAGTATTGAAACTAAAAATAACAATTGACGAGTAATCTCCTTCTCACACATACACATACATTTTAGGTACTACGCGGGTCAAGCGAACTGCTCGCATAATCAGTCTTCAAATTTGTCACTCCCAATTTCATGATTTCACAGCTGCGGTCCCACCCCGCGCGTGTGTGAGGCCGGCAATGCCGGTTGTTGCTGGCGTGGACCAATAGTTGTACGAAATACTCACTTCCACGACGTGGACAACATTTATGCTCGCGTAGGGAGAACGAAGTACTATCCTGGCGAAGGAAGTAATTTCACGAACCTCTCCTCGTCAGTACTAGAGACGAGACATCTCAGTTGCTAGGAACCGAACTTCCTTTCAGAGCTAGGGATATTGCAGCTGGAAGGAAAATGTCAAGTAGTTCCTTGGTGGGTTTACGGAGAGAAAGCGCAGAGATTCTATTGGTCTTCACATAGTGCGACTTTGACTTTCGGAATCTCCTGGCAGTACCGTCACTCATCTGTCGTGGAAATCAGCGGCTGTAATCTAGTGCCTCAGGAGGTGTGTCGATATCAGCCGGTAGTGATCTTTAGCTGTACTAGTACGTCTTCAGTAAAGAACAAGTACCAGCAACAGTAGGACCAGGAGCAGCACTCGTGGACATCTCGCCATCTCAGAGGATATTAAGATGGCCATTGACTATGCGTACGTGGGCGAGCTCCGAGCTCAGCTCGAGGAGGTCGAGAGGCGGTTTGAGCACCTCAATATGGAGAATGAGATGCTTGCAGACTACCTACTACGAAATAAGGCCTCCGAGGTGGAAACAGCGGCGTCACCAGGCGGTGGAAAAAAGGCCGGAAAATCTCCAAAGCAATCAGCGCTCACGCTCGAGGAAAAATTTAGGATAGCGAACGGCGAAGTTGAAACGCTCAACAAAGACATCGAGACGACGAAAAAGGCTTCAGACCAGAATCTTGGTACAGAACTAGACTAGTTCGTTGTAGTTAATAGTTCACACTCGATTGCTTCAATGTATAGCTGAACTTCAACAAGAGTGCAAATCATTTCCTGATTTTGTGGTCATTGTAGATCGTGTTATTTGAGAACCTCTCTATCAAGCTCAGATGGATGTGGATCAAGATCAACTATTAAGGTGAAGCTTAGTTATGTTGATTTCGTTGAAGATAAAACCTGTTCCTCGTTTTTAAACATCGACGCCTGTATGTATTGAACTACACAGATGTTTTAAAGGCCCTTATGGAGGAGACGGATATAAGGATAGCCGAGGTAAAGCGGGATGCGTATGAATTCAGAAGGGATATAGTGCTCGGCGCCGAAAACCCTAGAACAGGGAAGACGATGGCTGAGAGGGTACTTGTTTCAAAGAACGATTATATCACAACTTGATAAATGTTAAAGTTTGTATCATGATACCATAAAAGGACACATAATGAATCTTGTTGTATTGAATGCTTCATGTGTATATTGCATAGATGTCGGGCTCCCTCGGTCTTTTTTTTACACGCTATCGCACTACGAACACACCCACAGGTTTTGAAATACCTGGAGGATAAGCTGACAGCGAAAGATATGCTCATCAACAAATTGTTGATGAAAAATCAAGCCTTAAAAGGCTCTATAAAGAAGGCCGAGGGCCAACTAAAGTCGAAGGAGGAAGGCGGCGATGATCTACAGTATCATTTTTCATGCGATGACTCTATCTTATTACGAGCTGTAGTGTTTATACATACACTAAGTAGGTCGCATGCTCCTCGCATTGCCAGTAAAAAAATTTTAGACCTCGACAAAATGAAGCGCAATAGACGAGTAGAACCAATTAGAATTATTGACAAAAGCAAAATGGCAACAAAAAGAGGGGACATGTGTTTTCTGCCCTGCATAGTTCACCTTAAAGCCCTTTCCTGGAAACGTCGACAAGCGTACACGCTGCTGAAACAACGTCCTCTACCTGTCTCGTCAGGTACATCGACTTTCATCAGTTGCAAATCGAGAACCAGCAGTTTGTTCTGCGAATAGAGGAAACAAATCACGAGCTGATCCAACTCAAGAGAACATACGGGCGAACCGTGAGAATCTATTTTTTTGTAGTCAACTTCAACAATATGGCATTCTTATAAATATTATTACCGTTTGTTATGGCTCTCCTGAGGGAGACAGACATAAAATGCGGGATAAACGAACACCAAAAGCCTACCTCTAATTCATTGAAGGCGGTCCAACTAGGAGCGAGATACTCACTCTTCAGTCGTTTTGCTGAACACATTGACTTTGGATCATATCATGACTGATATCGATTCTGTTTTCACCATTCCCATCATTCCGATTCCTAAACCACTAACTAGGTAAAGATGCTGAATACGGTGAAGAAAAAGCTTAGCCAGTTACAATCCGAGGCAGCTTTCTTTCAGGACGAAACAAAGGAGCAACGGGCCGCCATCCAGAAAGCCGACCTAGATCTACAACGTGTCAACGACGAGGGTGACAGAAGCAAAAAAGAAAACAAGAGGATAAAGGTGAGATGATAGTGGACATCTTCATGTTCTACTTGCTCTAACTCGTCTAAGTATTACCAGTACCACTAGCAGGTTGATTGTTCATTGAACTCCTCCGAGGGGACTGACAGGAGATTCCTCCTGGGTACACAACAATACGGTCAAGTAGTCACAAGAAACGGAACGTGATGACTGATGATACTTGAATTCCATTTTCATCCTCTGTGACGGTGTGCTAACTTCTATCAGGTCTCCCTGAAAAATAGCGCAAATATGCAGGGCGAGATGCCACAAGTGCTGGACTATGTCAACCAGAAAGCAGAAGAATCGGAGGTTGTATCGCAGCACAAAAATTTGGTGAAAAAGCTCGAACTTGCTAACGTTGCGTGGAAGAAGGCAAAGACGGTAGCCCGGCAGAACAACCTACAGATCTAGATGATAAATAGGTACAACACCGCACCTTTTTTCTCTGCATGAAAAAGGGTTCTTACATCGAACATACATGATAGACATTGTTTGACACCTACTAAAAACCAAAACTCATGGAAAAAGTGCGATCGAACAGACGAGGATGCGCCCCCCTCGTCTGGTTCCATCTGACACGCCTACATGAGAAGTAGAAATTGACTATTAATTCCTGACACATGATGAAGAAGATATAATCGCGCTGCTCGAATCCAGCTTATCTTTAACTGTTCCCATTATTCTTAACCACCACTTACTTTCTTAGGAAATTATAAAGAAATATCGAAAGCAGAACAATGTTGGCAATTTTTACCGTAGCTCAAGCGATCGACGAAGAGAGACGCAGACAACAAGACTTGTTGTAGCGCAAGTCCCAGCTGCTCGCACTAAAACGAGCGTCTTTGAAATGTATCTGATTGTATCAATCGTTGCAATACGATTACGAGGTTGGTCACCACGAACCGCCTATGAAATTAAATTTTCGTTTTGTGATCATGATGAGTGCCTGAGAACTTGTTCTAGCCATTCCTGTTGGAACACGGACACGAATTCTCCTCAGAGAGCCTTAGTGTAACTCCGACGATCTCTTCATGTATGGAATAAACCAGGACAAACGCTCACTGATGGGACGGAGCAACGACGAACAACGGTTCTTACAATAATGAAGACAGTGATATTTATCGAAAACGATCATATTGAAAAAGGTTTTGAAGTAAAGCAAGATTTGATCATGTTTCAAGCCGCATCAAAAATAGGAAAGCTAAGTTGTTCTCCTTCTCGTATAAGAAGCTCGAAGCTGAGTCGCTGCTTTCGCTGGCGTTTCTTTGCTTAGGCATGGGTGAGGGGACATGATTATGCCTGCTGGACAGGTATCAACAAAGTTCAAGGTTCCAAAATTAACGAGTCGACGTAAGAGCGAACAGTAGTTGCGTGTTCGATGGGCAGAGGCTTCCAGGGATTTCAAATGGAGATTCTGAGTACTTACGTGGCACCGAGTGCAGTTGTACTTGATTCTTGTAACCAATAAAACCTATTTTTAAAATGGAACAAAGGCATGGTGATGAAAAATACATCACGCGTTCGATCTCCTGTTGTTCTTCTTCATCTTTTCTGAGTAGAAAATGGAAAGCAGTCATTAGCTGTTGTTCATGATGGCTGGAGCTGGACAGGAAAAATGACACGTCCGTGCCTACGTAAAATGCGACGACGGTGGAACTGGTTGATGTCCTGAGGATACTGCCCGTGGGCATCAACCGTGAATACATCAATCTATAATTGAGGGAAGCAAGCAAGGGACGCACGCAGCTCCTTCACCAGAGGTCGGAGGAGGACACCTCTTCGCCTCTGCGTGGCTGCGCACGACACAGGATGCGCCGGCTCCAGTCCATTTTCCTCAGCACGTTGATATTTCCTCTTGAGTTTTTGTTTTCGCCTGAGGATAATCTACAACAAGGTCGTCTACTTGTGCGCGGGGTCCAGCTACCGCCGAGCGGGGAAGCGCAGGATGACGAGGGCGAGGAACCCTGCTCCTGCGATCAGTGCTACGGGGAGCATCTAACGAGTGGACCGGAATCGAGGCGGCCAGGAATCGCCTTCAAGTGTTCAGCGGATGTACCCGGAAACTGTGCGCAAACCGGCGCTAGCGACACGTGGGTGATCAACATTGCGCGTGTTCTCGACAAGACGCGCTTCTGTGAGTCGACCTGCAAACCGATTCGACCCGCATCAACGTTGGAACTGACGCAAGGAAGCGGCGCGCTCAAGTGCGAGCCCCTGTCGACCGATGAACGGACGAACGCACGTGACGCAAACCTTGGAAACGGTGCTGCGTGGACGATGTACATCACCCCGATGACAGACAGCCTCACTTCGGCGATCTTTCAGAGCGCCGCTCCTTTGACCCGCACAGTCGATAATGTGCGAGCAGTCTTCGAGGGCAACCAACCAGTATGCCTAGATTCACTTTCACTACATAGATTGATCAGCCCTTATGTTTGCTATTTGTTTCATATTTTGCATCGCCGTGGGTCACTTCTTGGGTACAAATACAACAAGTTCCATCATTCATTGTTTTATCACTGAGGACCTGAATTAGAATTATACATTCGTAGTATAAGTATACTGCTTTAATTATTGCGGGAGTTTTTGTTTCTCGTTGTGATACTCATCAGTTATTTGTATGCTTTTTTATGCATTTTGTTCACTAGCCCCAACCGCCGCCGTACATTCCACCGCCCTGTCGCTGTGATTGTTCGGACCCGTTGGTTGCGGAACCGCCACCTGCGGCACCTCCCGATGTAGTTCCACCTGATCCGGTGCCGCCAAGCTACCTGATGCCGCCTCCCGTGGAGCCGCCAGCGCCTCCTGCAGCACCGCCACCGCCTCCTCCGGCGCCACCGGGACCTCCGGAGCCGCTAAGCTTGGAGCCTCCGCTGCCAGCGATCCCGCCGATGCCGGTGAATTTGCCGGTGAGTGACCCGCTATTCGGTTATGCAGGCAGTCAAACAGGTTACGCACCGGTTGGATTCGGAGGGTCTGGAGTGGGCGGGTCATCGTTTCTCCCGGCAGCTGCGGGATTTGCACTGACGCCAGCTTTCGGAGCGGCACCTCCCGGCATTCCACCGGTATTCACGCAGCTCTTTTTCGGGCGGAGACTCAGAAAGAGTCCGACAACGAGGTCAAAAGCCGCTGCGCTAAAAGCAACAAACACCGACCAAGTACTGCCATTGTGTTTGCGAACCCAGTGTGCTTGCGATCTGGCCAATACCGCGGCGCGCGTCGAAGCAGATGTCGTTAGACAAGCTGAAACGCGATAGGTGCGTCGAAGACCGCACAGAGCTCCTCATGACATGATAACAAGGGGTGAACGAGTTGAAGTTGTACTAGTTGTATAGTCACTCAGCTGAAGTTTTTCATGATCGGATACCCTACCTTGTTTTTTCCATGACAACGCTCAGGATGCTCTTTATATTGTTGAATCAACACAGGGTGTAAACCGCGTGTCATCTGAACAAGTCCTCCACAGTATCTTGCACAGCTTTTTTTTTAACGGTAACAACGAACACAAAGAAAAATTCACATTTGACGGACTGATTTGTACAACGAACTTCCTCGCACTCCAACGTGCATCAGTACCGGGATCTTGGTGCGACTGTGGCGCCACTTTGAACAGTGCTGCAATAACAACCAGCTATGCACGAAGAAAAAGTTGAAAAGAAAATGTCGCGCTCGCTCTGAAAGAGTGGGTCTTTCGATGAAGTTTTGAAGAAAAATATCGGCAAGAGTCAAAAACTGAATTTGCGGCATCATCATCACCGCACATGTGACATTAGCATCCCGAGAGTAAATGTGCTGCCAGAATATGCTGTACGACGCGCAGGAGAACATTACCTCATTTGGAAAACCGGACTGACGAAGGACTTTCAGTGGCCAACCCATAAATGCAAAACCACCCGAAAGTGCGGCTTAAAATTTATTGAAATTGATTTAGCATTAGCGGTTTACTCTCTCGCTCTCCTTCTCGACGTACCTACCGTCGACAGAGAAATAAAAGTCATGCCAGCGGCCGCCGGTTCTGCAGTCCCGACGTCCATCGCGACTCGCGCGTCGAGCAGTACCGCTGGGAATAAGGACCCGCTAAAGCGATATGAGAGACCAGGCTTGCTACTTGAAGAGATAGAAGAGATGAAAGAAGCGTTTGACCTTTTCGACCTTGACAACTCAGGGCGAGTGGCACCCCGAGACTTGTGCTTGGCAATACAGAATTTAGGGTACTATCCACTCGAATTCTAGTTATTCTGCAAACAAGAGATTTCCAGTAGACTACCTGGATTAGACAACAAGTTGTTCTTCGGGCTGCTTCCGTAATACGAGATACGACTGCAACATCAACACAAGCAGAATTAGTTTTTTCTTTTTCTTGTCAGGCCATGGCCAACCTCAACTTCACTTGCTGCAGTACTTTTTTGCAGTGCAGCAGCAGCACTGTCAGTTTCACCTCCACAACCATCACTATCGCCATTGTCATCATCCATCGCGTATCCTGGTTCCTCAAACATCGATCATCAGGCTGGAGAACAAGAATACGGTGATCCAGCAGATACTAAAGGACTTGGATAAACTGCAGAATTCCATAGAGTTCGCGGACTTTATAGATCTCTTCTCTGCCAAGATGGGCGATAAAGACACAAGGCAAGACATAGCCAAGGTAACTATGTACTTTTACGTTTCTATGATATTTCATTTCATCTATATCTAAAAAATGATTTTTCGAGATCATCCCGCCCGAGTTTGAGTATGATCAACATCATCATTTTCTCCCTGAAAAAAATCATGATCATCGTCGGTCGCCGTCGACATGAGAATGAGTACAACTTCTTCTCGACAAGACCAGGTTTTCCGGTTATTCGATGAAGAGCATACAGGTTATATTAGTGTGAAAAATCTAGCGAGAGTCGCGGCTGAGCTTGGGGAAGCATTATCACCAGAGGAGCTCAACGAAATGGTATTGCGGGCGGATTCAAGTCACCAGGGAAGAGTCAGTCTTGATGATTTCTACAATCTAATGGTGCATCGCTCCTTTCCGTAGCACACATTAGCGTCGTAACCGCAGGTTTTCCCATAATTTTGAAATAGACGAACATGTTTGACACTCACGACAAGGACAAATTACAGAAGATATAACGCAAAATGAAAATCGTGCGTCTCGCCTTTGTCTGTCTAGGAGGACGAACTACACGCCCTATGAGTGACCTATTAATTATGCCAATTTGCTACACTGAGCAACAAGATCGAGAGCTCAGTCAATGAAAGATGTTTCATGAACCCTTTTCAGATGATAATTTTCTTGAGACGAGAGAGGTACCGGACGTAAGTAACCGAGAGAACCGAGAAGAAACTCCATAAGTACTCCCATTTTTTGGGGAAGAAGGTGAAGGTTACTTATTTTACGAGAAATGAGGGAAACGCATACGCATCCAGGAGCTCACACTTCCCTCTGATGTTTTGAACCTTTCCCCTCCCATACTCATGCCTGTTAAGGAGTTTTCATCTTTATCCAACTTGTTGTTTCTCGTGATAGCTTTCACATTTTCTTTGAGTAAGTAAGCAGAAGCACAAGCACAAGCACAAGCACAAGCACAAGCACAAGCACAAGCACAAGCACAAGCACAAGCACAAGCACAAGCACAAGCACAAGCACAAGCACAAGCACAAGCACAAGCACAAGCACAAGCACAAGCACAAGCACAAGCACAAGCACAAGCACAAGCACAAGCGCAAGCAGTCAGACGCGAGCTACCCGGGTATGTATGCCTTCGCATCGTACACCTCAAATGTGCTAGAAATTTACAACAGAGTTGTCTTCCGAAATTAATTTTTGTTCTGAAGTTCATTTTTTTTTGATTTTTTGCCAACTGCAGCACTCCGGTAATCGTCAAAATGGCAGTATAAAATTAATATTGATATTGTACTAGAAGGTCAAGACAAGAAGTTGCAGTAGAGTTTTCTGAATTTATATCATGACTTGCGTTTCTACTTCATCTGAGACAGCGGAAATTTCTCAGTAGGACTAACTGGAGGACTTTGCTCCCTAGATTAGAACTAGTTGCGACTGCGATAGTAATAGAAAAAGGCACTCGAAGGGCTTTCTCCGGACTCTCCTCCGCGAAACCAGTCTCCGGCGTTTCTGAGACCACGGGACTGAAAAAGTCTCATGTCCGCCGCGGACTTCAGGACTCTTAGACTGCTGAGTCCTGAGGTCCGCCGCAGGCCCCAGAAATCTCAAAGGCCCCTGTGGAGAACCCGCCTCATGCATTTTTGAGTCCATGGGACTCAAAAATGCCTCCATGGGACTCAAAAATGCCTCATGTCCGCCGCGGACCTCAGAAATCTCAACGCGGCCCTCTGTGAGGAACCAGTCTCAGGCGTTTTTGAGTCATGGGACCCAAAAATGACTCATGTCCGCCGCGGACCTCAGGATTCTGAGACTGCTCAAAATCCTGAGGTCCACGGCGGGTCTCAGGGGTTTTCCCTGTCCTCGGACAGACCGAGTCGACCCTACTGGGCCTGTCCGAGGACAGAAAAAACCCCTGAGGTCCGCCGCGGGCCTCAGGATTCTGAGCAGTCTCAGAGTCCTGAGGTCCGCGGCGGACATGAGGCTTTTTTGAGTGTTGTGGACTCAAAAATGCTTGAGACTGGTTCTCCACAAGGGCCTTTGAGATTCCTGAGGTCCGCCGCGGACCTCAAAACTGTGAGACTGCTTTCTTATAGTCCTGAGGTCCGCCGCCGCTGCGGGCATGGGTGTCTGCTACGCCATTTTCTGCTGGGGCTCTCGGGTGATGAGTGTTTTTTTTAGGAGCTTGAGATGGAGTTATTGCGAGCGCCAACGATCTGGCAGTTGGGGAGGGCGCTCCTTGGCCGATTCTTGTGGAATCTAATCAAAGGTTGTCCCTCTGAGTTGCTGCGGGGTTAATCTGATGCCCCCACTAGAAATAGCCCAGTCCTATGCACTGGGAAGCTTCCGCTGAATTGAGACGCATTTCCACTAGTCATGATTTATATTTCATTTCTCTCCAGCAGATCTTTTTCTTTATGTGTTATGTCAATGTTTATCTTCGTGATATCAAATAATATATGAGTTTCTTACTTAGCACTATGCATTGATTTACCTGTCTACTGAGTTGCAGTGGAGTGTGGAGTCCCGTCTTAAGTTTGCGTGCCTCATATCATTTTTATGTTGTCACCAACTTCTGTAGGTGGTGAATTCATGCATATGAGAGAGCTCAGCCTTAGAGCCGACTGTAGAACGGCACATGCTGATGCTGAAATGAAAATCGGTCAGCGCGCTTTGATTAGAGTTCTTGGCCTCGTCACGTGTAAAAAGAGTAGAGGCGCGGTGAGTCGAGAAATAGCGACCGTGCAGGCGGCCACCACTACGAAAAGTCCTAATGAGGTACTTAGACAAATATTCCTCATAGAAAAACGGTTACTTTCCCACTATGAGAGTTTGGACAACACTACAGTGTCCAAACTAGCGAAAGAAAAGAGCCACGAACCAATGAATCAATTCTTCTTGAAGATTCAGTTTTTCCTCACATCGTGGTGGAAGAAAATATTGATGAAGTGAATCGCTTTTCTGGTGAGGTGCAGGAAGATCGAGACTCGTCTGCCTCACGAGCACCTGCCAGGCCAGAGGTGCTACTGACAAGAACAAGATCCCCCGGTACGTGGAGTGCAGCGGCGATGACGTCATCTTCGACTGGGGGTTCTGGCGTGGTCTTGGTTCAAGATGCCACATCTGACGAGGATAGCGAGGAGCTCTTTCTGGTACACCAAGTTCATAGTTTGTATGACCGTGGTCCTCCTAGATGGACTAGGACGACTCCAGCAGCACCTTCTGGTGCACGACAAGAACAGCGGGACGATCAAGGAGATCACCCTCTGCGAAGCAGTTGCATGTTCGACCAACTACATAGGTACAATAATCAAGAAGAGCATGACCCACAGACAAGATATCGACGACACCACGATGCGTCTTCTTCAGCAGACGAGCAGAATGATGAAGATGATCACCACATCTACTCGCGAGACTATGAACAGTATCATCTTTATGACAGGGATAGGATTGATGCAGAAGGTCTAGTCGGAGTCTGCGATTATCTCGGCGATTATCTCGGACAAGAGGAGCATCAGGAGGATGGCGCTACACCGGGAGGAAGGGCAGGCTGCGTGGGATCGCAGACCCCGACGTGGCAAAAAGGGCGCGCTTGTCCCAGCGCTGCATGGAAGAACGGCTATTTGCTTCGACTGCATCTAACATCGCACATTTTTTTATGCTGGAGAGCATTCCGTTGCCCTTTCGCACTTCCGACCTTGACCTCTGTAGGACCGCAAAAGGTATAGTAACGTCAGACTTTTTCAAAGTGATCGACCTGCCTCGCGAACGTTTCACGCAAAGTTGAGAAGCGTGTTCGCGCTCGCGAAGGAAGATCGAGCTTGAACGCAAGGTCCAAGAGGAACGGCGACGCGAAGATGCCGACTTGGTACTGACTGGCGGTTGGCAAAGCCACGGTTTTAGTTTCATGGTTTTTATTTTTCACTTATTTCTTATATATTACTCAGGGCCGCACGGCCCCCCCTCCCCCCCCTGTGGTCTGGTCTGTGGTGGCGCGCCCGCGCGCTTTTCCCCCCGGATTTTTCGCGGATTCTAGTGGTGGAAGGCGTCAAAACTTGGCGCGGCCCTCCCCTTGGGCCTCTCAGCGTGTTCCGAAGGGGCCGCCTGGTCCCTGCTGACCCTCGCAGGCGGGAGGCCTCCGGGGTAAAAGGCCGCCGGAGGTGGCCACGGTCGCAAGAGCAAGCAAGCCGATGACCAAGGGCCCGGAGGCTACCGGCGGCACTGCTCGGGGGGTCCAGCCCCTCGCCTTTTGCCGTCTTCGGAGGCCTTCCGCTGCCGGTGCACTGTTGCGGCGGCGACGCCTAACGGATGCACTGAGGGCACAGGCAGGCACCTGGACGGGGGCGCAGGCGTTCCCTTGGGCTCCTTTTGAAGCCTCCCACCACCATCGGGGGCCCCTCAAGTCTGTAGGGTACATGCAAACGAGAAGGAGGCAGCCCCTTGGTCTCCCCTTGAGGCCTTCCACCTACTTCCCAGGCCTCCAGGGGACACCAAGCGCCTGGAAGGGGCCGGGGGTGGCCCCTTGGCCCCCTTTTGAGGCCTTCCCTCTCCGGCAGACGCCTCAAAAAGGGGTCCAGGGCGCCCGGCCCCCCCCCCGCTAGGGGGGGCCGTCGCCCTGAGCCAGGGGGGGGGCGTCGCCCTGCGCCGTGGCGGGTACTTATTTAGATATATTCATGTTTATCTTTATGTTTTATCAACAACGTCAACCTCAAGTTGTATCCTTGTAAATTGTAAGTAAGCCCAAAGTAAGCAGGAACAAGAAGTGCACTACCGCGTCCGGCTCCAGGTCCAGCAGCGGTTGATTTATAACTTGTTACACAAGTTAAAGTTCCGGCACAAAGCCTTCCAGGTGGATAAAGATATCGAGAAACAAGATGTATACGGAGTTAGAGAATCAATGCTATATCCGAACCAGCAGATCTTTGGTTGGAGAATGATCGACCTCGAGTGCATTCCTCTTTGTTTACATCATTCACCCAACCAGAAGTCGCAGAAGCGCTTACTAGTACTACTATCTAGCTTCATGCGGCTGCTGGTAGCTTCTAGATGTACCGTCATCCACGATCATCTGCTATCAGACTTGGTATCTTCTTGTCTTGTTCTCAAACCAGGGGCTTCGCCAGGGCCCAGGACACAACAAACACTTACTACTCAGCCACAACATATCATGAATGTAAATATGTGCTTCTTGTAATCTTTCCTCTTTTCAAATCGGAAAACAGGTGGGAGGCCTCACCCACGTTGCTTCTTGTTAAATCTTTGATGATTCATCAGGAATGCATCGCATAGTCTAGTAGGGGCTGGTATGCTGGCCAGTGATAGACTCAATGGAATGGAAAAACAAGAAGGCTGAACTCACGTCAGCACATGATCAACAAAGTAGGACAAGGACGTACACCTCTAGCTGCAAAGAAAGCTGACAGGGGACATTATTTTGCTGCAAATCGGAACAGATGAAGGTGGAAGCAAGGGGCGGTCCGCGTTTCCGCACGCTTCACGTTACCCAGCAGTAGCGCGGGCTTCTAAGAGAAAACCAAAGCAGAACAATGAAAAGATGAGACCTAATGAGTGAACATACGAGACGACTGAAGCAGAAAGACGAAAGACGCTAAGGAAGCGATTGAGTTTTTGTTGTAGCAGCGTTGAGCCTCCGCTGGTAAGAAAAAGCCTAGAAATTTGAACGGTTGTAGGTGCCTCCACTCAAAAGTTATCGTAGTGCTAGTGATGCATGTTTGTCCGTCGCAGACAACAATGTAGTTTTAGCATGAACATGTGATGATCAACCCGCTACCGCATCCTTTCTCACTCGAAAATTGCGATGATCCAACGACTAGAATGATATGTTCGCATGCTGCGTTGACGTCAAATAGGATAGCGTGAAAAATTAAGCTGCATGATCTGCAGGACACGAACATGTCCTTTGCCCCCGATCTTCAGCAACGTGCAAGTATTAAAAAGAGGACTTCGTTTAGCCAGAAACGAGAATTAAGCGCACCAAATGAAGACGAAACGGCGAAAGCGGCAGCTATTCGTAAAGCTGTGCAAAAGCACTTGAGCCCCGAAGCCGCGTTTCATCGCGCTACGGGAGCGATCGACAGTCAGCTTGATGTACAGACAATGCTAAAAGCAGCCAGTGTCTATAACAGTGAACGGAAAAGCACCAGAGCTTCTGGCACTTCTGAAGCAGGCTCATCTTCCTCAGCCACGACGGCAGGAGTTGCACGGATATCCTCCACAGAGGACGATACTGCGAGTAAGAACATTCACGTCAAAGCGCAGGTGCAGGCTCTAGAGAAAAGAACGTCTGCAGAACGGGAGAAGGCGCAGGAAAATCGATTATCACCGAAGTCGTCCGCAAAGAGCACCTCCAAGACTTCTGGTATACGTGCAGGAACGAGCAGTTGTACGAGTCCATTGCGCAACCAAAACAAGTCTGCAGATTATACCAGAACGTCAGCCATGCTCGGTGGAAGCCGAACGCGAGCTGGCAGTAAGCCTAGCACCATGGGCGACGTTCTCCGTAAGGGACCACAGCAAGATGGAGCATCTTCCTCTGCCCCAACACCTACTACCACAACGACTGGAGCAGCGGCGAAAAATCTCACTGCAGATGCCCAGAAAGCTACAACGGAAGGCGGGGGTAGTGAGGTGCCGACGTCCTCTTTCCGGCCTCCCTCATTCGGCGCGCTTACTCCTCCCCGGCGGTTTTGGTCAGCTGCTTCTACGGGAAGCTCACCAAAAGAGGGAAAAGGGACGGCGGCGGACATGTTAAGCACTAGCGGAGGAGGTGGCGTTGTAAGCGGAGACGGACCAGCGGGTCCTTCTAAACTGTCCGAGCATACGCGCAAACGCCAGCGCGCGCAAGACCTTGCAGAGGAAGGGGAGACGTTGCGAGTGACCATATCTCAGGTAAGCATACTGACATACTGTAAATTAGTGTTAGGATTTAATTGACTTCCTGTAACCCTAGAAATAACCGGCCTCAAAGAAACGGAGAGCAAAAGCAATATATGCCCTAAATCATATATAACGTTATGGTCTATCATTGAGCAAAGTGAGCAACGAGAATCAAAATGGATATGGGTCGAGGTTTAGGAGCTCTCGCTTGACACCATGAATCAGGTAGAGCAGTCAACGCAAGCTGCACTTAGAAATCTACACGAGGCTCGGAACGATCAAGCCGCATTACTCGAGGAAAAGGAACGGCTACGCAAGGGCATGAAATCATCCCAGACGCGCGTTGCGACTGCGCAAGCCAGAATAGCCGCTCTGCAGGATAGAAAAAGAACCACGAAGCAACGCTTAGAGGAGGAAATGGGCACTCGTGAGAACGAATTCAGAAAGCGGTTATTCAAGTAACAAGACCAACTTGAACTTATTCCTGATTCACTATTTTTAATTAAACAGTGGTCAGTGGTGCTACTCATGCTAAAACTGTCTAGTTAGTGTTAGATCTCAAGAGCACCTCTTCATATTACATTCATTACACGACTGTAAATTCGGAACTGCAGGAGAACTTGGATTACACATATTAGGCACCAACAGCGATTGCGTGATTTGCAAATGCAGCTGGGCCAGGGTACGCGAGAAATGAAGCGATTGGAGGAGCTTGCGACAAAATACGACCTGCCTTTGAGTTCAGATCGTGCGTCGTCCTCAATTTTGACAGGCGGCTGCGGCGGCGCTGTAGGAGCTGATGAAAATAACTTGTATCCGACCTACAAGTCGCGCGTTAGCGATCTGCAGCCACGAGAGGCAGGAAGCGCTGCCGGAACTATGTCTTCGACCGCGGCTGGTGTGATACGGTCCGGCTTTTCGGCAGCCGCGACTCAGCAAGCGTTGCAGGAGACTGCTGACGCGACGGCGGAGCAGGCGCGGCAACTAGAACAAGAGATGGCTGAACTGGAAGCGCAGAAGCAGGAGCTTCTCACTCATTGCGAGAGTCTCAACGCGGCACAGGAAAAGTTGGAGGTTCAGAAAAATAGACTGTGCACCAAGTACTTGGTGCATGTGTCAGACGCAGATGCACGATTCAATCCTCCAAACAGATCAGCTTCAGGCGCAGCAGCGGATGCAGAAAAATCGGCGCCGGCGGCAAGAGTATCAAAAGCGAGCGTCTATAACAGGAGAAGTGCCGGTTTTTTCAATGCCAACAGCACAATCGCCGATGCCTCTGGATTGCTGTTGAAACAAGGCCGTAGCGTGAGCCTTAGCGCGACGCCTGACCCAACAAGACGATCACTGGCACTGCCGTTGAGCCGGCTGGCTGAAGGGGAGGCGACGGAGCCGAAGCTGTCAGCTTCGATAGACCTGTCTGCCATGCGTGCACCTCGGACAAGCGGCTTCATGTCAGCACGAGGCACCTCCTTCGCGAGCCGGACAACAAGAGCAGCAGACGCTGTCATGTTAGGAGACTCAAAAATTGAAATTTATTTATCTAGTCCTTTTCACAAAGTTTTCTTGCACACGAAGGGATCATCTGCACACAATATTTTCATACTACTGGCTTTCCCGGCAACGACTACCCGAACTCGAGGTGGTATATCATGAATTATATATAGAAGAAGAGCAAGAAACTTAACTAGAGATGTTGATCACACCTCTCATATGAAGAGTGTCGATGTCGCGACAGAGGCCGACGAGATATCGCCCAACATTTCTAATCATGGACGGAGAGCAACAAGGACTCGTGACGCCGTTTTCAGGACTGCAAAAGGAACACATGGCCTTAGCGAAGCAAGAAATGGACGGGGCTGCGCGAGAGTTCAACAGACTGACAAAGATGATCCGGCGCGAGCAAAGCCATCTCCTGCGATTGGAGCGCGACTTCGAGGAGGCGCGCGCCAACGAAACCGTCGAAATGAGTGAGCTTAAACAAGAGCTTGACCTCGTCTGTCAGAGATTATGAGGAATCGAAGGATTACATGAACCACGTAGCTGCGAACTTCTATTCCCTCATCATGTTTGTGATGTTCTAATGATCGACTCTTGCTATCTTTACAGCGTACTTCTTGTAATTAATAACGGTTCGTTTTCCCTCTGAATCTTAGGGTTTCTCCCTTCATGCAATTAGTGACGGAAATTATCCGAGTGGGGCTGTGGTGGTCGTTCCTGTTCTTGTTACGGTGTTAAGTAGAAACAACGTCTTTTTTCATACTCTCTCGGTGAGCGGCAGGGAGCGGCTGCTGAGCTGGAGGTGCTACGGCGTTTGGTGGGCAAGGTTGAAATAGAGTTGGGACGCATGGAGGGAGAATATGAGATTAAGAGAAAGGTACTCGAAGCTGGAAAGCGAGACCTCGAGCAAGACTTGGGCACGCGGCGCAGCAGTGTCATCCACTCGGACCAGGATCAGGCACAGCAGCAATCCATGATCCAGCTGCGACTCGACCAGATGACAGCATTCGACACCCGCATGGCGGAACACGAGACAACGTACAAATTGAAACGCACGGGACTACAGAATTGGCTTGCCGACAACAGGGCGAAACTGTCTGCTGCGCAGGCTGAGATCGGTGAACAGCAACAAGGGTCCTCTCTGTTGCAAGAGGACGGCTACCATGACAACGCTGAAGTATTAGCGGATGCGCTGGGCACCTTACCGCCGCCAGTGCTGAATCTGGTCTCACCACAGGACATGGCCAGCACTGTCGGGCCGCTTTCACAGGCAAGAGCCGCCTCGAAAAAGAATAGCAACTCCTCTTCGACGAATTCAGGAGATGCCTTGCGTGCACGATACGAGGTGCTGAATTCTAAGGTCGCGCAAATGGAACAAGACTGCGGCGAAAAGGCGAAGACACGCGAAGCGCAAATTGTGCAGCTCGAAATCCGTTTAGCGAACTTATTTCGAGAGCGGGAAGAGGCACGGCGCGTGCGCGACCGATCCCAGAAGTTCCTGGCGGCGAAAATGCGGGAATTGGAGGAGCAAGCAATCGAAGCAGGCGTTGATGCTTCTGCTATGTCTCCTCCCGGAATAGGTATAGACGGGAGTAATCGCTCCAGTAATATGTCGGGGGGTCGAGCCTCTTCAACTGTAGAGGGGGACCGAGTTAGTTTACTTCCGGGGGCGGTGAGTCGTGACTCCGCTACGAGACCTGGTCGTCGCACACAACTTGCTGCATCGTTTGACCGCTTTTTTGCACCCGGCGGTACAAGGAACCAGCAGGGAGACAGAATCAGTGCCAGTTTTCTGTCGCAGAGCGGCCGAGACGGCCGGGCAAGTGGCCAGGGAGGGAGTAATGCGCCGTCAGTGAGCACAGTGGGTGACTTGAACCGACTTGCTCCGAATTCGAACCTCCACTCGCATGAATGGGTCGCGAGTGGCAATACCTCTACACAAAACCGGAGTTTCCAGCGCATTGAGCAGAACCGGAAGGAGTTTGCGCGGTTAGAGCAGATCTATGATGGAATCAAGAGCATAGAGGACTCTAAGGACTCCTTGCGCGAACAGGTGGACCGTATCCAGAAATGCCTCTTTCTCGTAAAAGACCGGCTGGCAGCGAAGGAAAAAGGCCTCGAGCGTATCTCTCAAGCGGCATCAACAGTGGCTAGTGCAGGAACCAGCTTCAACACCACAGCGCCGGGAGCGCAGAAGCCTTTTGTACCGCCAGGTGCTGGAAGCCCTTCGCGGACTAGCGTGAGCGTTAGCCCAGGCAGGTATTGAATCGTGATCGTAAAATCTGAGTTGCAACTACTTGGAGACTTCGAAATGGATTAGTTCTATGCTGCAACAGGTAGAAGAGGTTGTAGAATTTCTCGCTACAACAACGCTCAAATTTAGCTTTCTCATCTATCACTTGAAGTTTATTTCAGCATTGGTTTTCAATCCACGCACAACTGTTAGGCCGCGGACTTCGCGGATCGGTGCGTCAGAAATTCGACAGACGCAAGAGCGGGTAGAACAACTGCTGCAAAACTACGATCCGCGAATCTTCCAGGACTTAGCGGAGATCAGACGGAACCTGGCTGTGAAAGAAAAGGAAGCGCATGATGCAGAAAGAGAGTTAAAGAAGTTTGAGGCAGCACACGCAAAAGACGTCAACCTGTACGCGCGGGGAATTGAAGAGGTATCAATGTTTGCTTCATGCTTCTACGGACAAGAATCATGTATGTGTGACTCTCATCAAGGTCGGGGGCGCGTCGACGAAAATTCTTGGTAATCCATTCTTCATCGTCTAGTTCTATCTTGATTGATGATCTACCATGATCTTGATCATGTCAGTCTATGCCTACTTGTTCATCTAGCTTTACCGTCATTGTGGAGTTGGATGCGGTACTAGTACTATGACAAGACCCACAGCCACAGTTGCTAAATGCCACTCGAACAGGAGGAGCTCGCCTTGGACGCGGAGATGAACAGTTGCCAGGACAGAATTCGGGCAGAAGGAACAAAAGCAGAGCAGCTTCGTCGAAAAGGGGAGGAGGTCACTGGAAATCTGAGTCAAGTTGAGTCGCAGGTGACTGAATTGGACCGAAAGTGCAAGTTTCTGGAAGGGAAGCTAAGCGAATTGCGGAACCTGTCCTACGTGATAACGGAACGACGCGGAGAGGAGTCGCCTTCGTCCGCGTCAGGAAATACGCTAGGAAAACCAGGCTTCTATGCAGGAGGTGGAGCGAAGCTAACAGCAAGTGGCTTGCCGCACGAAATAAAGGCGAAAAAAGCTCTACCCACAGACATAGCGGCTAAGATCGAAAGGATAACGACCGCAATAAGCGATGAACGCGAGAAATTAGAAGAGACGGAACGTGAGGTAGACGCGATAATATCAAATATATCTATGGTCTGATTTTTTTCTCAGGATTATTTAATCTACATCTAGTATCAGTATGTTGGTCCAACTTATTATATATTTATTATAATATAAATATATTATGTATTTATAATATAGCATAATTTGCAAATGCAATGCCGATGGACAACATACCCAGTATGTTCGTTTGTTTCAATCATGTTGTGCTTGTCATGCTCGGATGAGATTCACCTTGTTTGTTTCCTGTTGATGCTGTCCGCTGCGAGACCTGGTAGTTGCAGAGTCATTCTTTGAATTTGATACATGAAGACATGACTCTTTTCACGATATTGAATTCCGATTTTCGTTTATCATGCTTGTTTTTGAGGTATGCCCCGAAGCACCGGAAAGTAGTAGCTCGCAAAAGGCGGGGGCTTCCAGATCAGTTTCCTCATCAGAGAAGAAAAACCCTGACTCCGAAGCATCTGCACCCTTCGGCAAGAAATCCACGGCGACTCGAGCTAAAAACAGCCGCGTAGCTAAGCAGTCAACAGCGTCAGGAGTGGGAAGTGCACCAAAAGGCCGAGGCAGTGGTCTTCCTACGATAGATGTGGTTAGAGCTCACTTTGGTGCGGACCATCCAGCACATCAATTCTACGTTCACCTATTGCCACTTTTGAAAGGAATAGCTGTCATGCTCTGGCGAAAGGATATGTGGGTGCCTCGCATCGTGTCAGTTTCGACGGATTATCAACGATTATGAACAAGTCAACTATCGTCTTTATTTTCATCATCTTCAAAGCAAACTTGTCTTTAAATTTGTAGAGGTGGAGGTGCCATTAGAGCCATTTGTACATTCTGATTCGCTTGCTCTTCGTGATTGCACTAGTTTTTTAATTTCTTTAGTATTATCATTATGCATTGAACATCATCAGAATAGTCAGAGGCTTATCGAATGTAAGAAGGTACTCAGTAAAAAAATAGAAAATTCCCGGCATTGTTCATACTGGCTGCAGTTCCATTCGGAAACGAAAGTCGTCGCGGAGAGTTTCATACGGGTTGCTTCCTTGAAGTCGGTAAACGTGCCTGATCCAACATTGCGATTGTTGCAGGACGTTGCGGCGGGGACCCCGATTCCGCCAAGCAGGCCAAAGCTCTTTCAAATCCATGTCTTGAGGTTCGATTCGCCACCGCTGCGTCTACAGGTGCCGACTATCACGACGCTCCATCTCCTGACACAAGGTTTCAAGATCATATGCGAGACTCCGAAGGAACAACTCGCTTACTACGCTGTGGTCTTGGGCTTGAAGACTACATAGTCATAGACGTAGACAAAGATTACAACCTCTTTTGATTTAAAGACTCCTGTACTAGAATTAGAGCAGAACGAGATCCTCTTCCTCGTTCTTGGGGAAAACATCTAAAATAAACGAGAAATTACACAATTCACCTGGTGATCAACGCATCATGTCTATGTCTACCATCACATTATCTAGTTCCGCGCATGTGTCCTCTGTGTCACAGTCAAAGATGAGCAACTGAAACTGAATCTGAACATCGACATCCGTCGCTGTCTAACGTCCAAATTCTACGTAGCACTAGCATGCTAAATTTTACATTGGTTTTCCTGAGTTGTAACAACAACAAGACGAAGACGCATTATTCTCTTCAAAGGAAGAAATACCTCGCTGTGCTGGTGATGATATTTCGGACTTTGTCAGAGGTCGTTGTCCTCTTTCGTTAGTACTACTTCACTTCTTAGGAATTGAAGTCTGGCATTGAAAGTCCCGTCGACAGTTTCGGAGTACTGATCTGGGCATCCTACCATACCAGTACTACGCCGTCCTAAATAATCGGTATTAACAGTCCGCGCCTTCGAGGAGCGTCGTCCTCGTCGTCTAATCTAGACTGTCTAACAAGAAAAGCAATTTAACCGGATGAGACTTGCAAGAAGTGCTCCGTTCGATCGAATTCGTTTTTCGAACCAGGAGTAGATCAGAGGGAAAGTTGTTCCTTGAGAGTAAGGTCGTCCTTAGGTCAATGAGCAGTCGCCCGTGTCTTGTTTCTGGTTTATGATACCTTATGTGCACCTTGTTTCCTTGATTGTTGGCGGTCTTCCTCAACAATTATGATTCCTCAGCAGAAAATTTTGTAGTGAGTAAAAGCATGATGATTTTTGAACAACTAAAAGAGAGTGGAGAAGGTACCTGACGCTGACACACACATGACTGTTGGGACTGCAGAATAGCCGTGCTGCGAGCGTGAGCGCGTGAAATATGCTCGCGTCACGTAGTTTTGGACAGCTTCCTCTGCAGCACAACGAGAGGACACAGTATGTGGGGCAGCACACATTGTACTTACAAACAAATGTTCCCTTCTATGAGTTTGCTACATCCATAGTACTGCAACAAGTTAGTACTTCGGCTTGAAGATGTTTAAGTTTACCTCAGTGAGTTGTAATTTTCTTTAGTACTGTCTTCCTAAAGATTTTCGTTAAAAATTAATATCATCGATCCCAGGTACCGATCACAGCTGAAGGCGGTTAGCGGTCCACGATATCACGGCAAGCCTGTGCACAAAAGATGGAATAGCTGTCACAGTGTGAGATGTACGGAGGCCAACTGGTGCAATAGAAACAGAGACGCGAAAAATGGTACCTCTCGGTTACAAAGTATGACTACAACTATAATAAGGAAAAGTATGTACAGGTAATAAACTGTTAGTATCCACCACTTTGAAAAAAAGAAATTACTTAGACCCTTGCAGCCGACGTAGTTAAACATTCATCTATCGTCGAGTAGAGCTTCTACTAGATCTTTTCGGTCAGTACAGCAATAATTCTAGAAATTCATAACAAGATGATATGACACAAAACAGGGTCTTTCGATACCCATCGTCCGCTGAAGACCGCTATCTATGATCCTGTGTGGCATCCAGAATGGAAGCCTACGCAGTTGGGGAACAAGCTTGTGACATCAGGAACAGATGAATTCCGGCAGTATGCCCAAGCCAGCGCTTGGGATCTGCACCGGCCGTTGAATTGGGGCGCCCCAGAGTGGGGCCGCAAGGGCAAGAATAATGTGTACCCCCGTGCGAAATACGTTACCGCAACTGGCATGAGCGCAAGCTTCGAACAGTAGGTGGACATCTGTCATGGTGATTTTATTTGGAGGATGCGGAACAAAGTTTGTGTTGTATCGGCGAACTCGTTGTACTAGAAAAGTGGTATGAAGATGAAAATCGAAGTTAAAATGACGTCGATCACGATCCCCATGATTCGTTACATTCCTGCAAAATTTATGTGCCAGTGCTGCGCAATACCAATATTGACCCCCCATTCTTTCGACATGATGTAGTGCCAGCGTCCGAGACGCACTGCAAGAACTGCAGGATGAAGATCGACCCCTTATTGCCAATTCGCGTAACAAAAAACAAGGCTGCACTAGCTGCTACTAGATGAATATGCTTCAAGTACGAAAGAAAATACGACTAGACTGCAATTCCTTCATTAGATCAACTACCGCTGAACTTAGATTTGATTTGATTTACTCGTTGACACAAAGAACCGAAAAGATCCATGAAAACAAGCATGGGTGGAATGTCAAGGTGCTTTGAGATGCTACGAAGGAAATGCACAACACGAGGTGAAGCAAAATGTAAAAAGTAACAATTATACGAAAAAAGATGGCACCATTGGCAACGCAGTCGGCATCCACGACGGAGAGGTGGAGATCATTGATCATACGGTTATACCTTTACCATTCCGTATGCGTATGAAGAACAACCTCGTAGGTTCTCCATCGTCGGCGTGATCTCATCTAGTATGTACTAGGAAGAAAAGGCGTTGTCTGTCTCGCAACCGTTGCTGCTGAAGCACCTGCACTCACTCACTCTGTCGAGATGAGATGGATGCTAACATCCACCTGAATAGCAACTACAAGTCTACTGTCAGATGCGTACTTGTTCACAGCCAGATGAAGGAGTCGTACTTTGTAGTGACGAACTTCGAACCAACTAAAGATCAGTGTAAGTGTATACATCAGTACAACCGTCGGTTTTTTTTTGTCCTTTCATCATTTTTTCATCTGGGACAGGGAGAGGCGCAAGTCTACCCTATTTTGTTTTGGCGCGTTAATCTTGGCCCTTTCTGAACAGAAAAGTAGAGATATTGGAAAACCATAAGACGCAAAGTCATCAAGTACACAAGGTGAGACGAGAGTACGTAGGTGTGGTGTTGGTCGTTTGTTCTATTCCCAGACCCTGACTACACAGAACAAGGATGACATTACAAGGTAAGTAGTGGAAGATTCAATAACCGCGTTCTTAAGTTTTTTCGCACCCGAAATCGAACCCCAGTTTTCAGTAATTGTTGTTCTTCGGGTTGTAGAAAATAGACCACAACTGATTACATCAACCTCAACGTTGTATATCTTTCACGTTTCTTCTTGTTCTTGTGTTATGTGGTAGTGGTTCTTCTTCGACCAGCTATTTCTTGTTACTCATCAAGGAAGAAGGAACCCTAAATTACCACGTCCACGAATGATGAACATAATTATTTGAGTTAAGAAACATAAAAAAAGATGACGAGGTCAGTATTCATACCATCGTATCTACTGCGCGTTTCCCGTCGCTGGTGCATTAGTTGCACTATTGTGAGGACATCAGTGCTAATATTCTTGCTTTTTTTTGAGCGAAGAGCTGAAACAAGCGGGAGTCTTACAAATCTCGGCTAGCACTAGCAGCAGCAGCAACCAAAACGCTGGGTCGACATGGAATTCGACTGTCGTGAACGTTACACCAACAACCCTAAGCGCGTCAGCCGTAGACATCGGTAACGCCTCGTCGACATCGAACTTCCTACCATTGGATTTTTTCTCGCAACTGACCGCTAGCAGCAGCGCCAACGTAGTTTCCCTCGGCGCAACGCGATGCCCAGAAGCTGCGGGTGAGTGCTGCTTATCATGCTGGCGCGAACACCAACACGTCTGTGGTGGCGATGGTGACCTCGACCGGTGTCCCGATGAACACTGTGCGCTTCGCCTGTTATCCACCCTATGGAGCGAAGGAAGACTGGCTGATTTGCGTACAGCCGCACTTGAGTGGGACGCGGACGGTTCACACAGACGCAGAGATTTGCGATGAAGTCGAAACACTACCAGCCTATCCTGTTGACAGGGATACCGGAACACACGCTTTGCGGAGCACCGCAGCTACGAGTAGAGGTGGAGGTTGGCGTAAGATATTTGGAAGCACCGGGTGTGGTCGGGTCTGCACGTACTGGAATGTCGATGTAAATTATACGGTGGAAAGCGTTTTTCGTGCAAAAAGCCCCCGCGTATCCTATTCGGTGACCAGCCAGCGCGACTGCTGTCTGTTTGCGCACTCCTTCGAGAGTACAGACCTTGCGGACGGCGGCGCCACTGTCCGATGGCAGTAGAAAAGCTCCTCTTGTCAGTGTCTGGTCGACAGCGAGTTGATGCTGCGCAGCAATCTCGACATGAGTTCTGGACTGAGCATGCGGGACCAGGGAACGTGCTCCTTCGGGCACTTGAGCGCCACTGTCACAGGCGGCGGGGTGTTGAACGCCGGAGACGGCGGCGCGTTGTTCTGGCGCGAGGCAGCGGGCGGAGCCGAAGCGGCGAACCTGCGAAGCGCCGGACGCTGTGCCATCGAAAACGGCTTCCAGCAGCTCAAAACCACTGCCGGCGTCGGCCGTCCGGAGGTAGGGATGACGCCACCAGTGGACGGAAATAAGTTCGACGAGTTTCCGAATCATGCCTGCACGTCTAGTACTTGGTGTGGAAACTGCCGGTACGCGATTACGTACAACCCGATCGGCAGTTTGGAGGAATGCTGTCAGGCTTGCGTCACTCTGCAGTGGGTAGACTCACGGGGTGGCAATCAAATCGGAGATCCGCGTTCCGGAACGGTCTCGGATGGTCAGGGTAGCGATATCAACCCCTGTGTTTCCTTCCAGATTATGGAGGGGAAATGTGTCATTTGGCGGGAAGCTGTGTTCACGGAAGGCCTTACCCAGGTCTGAGTGGCACCGTGTTGCCCATTGAGAGAGCGTTTGCACAATAGACAGACCACTGTGAGGACTGCAACCCGACGCGCGATGATAAGAGAAACTGCAATTACTTTTCGCACGTTTTCTATCGTAACACAAACAACATCAGTGGGGATTCCACTGGTACCTGAGAAGCGGCAGCCGAGAGACAAAGATGACTCCGCGGGGAGTGGGTCTTTCGTGGGCCACGACGGAGGGGTGAAAGCGCCTTTATTCCTGTGACTAGCACGAGCAATAGCAGTACCAATGGAACTCCTGCTAGTGCTGGTGGGGAACAATTCCCGTTGGTCGGAACACCGATCGACTGTGTTCAAAGCTTTCCTGCGTTGCCTCCATCAAACAATTCTGCAGCTGTTAATTCTAGTACGACATCATCAGATACCAGCACTTCAGTAGTCACAACACGGGCTCTCGTTTCCGCGAGCAACTTGGTTTTCGTCATTCAGCCAAGACAGATTCCGACCCAAGTCGGGAAGCGATATCATCTCCTTCGCAAAGGCAGCAGTAGCGCAAATCGGACGAACCACACCGAGAGCCATCCTGTCCTGTTCCCTCCACTCGAAAATGTTTGCGCCAAGGTGCAACTCTTTGACCCGTCAGTAGGGCCGACAACGTTTGACGATGGCACTCAGCAATTGTCCAACATCGTCGCGCCGTCATCTACCTCTTCATCATCAAACGTCGGACCACTGAATTTGTGCGAGTCAGCCTGCCTAGCTACCGCGGGGTCTCATTGTAGTGAATTGTACTTTCCGAAATTACTGTGGAAACAACTCTTCGGGTGTTTCCGTCGTGGGAAGCGGCATGGCCACAACCACGTCATCACGGTTACTTCAACAAATCTATCAGCAAAAAACAGCTTTCAGTTGCTTTCAAAACCGCAGGGGAGAACAAGCCACGCTCTGACTTCGAAGGCCAAAAAATTGAAATGTATCCACAAGTCGCAACTGCAACGACTTTCTTGAACCAACCGACGTCAAACACAATTCTTTCCGATGGGTCTTCAGGCTCCTCGCCCGACACTGTATCTGCTTCAATAGGCAGCTACGTTGCCCCTGGGACGACGACTCTTTTTCCGCAAGTAGCAAGTGCCGAATTGTCTACCGAAGTTTTCTTTCTGGAAGGTCAAGTGGTGCTTTATTCGGCTTTGCGGTCGCGTCTGACGCAGCGGCTGTTGCAATATTCTACGACACTGCAGCAAAACGGCGGTCGTGGAAGAAAGTGTCAAGGCGCTTGGCAATGCTCTGGATGCCGCTAGACGGCGGCTCGAAAATGATGATGAACAAAGACGTTGGGAGAGGGAATTCATGAAAAGTAGTTCTGTGGAAGATGAGGATGACACCGTTGGCAGTTTTTACTTCTCTGGTCAGCAAGCGCGTCGTTTTCTCTCGACTGCCACACTCCTGGGTGTACCATACAGCTCCTACCAGCCGACTTCGCATTCAGGGCAATGCCTTGGGTATTGACAATAGCACACGTGGGTCTGCCGATCCGAAATGAAAGGTACACTACACACTTAAACTTATGGCGCGTCCGGCCGACGCAGCTGCTGTATTGAAGGTCCACAACGCCAACGATTTGGTGCGATAGCAAAGTGTTGGAAGCGCGCTCACAACCGGGCTTAGCCGAGCGCTTTCCCAAGGGAGTATGCAGACGAAACTAAACACGGCCTTCGCAAACGCAAACGTCCCGCTAGCAGAACGCACGATTAAGTACTGTAAATGCCGCTGAGATGATCGCGAAGTCGGACCAGATGAGCGCCGTATGGGACCAAAGCCAAGTTGATGAAAAGCTATCTTCGAATGCAATGCGTTCCTTTGGGATGGTAGCCCATCGCTCGATTGACATATTCGGGGGTAGAGCGCTGGCCACATCCCTCTACTTCATCGGTTAACTACAACTAAAACATTTCAGGTACTCCTTCAGCCAATGATAAACAAACTCCTCTTCGTTTTTTATTAAATGCTTTAGCGCAGGGGTTAGTCTACTCTACGAGTAGTCCTCTCATCATTATTCGGCGGCACCCCAGAAGTCCTTGTCCTTCCCAGCGCCCAAGGATTTCCCGTTCTGGCAATGTTGGTTTTCAATCTTCTGCTGGTAATATGAACTTAGAAGAGGAAAAATATGAAACAAATAGAGCAAAAATGTCGGAAAATTGAATTTACATGGCTATTACATAACTACCTCAGAAGCAGTAGCAGAACGTTCGTACTCCATGAAGGAGTTCGGGTCCAGGCCGTTCAATTTTGTAGAAAAGTAAAAGTTCTTATTTTTTTACTCGTTTTTATGGCTCTGGTATCCGCCACTTTCATCGGACCAACAAGACCAAAACGCGTACAAAATTTGTCTTCCAATTAGGTCATCATGCTCCTCAAAAATATTATATTTGAATTTGGTGACTTGGGTCGTGAGAGTGTCGCAGAGTCGCTGCATGGTGATGGTAATCTTTAAACCAAGTGCAATGTAATCCACCATCGCTTTCCTCGTGAATATTATGATCAAAGTGAGAATCTTCTGCGGTCGAGAATTCACGAGAACTGCCTCTCACATACGGACAGTGAGTGCGAGTGGTCTATGATCTCAAATTGAGGCGGGACGAGAGATGGAGAGCAGAGCTGAGATAACATATTGTGCGGTCTGAAGCTGAACCCGAGACAGAAAATCTGTGGAAGAGAGTAACTAAATGGAGCAGTCTTTCTTGTGTCTGTCATCAGAGTGGTATCTGTATTCCAGTTTCCGCGACTGAGAATTTCTCTGTACTGGAGAAGGTACTAGAGGCATACTCGTCTGTTGATCTTCTTGATACCGAGCAAGCTGAAGTTACTTCTGTTGTAAGAGGAACGAACTACATAGTCTTGTTAGTCATATAGTATAATGAATGTTGAGAGTAGAACTGCTGCAGAGAGATGTAGCTTCTCGTCACATTGATCAAGAGATGTGTGTTGATGATAGTGTTAATGCTTGTAGATAAAGATGTTGACCGTCTAGGAGAAGGTCCTCTAGCTAACGCTGAGCAACAACCACTCTCGACCATCCTCCTGGAACATCACAGGTACTGAAAGTTGAAATGATCCCATGCTCCCTGTATATTATGGTTGGATATTCGCTCTCACTTTGTTCCTCAAACTAGCTCCGCTCGACCCGTCGCCGTCTCTACTTGTTTTGAACTTTCTTTCTTGTAGTTTTGGTAAGTAATCAGTTGTCGTGATCGAAATATAATTTACTACTAAGTTCTTAAGGATCTAAGAAAGATTGATTAATCCACTATCGTCGAGAAAAACTGCATTACTACTGCATTGCAAATTTAGCCGGACTACCAAGAAACTGAAGATGTAGTGTATTAAGATAATTGAGTTCTTATGCTCAGTTAGAGTTCATCTTGAACTATATTCGTTCATTTCTTCCAAGAAGGATCTCGATTTCGGCGAGGATAAGCACTTCTAACTCAAAAAAGGCATACATTTGTTTTTTAAAAAACTCTGCGCACCTTCACCTTCTTGATCATCCTCTCGCTCAAAAATCGTCATTGTTCTCCTTTCGCATGTTTTTAACCACGATCTCCAACTACAATGGCGCCTCGTCTTTTTCTTGATCTGCCGACACTCGTGCTTGGCGATGGTTCTGTCAAGGAGCATGGAAATCTTCATGAAAGGAGTTTCCATAAGCTATGGGCCAAGGATCACAAGTTACAGCATGTCTTGCAGCAATGCAAGCACGCTCTGGTGAAAATCGTGGAACTGATGCCCACAGACGGACCCAGCCTGGCAAAGGATCATAAGGTACTATTGTTTCGTTATGCAGGTAGTACCTGATGCTGAAGTTGCCTGCTATCCTCGTGGACCATCTTCTAGTGTGCATGTTGTGGCTCTCAAATAAAGCTAGACCTTTCATCTTTCTTGTCGACGATTTTTTCACTTTCTGCATGTCCTTGACCTTGTGGTCGTGCACCTGCGCCTTTGAAGGTCCTGATGGTGGAATCTTGCAGATACAACCGCCAGCATCACATACTTTATATTAATATTTATATATATATGTTCCAGGGCTCAGGGCTGAAGGCCCCCGCGCCGATCTAACTTTTTGAGGGGGGCGGCCTCCCAGCCCCGGGCCCTCTTTTCGAGGGGCTGCCGTGCGGGAAGGCCTCAAAGGGCCCACTTCTGACACCTTCCCGCTTCTTGCCTGTACCCTAGAGCGGCGCCAAACCGGAGGACGTTGAAGCTGGCAAAGGAGGCAAGGCAGGGCCCCGCTGGCTTGTGGCGTGTACCCTACAGACCTGGCAAAGGTGGCAAGGGTGGACTCCTCTGGCGTGTTGCATGTGCCCAACCCTACAGACCGGGCAAAGGTGGCAAGGCTGGGCCCCCTCTGGCGTGGTCCACCACAGATCCACCCACAGGGGGGGCCTCCCTCCCTGGTACATATATAGACACAACAGATCGCCTCATCTAGCTCATTTCTAAAACCTTTTTATTTTTTGATATAGTACAGGTCGCCATGCGAATACACCCATACCAAATCGGGACCTCTGAGGAGCGACTGCGTATGTGGCACGAGGGCATGCTTTTGAATTTGTTGTCTGCGGCTGAGGATATTTGGGAGGGTGAGAAATGTCTGGTGCACATGTTGCAGGAGCGCGTGCAGGTAGCGATGCAGCTGGTAATGGAGGAACAAAATTTGTGGGCAGTTGGGCAGGAGGAAAGACGGGTGTTTCGTTCATGTGCCGAGTTTTGCGGAGTGCAAGTGTGGCACCCCGAAGACTACTGGAAACAAGGGAACGCAGAGAAGTACTGGGCCGGGGCGCGCAGTCTGTTCGACAACATGCATGCGATGCCAATTGAGGAGATGGACCATCTTCGGAATGACTACAGCAAGCTGGGGGAAGCGGCGGATGCTGCGGACAGAGAGGTCATGGCGGGTGGGAAGTACGGGGAGTTGTCGACACCCGAACTGCTCGCGAGCGAGCTGATCGCACCACCGAGCAAGCGGCCCAGTGCAAAGCTTGGAAGAGGAACCAGCCAAACTTACTACTCGCGTTTGGACCCGCATATCGAAAGGTCCGGGGAGAGTTTTTCGGAACATCTGAGGCGGCGCAAACCGGAAATGGGTGGTGCAAACCAGGCAGTGCTCAACGAAGGTCGAAGAAACATGCTCACGAGCGACCGAGAACTGGCGGACCTAAAATTGCGTTCGAAGTTTGGACACAAAATCGCGCCCCCGGACGCTCTCGACCTCGATTTCTTGCGCAACGTCCGCCGTGGCGCTGAGCGACACTGCGCGCAACTAATTTCAGAAACGGACGTCCTGAAAAAAGAATTCATAGAGAGAGAAGTGGATTTTGCGCCGAAACGGGCAGAAATGCTACACCGCATCTACGAACTGGATACAAGGTTCCAACTTCTGTCGAAAGGCGAAGCTGAGAAGCTACGCTTCGAGCTGAGCCTACTCCATAAGCAGCGAAAGCTGCTGGATTTGATGAACAGCGTCTGCGATGAGATGCGAGCCCTGCGCATAGACTACTACGCAAGGATGGAACTAACGCAAAAGGAAGCCGAATTGCACTACATGCTGGAGGAGAAACTTTCCGGAACTAAGGCTCCATCAAGCGGGCCAGGCGGCTTAACTGCGCAGCCTTTTCGGCAGGCGGTTATCACTGCGGAAGCCCGCGTTGCGGCGCACGAGGCCTTGCGGAACGCGTTTCGTGTGGACATCGAGGACAAGGCCGACTACGCCGACCGCTCACTCGCCAAGGCGCGGAAATGGAGTTACAGCTCGGATGAGGCTACGTTCAGAGAGACATTACGAAAACTGCACGAGATGCAGCGTATCGACGTTTTACGGCTCCTCGAGCAACCGCTGCCACACGGTGATCAGGCAAGAACGCACGCAGAGCTGGATCTCCTCAACTATGCGTTGGTGCAGATGGAAACCGACGTGCCGGCTTCGGCAATCGCGGTCGAAGGAGGCCGTCTGTCTTTCTTACACGAGCTTGTGCGGAAGCGCGTCAAGCTACTGCGCGACGTCGCTATCGACGCAGATTACTCAGCCAAAGAGGTTGAAGAGGCCAAAGACAGCATCCGCAAGGCACTCGAGCTGCATCAACTCCACCACTAGAAGAACAACATCGTGCTCGCGGCGTATCAAATAAGATGGATTGGATTTACCTATAGTATAATACTATAGTATACGAACCTTTCTAACGTGAACCTGTCACGAAAGTACTTATCATCTTGTCCTTGTTGAACTCTTCATCTTCAATTTGATTCCTATCCATTGGGTTGTTCTTTTCTTTGGAAAAAAGTAAAAGAAACGATTTGTTGAAAACCAAGTTGCGTCGCTTCTCGTCCAGGAGGGACCGCGATATTTACTACAGTGTTCGTTGTAATCGGGTACTGCTCGAATTTGCGTTCTCGCATTTTTGTCCCTTCATCTTTCCGTAGGGAAGTAAATAGGTGTTGTCTACTTCACAAAAATAACAAAGTCTCTCGGTGTATCTCTTGTCAACGAACTCTTGCTCGGTTTTTCTTTCTTCTTTTCTGTCCGGATTGATGTCAGTATGTATGATGCGGCGACTCTGTACCTGTAAGAGGTTTTTTATGCTGTCCTCGTTATTTTTTCGCTTTTCTTGCAGATGATGGCAAATCAATGTTCTTGCCAACTTTGTAGTCGGAATGATCGGTTGTGGGTTTCTACGTGATAAAGCCGGTTGAGTAATACATAATGTATGTGGTATCTGTTTGTCCTGTAAGCGTCTCGATGCATGAGGAGCGCAAGCGCTCTTGGTTATCAATGAGACCTGCTTCTTGATGTTTTTGTTGGTGATATGCTGGTCAGGTCTCAACCACATCTTCAACATCAAGATCCGAATGCTTCATCTTGGTTTTGCCGAAACTGGTCGATAGAAGATATGCATACATCTTTTTAGAGCAGCTGGCTGCATACAGTGATACACATTTTTCAAACTGCAAACTCAATTTTTCGCAGGAAAAACTCCAAATTGAACAGACTGAATGATCCAAAATAAAAGGAAGACGAGGAGGAACTTCATCAAATAAGGGACTTTTGCGACCGGAGCGATGTCGGGCGGAATGGCGCTGGCTTCGCGGGTGCCGTTTGATTGCGGATCCGGCGGCAGGTGTATGCAACATGGAATAGACGCTGTCAGCTCTCAGCTGGACCTGATTGAAGAAGCCCTGGAACGTGGAATACCAAGATTACGCCTAGTTTTTTATCATCTAATGTCGTGGACAACTGAAGTTGAACTATCCCGACTGCAATCTCCTTAGCTTCCAAAGAGTGTACAACTAGAATAAACTCAAACTATATATTACCAACTCTAACAACGCGAAGGCTAGACCTCAGGAGCCCAGACGACCACATTGGAGTTTCCTTTCACCTCGCGACAGGAATCTGTCTTGCTGCTACGGTTTTTTTCTTCTTCCAGGTGGCGCTGGTCCCTAGGCGTTGGGCCAACAGCATGATCATCGCCGGTCTAGTCACTGGTACAACAACGATAAAAATGCTGGCATGGCGTGTCGTCCTCTTGGGCCACTGAGTCGTTCTTTCGTTTTCTACACTTCGACCTTATTATATAGAGGTTGGAATTGTCATAAGTAATTATTTTTGTACTAGGACTCTGCTGTGGTCTACTTCTATTTATTTTTGTGCTTTTTATCGTGCTGGTTGCCGTAGTGGCTGGCGGAGAGTCATCGTAACCGTTGGCGTCTATGCATCCACGTTTATCGAGGGCACAGGACGTGACTATCATGTAGTGAACATTACCAGGTATTGCATGGCACCACTACATGCACATGGAGGATGTGTGGGCGGCGAGTGGAAAGGCTCCCACGGTGTGGAGATATATGGATTGGCTCATTACCGTGCCGCTTCAGGTTGTCGAGTTCTACACCATTCTCTGCGCCGCAAATCCAAACAACGATATTGAAGTACTACAAGAAGTGTTTTTATAAGATGAACTGTTTTCCAATTTATTTGTATGGTGTCAACACCTTGAAGAGATGAATAGGCACCGGTACGATCATGTTCATGATCAAGTTACTGCTTCTAGTCGATTGTGGAAATTTAAATTTTTATTGGTTCTTGTACATTCGCCCGCTAAGATTAGACAAGGATTTTCTCGTTGCAGACCCTTTTCTTTGTAAATGCCGCCAGTGGCAAGGGGGCCTGGCGCACTCCCGTACAACCTGGCCAACGCGTGACCGCAGGCCTTCGGCGCCGTCGATATCCGCAGAGGAGCAGTTGGCAAGGCTATCCGGCCCGCCGCGCATAATGGCAGCATCCGCATCCGGCCCAAAGGTCGGAGCCAACCAACGGGTGCCCCAGACGGGTACGCTTTGGCCAAAAAAATTTATGTCGACAGAAATGGGTTGCAAAATGACCCGCCTTTTTTCGGGGGTTAAAGTGGGCCCTTTTTGTCCCTTTTTTTGACACTCCTCCCAAGCGCCTCTGCCCCGAGGCTCTTGCTCTTAAGGGATGTGGCTCCTCTTGAGACGCCTACAGAGTCCATATTTCGCCATCCCCGGGAAGGGAGTCGCGCTCCGCGGGTCCACGGCAAAACTAGCGGAGTAGCGACATCGGTCCCGAGAGGTCTGGGCCTCCTCACGCTAGCCAGGAACAAAAAAACAGTTAGGTTGTGCAACGAGAAAAATCCTGGTGCAATCAGAAAAAGGAAACAACACCACCTGCTGTGCCTACAGATAAAAATTGCGTTACTGTTAAGACTGTTGATGGCATCTCTGTTCATGTTGGGATTCGGGTATGCAGGTGAAGCAGAGTGGATCGACAGATGGGTGGCCTTCACACTAGGCGTCCTCTGCTGGATTTATATTATCTACGAGGTACTACAAGAACAACTACAATCGCCGTAAAAATTTTAACTCGCGAATTTAGATGCACTTTTTGATAAAAACTGTCTTCATGATGATAGACGACGTGAATTATTTCTGACCTTGAAATAGTAATAGTTGGACAACATTGGAAACGTCATCATGGAAGGTCGATTTCCATTTCTTGTGCGATGAGTCTACTTTTCAATTCAGAGTTTTCATCCTGTTCCTCTTATAGCAATATTGGCCAAAGTAAGTCGAAATACGCGTCTTGTTGTTTCTGGGACGACTGGTAAAAATCACTAGATTTCCTTTGGAGAGACAGCTGGGATCGCTGGGCAGTTGGGTGTTGAAGACGCGAGGCGCTTCCTACGACATATTCAGAATAGGAGTAAGGAACAAGAAGACGAGGAGAATGCAATTATCAAACAGGCATTGGAAGAGAAGCAAAAGCAAGCCAGCAGCAGCGGTGCCCTAAGCTTGAGTTTGGATCTTCTTTGATGTTCCCAGTGTGCACTTGCAACTTTAATACTGCTATCTTCTCTCGAATTCTACTCTGATCAAGAGCAAACTAAGCTCACCATAACGGTTGAAGAACAGAAGAAAGCGGCAGCGATCTTCACTGATGTCCGTCGTCTTTTTTCCTATTCCTTCGAGCTCTATTGTAACATGGTTCGACTTCTAGTACATATGATGGTAGAAAAAGAAAATAGAAAATATGATATAGAACAATCAATTTTTCAACACTACAGGATTCTCATCTATCGTTGCCAGTGTGACGACAGCAGCAAAAGGCAACGTGAATGCAGATACTGTGGCTATGCAGGACATGAAGAAACCAGAAGCCCAACTCGCCTTTGAATTAATCCGCGCTATTCTCATATTTGGTTGGGCGTTGTACCCAATAGGCTACCTATCCAAAGGCGACGGCGATAATCTCTACGGCGATAATCTCCATGCACCTGTTCTACTTGATCTTCCTGACTTCTCATTATTCATCTTGAATTATAGGGATGGAATTCATTACAATGAATTAGACGTACTATGTATGGTTTATGGTCATGGATAATCATGTAAATGTTGAAGTCAAGGCTTCGATTCTATAACGACAGATACAGATCGATGAACTCAATGATATCGATTATAAGTAGCAGCGCAGAGAGATATTTTTCCTGAAAATCTCGCATAGAAGTTGGTTCCAAAAGCTACACCCGCACTTTTCATGCCCTCGGACAATCGGAGGAGAATGCGCTCAACGCATGCTACAATCTAGCCGATTTGGTCAACAAAGTAGCGTTTGGTCTCGCTATATACTACGCCGCGAGCTCTAAGGGAGAAAGAGAAAAAGGGGTACTAATTGGTAATGTTGATGCACCTTTTTCTTGGATATAATTAACCTTGACACTATGCAACAAGTTGTAGATACAAGACACTGTTAGTAGGTGTAGCTAGAAGATCATGTAGTGTGACCTCCACCGCATGGCAAATCCTCACGATGAAGATGCCTCCAGGTCCTAAGCCAGCAGAAGGAGCTAAAGGAGCTGAAGGACTTGGGAATTCACCAGGAGTCGCGGATTGAACCCGCAGATTGGTACAAGTACAAGGTCGCAAAAGAGGAGGCGCTCGCGGCTGCGGCATCAAACGCGGCATGGCTCAACGCAAATAAACCGTCGACACCGTCAAGAAATATTATGCCAAGCATGTAGGTCAATGACAAGAGCAGTACGTGAATGATTCTGATTCACGACCCAATCTCCTGCACGACTGTTGATGCCTGGAAGTCCTTACTTAGTCACCTCCTTCGTTGCGCTTCGTGACTTCATATTATTTGAGGCTGCAGGGTGTCATCGTATAGTCTAGGGGTTGGCATGCTAGCCAATGATAGACTTCACGGAATGGGGTGGCGAAGTTATAATAATATCATATGTTCCAGGGGTGGAGCCTCCCCCCGGTGGATGGAGCGGTGGCGGCGTCCGCGCGCCCTTTTTTATTTCTACTTGGGTATATATAAATTCATATTCCGGGGGGCTGCACGCCCACGCTCCCCCCCCCTGTGGATGGCTCTGCGGTGGCGCCTGCTGCGCGCTCTTTTCCGCGCAGATTTTCGCGGGTTGTAGTGTTGGAAGGCGTCAAAACTTGGCGCGGGTGTCCCCTTGCGCCTATCTGCATGCTCCTCACGGACCTCCTGGCCTCTGCTGACCCTCGCAGGCTCGAGGCCTCCGGGGGAGAAGGCCGCCGAAGGCGGCCACGGTCTCAAGAGCAAGCAGGCCGATGACCCAGGGCCCGGAGGGTACAGGCCACACGGCTCAGGGGGTCCACTCTTGTGCCTTTTACCGCCTTCGGAGGCCTTCCACACCCGTCGCGCTGCTGCGGCGGCGAAGCACATCGGCAGTCTGTCGGGCACATGCAAAGCCCCTCCGGGTCTCTCGCGACCCTTCTGGAAGCCTTCCACCCCCGGCAGACGGCTCACAAAAGGGTCTGGGGCTGCACGGTGCCCCCCCTGCGCAGGGGGGGCACAGTCGCCCTGAGCCCTGGAGCATATATTTATATATACGACCAGGCTGTAGTGTACTAGTTTTAGTGCAATTTTTAGCATCAGCCGCTCGTACAGTGGGTGCAGCTGCTGGAGTAAATAGAAACAGAGGAGTTGTGAAGACTTGTTGTTCATCTTTCCATCTAAGCTGAAGAGGGACCGGGATACAACTTCTCCCTACGGTGAGTCATCGAGGCCTCCCATGTCAGGCTCAGCAATGGACACCGATCAAATGTTTGCCGCCGCTCTTCGGGGAGAACGAAGATTTTTCGAGGATAGCTAGAAGTCGAACATCAGAGATCAACTTTACTTGCTACATCTATAACTACTAGGAAATTCCACTTACCTATTGACTAATTTCAAAGTACTTAATAGAAATAAAGATAATTGAAACGCGCACTTCAGAGAGTGTATGACGATCATTAGTACAGGAGAATTTTCGTATGTATGAATATTCAGACTTTCCCACGTCAACGTCAATCGAACGAAATCATCGAAGTTATTGCAGCTAATCTAGTCCGGCTCCTGACATTACAATCTGCGCGGTGGAGACACAGTTTCACTTGACTTCAGGAAAAAACGATCGCGGGGTATTTGCAAGTTTTTTCATCAAAGACTGAGTAATTATATTACTAGAGTAGTCCGAATATCGAGTTGCTCGAGTTCCCTCGAGTTGCCGGAACTGCTCACATGCCCAAAGCGGTCCATGTCGAAACGAAGGCGCAGCAATCCTCGGCGGTATGGCGAGCCATCAGACCACGGAGCCCAGGAGGCGGCCCCTTCGTGGTCTCTTCGCCGGGGTGACGTTTGTACTGAAGCGGCACGCCTCAGCCGAGCTCTTCGGGGCTTGGGGAAACAAGAAGGCAAAGGTCGGCTTCTTTTTTGAAGGTTGAATGGTGGCGCGCGTGCCAGCCTTGCGAAGTGGAGGACTTTGCTTTGTTGGGTCGATGCCTCTGCATATTATTGATTCGTGTCTTGATTTCGGTGATGGTGTGGCCGTCGTTTTTGTGTCTGATGAGTGACGGCCAGGCTGTTCGACTTGGGGGTGGCTGAGATTTAGGAGAGAGGGCGGCTGGCGCTGGCCTGTCTCTTAGAACCATGCCGCCTGAAACAGCCAGGCTCACTCTGTGCGGCATTTCTGCCTGCGCTGTAGTGGATTTACATAGTGACGAGTAGCATGCGATGTCTCCTTGAGGTATCTTGTGACGCGTCAGTATCTAGGTAGCCGTGCTAACAAGGGAGTCCCAAACTACAAGAGCAGGGCCGGGGCCCCTAGATGGCGCTGCCCCCGTCTGCCCCGCGTGTTCAGCGCATCGCAGAAAAGGGACGGCATCGGAAAAGCTCCGGGCTGAAGGCGGTATGCACTCCTGTGAAGCGTGTATGGTCGGGCGCAGCGAAAAAAATTGGGGCGGAACTCAATCAACTCGAGTAACTCGACCCGATATCGGGCGGGTGGAGTTGTCTGTTTCTTTTATATGCATTTGTATGACATGAGGACCTACTTTTACACCTCAGTTGCACAACTACTATCTTCTATGACGAGACCACGACAAGCACCCACATGCTGCTTTGTATATCGTCAGATCATAAACATTTTCCTGACAGAACAGGTGAGCTTGATGTATCAGCTGCACAAGGAAAAAAGTGCTGCTTCTAGCGCTAGTAACGCTACCCAGGGTGGTCCCTATGTATCTGCGGATGCTTCCGCTGGCAGGCATTTCTCTATGCAATGGCATGTATGTTTGACGAAAATAGAAAAACACATTAACAGGATGACATCAAACCTAAAGACCATATGCTCTCTCAATCTTTCTGCGTCGACATCCTGTCCTTCTTGTGGGCCTTCTTGTTTAAAACTTCGGAGAACTGATCATCTCGTTTCTGTCTATGGTATACTAAATGTGTACCTACGATGTCGTGATTGTGATGAAAAATGAACGACCAAGTACTGGAAAAATTGCACAGGAGGATGATGTGCGGATAAGGCAAGACATGACGAACGATGAGGAAACTCAAAAAGTTTGTTCAGGCACAATGAATCTATGATGAAGACATGTCTGCTTACGTGTTTCGACCTGTGCCCATGATGTAGTCGATGAATGCGAGAACCAAGAAAGAAGACGAGACGGTCTCCCACGCACTTTGTCATGATCATCGGAAAGTATCATCGTTGATCTTCATCAACCAACATCGTTCGTGATATTCTTGTAGCTGATGTTGTCGTGATTCCAGTGGATCTGCCTTTCTTCATTTCTTTCCAAGCTGAGCAACTGCTGCTGCAGAAATCCTTTTTCATGTTAACAACATGACGTCGATCACATGGAATCTATTTAACATTGATGTTGAAGATGCGCATGAAGACGCTGGTGATGTAACATGTAGTCTTCGTCGTGTCGTAGAAGTGGGCGGATCCTCATCTGATGTACAAGTACTAAGAGTAAAAGTTTTCGCGGCTTTTTACCGGCATATTCATATACCCATCGTTTTTGTTGCTATGATAGATTGTTCGTTTTTAAGATTTTGTTTATTTCCTTTTTGGGTCGTCAAAAAGAGCAGCGAGGATTATTGAACATCATGATTTTTCTGAGATTTTTTCAGTTCGTTATTCGTCTGCTTGAAGTTTCGTCCTTGATACGATTTCAAGTTTTATTCTTTTTGTTGCTTCGAGTTGGACGAGTAGGAGGTCGACGGTCAAACTAGAAGCGTTGCTGGCCGTCATCACTCTTCTCTCACTTGCAGCTTTGCCAGAAATTAACAGGACGTGCTAATCGCGTCAGTTGTGAGTTTGAATGCAAATTCTTATATATATTCATAGTATATTTTTGGATTTTTTTGATGAGCACTACATCTACACAGGAGGAAGATACCGAAGCAACAAGAGAACCACCACTAGTACTAATCAATTAAATAATAAGGAGCTGTATCAGTATAATTTGAGAAGAAAAGAAGAAAAAGAAACTCATCCCGAGAAGTAGTTTTGAAAGAGTCGTATCAACAGCGCAAGGTCAACAAGGTACTTAGGATCTTCGATGACTACTTGTTGTGTCCGCCGTCTTTGTGGTTACTGCCATTAAGAGAAAGCAGTGCTGTTGTGCTGCTGAAGACGACGAGGTCAAGGATATTTCTATCGTTGAGCTGCAGTACTGACGCGAGACATCAAGGACTGGAAATCGACGCTAAAGCTACACCACGTAGCAGCTGTTCGTTCCCTCGTATTTTGTTCCCGACGCGAGACAATTACCAGCTTCCTTGGTCGCTTTTTTTGAAGATACAAGCAAGCCGTTTTGCTCTGTGTTTGACGCCTGCGACCAACGAGGTGACTGTTGAGAGGAGAAGTAACCGCAACAGGGATAAGCACTCGCACTATTAACGCTAAGTCGAGAACGAGGACGACGTCAAGGGGCATCCTACGACTCGAGTATTCGGCTTATCATAGTACTAGTGCTACTCAGATTTGAAGAAGAACGGGGAAAAGTTAGTAGACGCCCATATCAACGACCGCCAGAGCCAGTAGCTCCGTTGAAGTGGACATCAGATAGAAAGAAGAGAAACTAGAGACGCCAAAAATTGTACGCGACTGAAAACGACACGCATAGCGACAGTGACTACGTCCTCCTCTTCACACGTTGTACGTCGTTCAAGAGATAAAAACGCAAAGAACTCGTAGAATTTTCTCCCGGCGCGAGAGAATTATTGCGCTCCCGGCACCATCGCAAAGCAAAAAAATGGCGCGTTCTAAGAAGGTTCGAACGCGCACAATAAACGACTGCATCGATGACAGTAGCTCGGGCGGAGATGACTCTATCGTGATAGAAGAAGATCAGGACATCGCAGACTTTGCTCTCGACGATGGTGCAGCTGGTACTATAAGAATACATGGATCAATGTGGATCATGGAGTATTGCTATTGTTCCAAACCTCAAACTTTAGCTTACTTAATCCTTTATAGGAGTACAAGATGAACCTTGCCTGTGCTCTCGCCTTTCGCCAGATTAATATTATGAAGTAGATGAATTAGTAGTCCTAGTCACCAGAAGCAGAGGCAGAAGTGGTGTAGGTATTAAGGCTCAATCTTCAAAAATCTCATGGGCAATATGCACAGATTTTGACTTGCTAGCGGCTCCGACGCGACAGTTTGACGAACTTGAAGACGATAAGAACGAGACTTCGTGGACGAGGCACGATCGTTTTCAACGGTCTGCAAAGACCATACTGCTCGACTTCGTGGAGCGAAGTGAGAGCTTCGAAGGTTCGTTGGAAGGACTGCTGGAGCTCGATGCGCACTGGGACGACGCTCTGCTGCTAGTAGCGCTGTCGCTGGCCAAGGATAGCGGACAGCTCTCGACCAACGAGGACCGGGAAAGGCTTCTCTCTTTGCTGGTGCGTTTCTATCAAACCCGAGGAAGCTCGCTGGATCAGTCCCTGGCACTTGAGAAAATGATGTCGCGCGCCGACGATCTCCAACTCGATTTTCCGTTCTTTCCGAAAATGCTGGCAAGCTGGCTTCACAGATTCAAGGAAGTACTCACTCATTTAAATAAGTACTCGCTAGGTCGTGGAGCTGCACAAGACTAGAAGTAGGTAGTGGATGGATTTTACGCTGACCTACTAGCGGGATCGCTAACATGATATTACGACGCGTCCATTTTTTTTTGTCGTAGTCGTACTTGTTTTGAATTATATATTGGCCGTTGTACTTTCTTTTGTATGGCTCTGGTATTTGGTAACCTGAATTCGATCACAGGGCTTCTCTTCTTATTTTCCTTATGATCAAAATCAGGCTACCAAATACCAGGACCCCTCATCTTTCTTTCCCAAGTTCAACTTCGTTCATGTGATTTTCCAAATTCAACGTCGTCCATGCTGTTTTTTTTCTTCTATGAATGTATCCAGGAAAAGCTGATAAGCAGCGCACTTCTTCGTCGGTTACCGCAGAAATTTCTGCTGGATACTGGATCAGATGAGGTAGCAGTGTCGAAATTGCGTGCTCGCAAGGCATGCTACAAGAAGGTGATCCACGATTGCGGATCGCTGATCGGAACAGCAGGCACGTCGAGCGATAGCATCAGAACGTTCCTCGTTGAGCGACTGAAAGAAGGTGGAGGCGCTTCGCAAGATCAAGATGAAGCAGTGTGTGGAGATTATCCTTTGGAGATGGTACTTGGATTGGAAGTTGCGTTGTAATTTTTGTAGCAGGCATGCATGCAAAAGGTACAGTGTCTTATACAATCCTAAAATAGAATTCATATGCTTTAAACCAGGGCATACGAAATATGTAGCAGCAGCATGAACTCAGACCTTCTTCGATGAGATTCTTGAAATTTACCTTTACGAGGACAGTGCAATTGTAAAATAACTCTCTCTGTTCCTCCGTAACATCAACATGATCACTCATCCTCTAGTACAAATAAAGGTAAAAGCAGCCGTTTTGTTCTTTTTGGAGAGCTGTCAATGCAAGGAAGAAGATGATTCCCCAGCGAAGGCTGCTGCCTGTGCCTCTTTTCTTCAACAGCTCAGAGGAATCGGAGTGCTTGGCGATACGGGAATGTTGTTCGGTCTTCTCCGGACGATAGGATCCGTCGACGAAATCGCCGTCGATAACCCAAAAGCAGACCATTTTCTGATCGAGCTGCTGAAGATTCTCATAGAGCAGGATTCCCTGGAACCGGATTTGCTCAAGAGGTCCGATGTTTCGCTTTGAGTGAAAAAGTTTAACAAGGTCAACACAATCTCTACCATCATTTTTCCATCAAAGGAGCAAAATGATTGGATTGAGGAATCGTTTTTTTTCATCAAACTCAAAGTCAATTTCAAACTCCACTACCTAGGTGCCGGATTCTGCATGTGCCCGGAGGCGGGCAGGCACAGGATATCCTCAAGGAAGTGGAGGCTGCCATGCCAGAACATTTTGTTCCGTTCTACCTCGACTTTGAGCAGGACGTATCTATAATGCTAGATTTTCATTATCCATGATCGTATAGCTTTTATCTTCACTTCTACACCTACAGCTCAGCCTCAGCCTTAGGGATATCGTAGAGCATCACTATCAATCTAAGTAAGATATTCAGTCTCAGTAAATGAACAAATAGTGCTGGTGCGTAGTTTCTGTCGGCGTTCAACAGCCCCACTTGCTCCTGTTCGCAATGTGACTTACACCCTTCATCATCTTTTTCCATTTTGCAGGTGAGTCGCGAAATCGATAATTTTTTCGCATCCTCTTCGTCGTGCCATTACAACACCTTGTCCGGAACCGGATGCTATACTACGAGCATTTCTCCGACCGCCTCGTCTTCGACGACAACGTCGCTGCAAGATCGAAAAGAACGATTCGGCAAATTTGTGGCAATGATCGGGCCAGGACGCGAGAAGGCACGTGGACTGGTCGCACAGATTGTGCGTGCTTGCTGCGCGGCTGAAGATCCAGAGGCTTTTCGCAAGTCTTTGATCATGCGGTCTTCGTCTGTGGATGTAGGTTCCGAAAGCATCACAACAGGAGATCAGGGAGCAGCTGCAGTAAACTCAGCGGAAGTAGATATTCTTGGAGGAGCACAACAGGATTGTAGACCAATAAAAGGTGAATCTGGCTCGATCGGACGTGGAGAGCCAGGTGCACCAGATGTTGACGCTGGTGCTTCGAAACAACACATGCTGAATCAAGACTGCTTTTCGTCGATGATCTCCATTTCTACTTGTACTTCGGAGCCGGCATCTTCTTTTACCTCGAGCACGACGAGAAGCACGACGTCGTTTTCGTCCTCGTCTCCTACGTCGTCTTCGACATGCGTGTCTGCAACAACGCTTTCGCCTAGCAGCAGTGGAATCACTCCGTCTACAAGCTCCACTGGTGTCGTCTTGAACGCGGAAAATGCAGGAGCAGGAGGTGGGGACCAACCCTCGTACCCGCAAATGTTGAGCCACACAGTCTCTTCTGAAGTTCCTTCCAATATGAATAGATGTGGCGCGGATCATGGTGCGGAACTACAACTACAAGGAACGACGATTCCGAGCAAGGTTGTACCTGGGGCCGTCACATCGTGCGACAAGATGAGTTCTACAACTACTCCTACTCCTAGTGGGGGCGTTGTAACCTCGTTCGAGAATACGACGTCGAGTGCCAGTGCGTTTGATAATCCATCGGATATTCTCACGTTGGGAAGACTTGAGGCAGGCTGCGCTCTGCTCACCTACCTGGTTCAGCAAATCGAGGAGGTGCCCGCGTTGGCTTTAGCCGATGGATTTGGCCGTGCCATTGTCACCCTAACCACGCAGGAAGAAAAGGAGACTGCGACGGAAATGCTCCTTCGCTGCGAGAGCCTTTTCCCAGAGGGTCAAGTCCTCGACACATCCACAGGAGCCGGCTTTTGATTAGGGATGGGACTAGAAATTAGTGATTCCTTTGATTATGATTTGGCACAAGCACGGGCACAGCCACATCCAGTGATCTAGCACTTGTCCGCTATTTTGTCTTCTTTGTAAGATGTTAGGAGATCATTGTCCACCATGTGATTGTGGCTGAAATTATCCTTCACTACAATCCAGCTCAGCGATCGGCAACTGCAGAGCGCTGTCGTACTTGTCCCTTTTGTTGAGTCTGTCGTGCTGCTGCACGGCAGACAATAAAATGTAGTAACTAAAGCTAGGGAGGCGTTAGATCAACTACATAGAGCTGGACGAGAAGGACAGCGTTGATAGTGTTATCGGAAGGGTTTATTTTTGATTTCGATAGAAGATACATTTAGATTTTCTTTCTTATACTATAGTTGTAATTGTGTTGGGAGGCAACATTGACTACATGATTCTGCATGACACCGAAGCAGGCGCTCCTGAGAAGACATGTCGCCGACTTGACTTTTCATGGCGCACTGGTCTTGGTGTTGGTATTTGAATGCCAGTACGATGATAAGTCTAGTACCATGTTTTATTGAATATATTTATAAGTATCACTAAGTAAAACGAGCCGCAAAATCAAGGAAAGTTATAAAAATCGCAGACTCCGAGTCAGACAGGAAACAAAGCAAGAAATATAGTGGTACCAGGAAGAACGATCTCCTTCGACCGATGTGCGTGTACGAGTATTACGCCTGGAAGAACTACAAAGAACCAGGAGCGCGCCGCCGTGATGTTGATAGTATCCCTGACCCTGAATCCTTTCATGTACCAGATAGTAATAAGTCTACCTCCAGAACCAGAAGCAGCGACACACCGATAAAATAGTTCTGGAATATGTATGAAAATAGTACTTGGGTAGGGCATGTCTTCATCTTAAACAACATTCTGTAAATGTATCTCCTCTAGAGCAAGAATAAAAGTGATTTTCCGGCACAGTGCGTAGCCTGGCTAAGTAACGCGACGCACACGGGAACCTAGGGTCGGAGTTGAGTCAGGCATTGGCGGGCCCGTCGTGGGGCATTTGTTATCAATCCTCACCAAGATTCCGAATTTATATCTCGAGGAAACAATCCCAGTGACTCCTGCTCAGAAATGGTCTGGCATCACGAACAATATTCGGTAGCCCTCTCTGCCGAGCGAACTCATGATATAGTTTTTTCTACTCTCCGTCTCCTCCAATGTCAATAATTATAATATAACAACTACAACTTCTACATGTTGGTACTAGAAGATATTTCGTCACGCGAACTAGAAAGCGCCGAATACGATACAGCATAGTATTGAGAAAAAACTACATCGCCATAACATGAAGAAGATGAAGACGAAGGATAGATGAGTTTGAGTATGAGATCAATTATGATTAGTGCTCTTGAAAAAGAAGATGATGCCGCAATACTAACTATTTTGAGTGATAGAATAATGAATATTTATTTCGCTGTAATATTATGTACGAACAAAAAACTTTCTCCTATAAAGAATTACGCTGGATTTTTTTGTTCGAAAAATTGACGTGGAATAAGATAGGATTGCATCATCGATAACGAAAGGAATAATATTCTTAATATGATGAATAATTCTCGCATACGGAGTAGCGTATACTGATTGTTTTTATGAAGAATATTTATAGAGGTAGTTTGATTCGGGGGTCATTTTTTTATATCAATTCGTTGTCGACGTTACTCGCCACCCTATCAACATCAATTTTTCGTGGATTTCGACTTCTATACCTGACTTCCGCCAGGATGTTGGTCATCTCTTATTGTTTCGTGTGGTGTTGTTCTACTACTTCACTTGTACCTACAACTATGTATAAAAAGAAAAGCCGAACGATGTGAATAATCTTCAAGAAGAAAATATGCAGCAGCGGTGCTAGAAGAGGTAGCTGACCATTTTTGGTGCAGTTCAGTACTCTGTTCAATGTAAAAATTACAGCTGAGGTCAAATAAAGCTCACATTGAAGATGCAGTGGAGGGCGAAGCAGGCATGTTTCGTTGATTCCCGCTGTAACGCGTGGCGTGTCAGAGATCATGGATCGACTATTTTTCATAGGATAAGACACGGCATCGTGAAGTTATTGCCATCTTCCATACGCATAGGACCACGACTTCTAGCTGCCTTCTCATTTTGAATGAATTTAGAGTCTGGACAGTAGGCGCCCCCTGCAACGACGAAAGGGCGCGGATTCGCTCTCACTCGTGCAGGCACGACTGGATGCGCCGAGAAGAGACATACTAACCTGAGAGAGAATAGGATTAGTAGTTTTTAGTACTAGAACAAGTAGCAACATGAATCTCAAAGAGGAACCAATATTTAAGTAGAACACATACAAATATGTCAGGCTACTTGCGTCCAAGAGTAGTTGGCTTTCAAAGAAATCAGTAACTGATGATTCTAGGCCAAATCCGTACGTCCTTGTTGCAGTAATAGCATATCGAAAACTCTTACAGGGGCTTGTGCATTGTTGAGGAAGGGGGAGTTTGTAGGACAAGAAGAAGAAGATAATGAACATCTCACTGCGTGTTGTATTGAGGTACCACTAGTTAACAAGCAACGAGGGCGCAGACAAGGACGATTTGGTTTTAGACAACTAAAAATTACGGGAACGAATAGATGAGGCATTACAAAATATACTACCTCAAACAATCATCGAAACGGATCATATATTTTTCCGAAGCAGCCAAGTGACAAGTGTGTGGTGCGCGTTCAGCCCAGGGTAGGGGATGAGCTTTTGATTTTTAATGTGGGCTGATGGATCAATACTGACATGCAAGTCGTGTGTGATCCGCATGCGTGAAGCACTTATGCTTTTTAGTTTTGTGTTTTTGAAGGACACATGGATGAAGAACAAGTAGCTCAGGATCATGCTACCTGCTAGACGTAGTACGAATAATAGGGCCAAGACAATATAATCGTGCCTTGGTCCATGAAGAAAAAGGTCCACGATGCGGAGGTCACGACTCAGAAACCGATGGAAGAACAAGAACGACCTCATTCATTCAACGGTTTTTTACACAGATCTAGATCATCAAGAGGCTCTGGGCAGTCAAGTACAAGTGCCTGCACTCGTCCTCTCGGCGAGTTTTTGATGATGTGGATCTCGAGGTTCTTTTTCTTCCACCGGCACGTGCTTCACAGCATCAATTACAAAAGCCGAGTAGAATGAAAATCGCTGTTCGGAGTCGTTGGACCATTTAGATTAAGAGAATTTTGAACTAAGTTAAACACGAATACTGTGCTGACTCATTCACACACTAGAAATGATTTTGACTGAATTGGTAGTTCGCTAAATTAAGAACGACTAGCGGCTTTAACGCGTCTAGGAGGATCAGGAGGTTGATGACCTTGGGGACGGTGAGACCCGTCCTTTCGGCTTCTCGAGTTGCCGATAAGTTTTTGTTGAATCAATAGTACTAGGTAAGTTCTAGAGAGCACTAGATCTACTAGAGAGCGCTTTCATCTTCGCAGTTGGGCCGCATTGGATTGTAGGTCAAGCGTTCTTAGACTTACCTCGAGAAGTAGTCGTTGCAAAAATGCCGTGGTTTCATCGCGCGGCTGTTGCCGCAAGTCTCCCATGGTGCACCATGGCTGTAACACCAGCGTCCGGGGAGCAGAATGGAGACGACAAATTTCTCTTCCCGTTTTCAACAGGTAAACCTTTGAAGGAGATCAAAAGGCTGGTGGCAGCCGATCCCGGTTTGGCGTATCGCGCAAGCGAACTGGGAGAGACTCCTCTTCATGCCGCAGCGATATCGCCTGAAACGTCACCCGAGGTACTACTTACTTAATATTGATTTGGGAAATATAATCCTCCACGTTTGATAGTGATACTATTTTTTTCTGTCTTCTGATGCATGTTGAGGTTGACGATGCTCTGATCCCTAATTATAGGGGGAGGTCTATGTTGGATGACGTGATTAAAGACTTTTTTCACATTCACTTTCACGATACAACGAACTCTAAATCAACCTCGATTTTACAACTCAGGTGGTAGAATTTTTGTTGGCGAGTGGCGCGTCGGCGAATCAGGCAACGGTCGGCGAGTACCGTAGGACGCCGTTGCATTGGTGGTTGTTCGCCGACAACCCAGATAAGGAACGCATAATTGAGCTCCTGATTTCCAGTGGCGCAAACCCGTTCCACGAAACGGAGATTGAGGGAGAAGATGGCTTCGCCGCTGCTGAGACGCTGGGTTTGGACGACGTCGCTGCGAAAATGCTCGAGTGGATAGAGGACTATGTCGACAACAGAAATTCCGAAGATGCTGGTCGTGGAGCGGACAAGGAAAACGCAAAACTGAGGAAGCAGATCGAGAAACGAAAAAGGCTTCTCGTCGAGCGTGAGGAAGAAATGGCGGAACTAGAGGATGACGAAGCCGCTGCAGCCATCAGCGATGACGAGCTGTAACACATATGCTTGTTCATCATTCCTTATAATATAATATCGATAATAAAGATGAAGATCCTGCCTGATCTTCGCGCTCCTTGTATCACCCGTTTTTATAAGCTTTTCCTTGTTCTTCTTATATGTACTTTAACCGTTGAGAGTCCTACCCTTTCATTACAAGCAATTCTACTAGAAGAAGAAAAATAGGACCAGTCAAAATAGCCCGTCTATTAACCACGGTTGATAATGCACCCAATTAAGAAGTATACATTGCAGCCCCACGACGTTTTGAACATTCACTATAACAATAACGACCTCAAATAATGCGGCAGGTTTACTCTCAAAGAAAAAGTACTTCCAGTTCCAGGCCCACGTCATTAGCCTTATGGACAAGAAGAGGCCGTCTCATGCAGAAACGGCAAAACCCGCGAAGACACAAGTAGTGTTCTAAGTTGCTCCACAATATCGAATCCTAATTCTTGTGTTCCTGCGCGGCATGCACATGCACATCTGGATGACTTCCTTGTCACTCGATCAACAAAAGACGACGAGTTACTGAAAGAATCCGTCATCTCGGGATAATGCTGGAAAATTGTTCTTGCTTTAAGCGAGATGAAAATGCAAATCAATACTGTAGTGCAGAATGCAGCACGTAACCACGGAATATTTTGTGGAAAAACAGTTTGCAGATTCTGTTTCCAACAAAGAACCGCGCCGACCTTTACTTCCATTCTTCTGTCCGATGAAAGTACCAATTTGTATTCCGTCAAGTAGACACGGTTTTTTTTTTCACTTTCCGCTCTCGACATCACAACGCTCTCCAACCACAGACCTATTTTCATGATATGCTTATGTCTAAGTCTATCATCAATCAATCTTAAGTATAGTACCTTGCTTTTCCATTTTGATTTTTAACCATGTTGGATGAGTATTTGAAACCCGTATTTGTTTTTCTTGAGGCGCATCGGGAAAAGATGGCGTCTTACGTTGCTGGGCTCTCCGTGGACGAGGCCCGTTGGATTCTGGTTGCGTTCGTGCTCACCCAGTGGATCCTTCACACATCCATCAACTTTCTCAACGTGGCCAACCTCAATAAGCCTCTGGACCCGTTAATCCCGAAGCTCTACGGAGAGTCCGTGCTCCAGAAATACGAAAAGAGCAAAGCATATATTCGGGTACTTGATGTTTTATTGCCCGTTCACATTGTTCAGGTGAAGTACTTACCGCCAACGCCATGCACTTAAGGACACAATAGCAATCATAAGGAATTTGTGTGGTCCTCTCACTCTATCTTTCTTGTCTTCGTCTCCGACGAGTATATAATGACCATAATTTCGTCCTTATTCAACATTACATCTCGTTCACCTGCCAGGAAAAAAACACGTTTGGCGAGGTTATGGGGATTTTCGACAATGCAGTGATGTTTGTCTTCTGGTTCGCCCATGGCTACCCTTGGCTCAACAACACGTTGAAGGAAGCTTTGCCAACAGTTTCACCCGCAGTCTTCGGCACCATATACCTTCTTACGCTGACCTATGTATCAAGCATCATCTCACTTCCCTGGGGATACTACAGCAACTTCGTCCTGGAGGAGAAATACGGTTTCAACCGCATGACGATAAAGACGTGGCTTAAGGACACCATCAAAGGGTAACAAGCTTTAGTTCATTTTCGGGTCTTTTTTATCAACATCACCGCGTCGATGATATTTCAGGTTGTTCTCTTTTTGTTTTACAAGCACGTGTTAAACAGGGAAATAAAGCATGATCAAACTTCAATATCCAAATCGATCCTCCCCATGTCCAAGACCACCTCTCATATGTTATCTTCAAATTGAAAAGTTACTAGCTATCAATCATCACAGATGGCTGCTCATGGGGGTTCTTGGTGGCGTCTTCATGTATATTTTCCTGCTTATTCTCGTAAACTTCGCAGTGGAAAAGTACTGGTGGTTGCTTGCCAGCTTTATCATGAGTTTCCAGCTCGTTATGATGATACTTCAGCCATGGATTATGAAGCTGTTTCTTGAATTTATCGCAATAGAGGATGGAGTTGCGTTCGTCAGCCGCGGACAGACGGACAAGTTCATGCGAAACAGGTAGTGCTGCTTATGAGTAGAGTTCTTTGGATTGGGAAATTGTGTCGCTGTGTATAAGAAAGAGAAACTTTGCTCGTGCGTACCTGTTCTTATTCGCTTTTACCTAGTTGTGATCATCAGGATCACGCCGGCTGCGGTTCCTAAAGAACCAATGGGCCGATTTGATTGTAAAGAGATTCTTTTCCTCGTGCGGATACAGGTATTTTTATCCCGCTGGTGAGAATCTGTGGGAGACGAGGGATTCGCAGTACAAGGGTCAGCCGAAAGGTGCTTGCCTTGTCCTTCGCAAGGACGCTGATGACAAGTGGATAATTGCCGATAAGACCAGTAGTTCCAGCACGAGCGGCGAAAAGCAAAGTGATGCTGCCGCGAAGGAGCTTGACAGCACCGCTGTTGTCCACGCAACGGCAACTAGCGCTGGCGGATCACTGCCGAGTGACGTCAGCAGTTGGGATTACTCGAGGGAGGAAGAGGAAAAGGCGGAGTCAAGTTTGTTGGATACCAAAGTCGATGATCCCCTGGACCAAAAACCACTCTGGATGAAGAAGCTAGACTTCGGAGACCTGCGTGGGCGACTCGAGTCTATGGCTGCCGAGCACAAGTTCAAGTTTCAGGCTGTCTACATCATCGATGGCTCCACTCGCAGTGAGCACAGCAACGCATTTTTCATGGGGTTCGCGTGGTTTCGCAAGATCTGTCTTTTCGACACCTTGCTCAAAAACTTGTCCGTGGATAGCGTCTGCGGCATCATGGGCCACGAAATGGGCCACTGCGTCATGAAGCACATCCCACGCCAAATTTTCTACGGCGCAGTGCAGTCCTTTTTCATGCTGTGGGTGATGGCGCAGTTCCTGTACAATAAGACTTTGCACGCAGCTTTCTTCGTGGACGTGAGCAAGCCGGATAACATTACGCCATGGATTGGGCTTCTGATCACACAAATGGCAATGGCACCGATCGGATTCTTTTTAGGGTTGTGGAAAAACTGGCTCACTCGAAAGTACGAGTATGAAGCGGATGCATTTGCTGTGCAGAGCTTCAACAAGAACTACGCCCAAGACTTGGTGAACGGCCTCAAAGGCTTACTGATGGAGAACAAGTCACACCTGAACCCCCACTGGCTCTTCGTTTGGATGAACCACTCTCACCCCACGCTGGTGCAGCGCGTGAGATGGATCCAAGGCCTCTCCACCAAACGGGAAGGAAAGGACATCGTCAAGCTCGACGACTAATTTAGTACAGCTACACGGGTGGAGGGAGAACCCCAACACACGACGAAGTTTTATAATGTATGATCATTCAGTCACTGCCAAGCAAAATAATATCGCGGTTGCTTTCCGCATGTGCTTGAGTGGTAAGGACGCGCGTCCCTCATGCCCCTGATGCTAACGAGAACACATACAAACCTGTAATTAAATGTCCTAGAACTATATTATAACAGAGTAGTTTATAGCACGCATGGTGCATGGAGTAGCATGGAGTGCATGGAGCGCAGAGCTTTAAGGGGCGCAAGAAGCTCCCCCTTTAGCTCCATGCTACTCCATGTGATCCATGCACTCCATGCCATGCGAGCCGTGAAACCTTATAAACTGCTCTGTTATAAATAAGTAGCCTCAGCCCCAGAGACGCACGTCGATGGATGTCATATCCGTCTACAACGTGTCACCCCAGTAAGCGCGTACGTGATTATGAGTGGCACTATCTAGTGAGTGGAACCCACGCATGATGAAAAAATGGAATTCAAAAAGACATGCTTTCGCGCGACGCATCGTGAGCAATGTCGTGGCAGAGCAAGCGGATTTGAGTTGTTCGCTTCTTGTGTTGAAAATGAATCCAAATGCTGTGATCGGCTGAATGCCTCGTCGGATATGCTTGTGGTGCAAAGAGGGTTCATACTTCCATCAAGCTTCCATTATTTTCAGTCCAGCCAGCGAAAATTCACGCCGCGACAAGCACGCGACATCAAACTTTCTGCGCACTCTTGATTCTGAATGCAAGAATGCGTTACAAGTTGAAGAAGTAGCGCGGATCACCATGATATAATTTGTTGTAGACGACGAGGGGACAGACGACCAAGACTATCATGTTAGTTTATGATTCATCAACTGGTCTACTTTTTCTGTATAATACAACTGAGGTGGAGCTGCAGCAGACACTCTTTATCCGAATCAAATGTAAAAAGACGATGTGCGACAGAACATGTTCTCTTTGCTTGATCCTTGCCAGGCTTATTTCAGGAGGCCTCCTCTAAGATGACGAAAAAAGCTCTTTCGCTTTTTTTTGTTTCAGCTTGAGATAGTCACAATGAATGAATTATTTGATTTTAGCAGTTGTCTTATGATTCTCAGTATGTATTGTGAATATTCGATTTGAACAACATAAGTACATAATCAGCTCTATAGCTTATGGTTCAAACTTGTGTTAGAAGAAGAGTTTGGTTGTCATAGGAGTTAGCGAAAATGACGAAGGTTGCCGAAAACTACGCTGGGTGCAAAGTTGTCATCCGGCTGCTGCCACCCGAGCTGGATGAGCCAAACTTTCGGAGTTCCATCGCCCCCGAATTTCCGCCGAGAATGCGGTACTTTCGTTTCGTACAGGGGAAGAAATCGATGCATTCTGTAGCCTATGCGCAGTTTGACACGCGTGAGGTGGCAAAGAACTTTGTTACCGATTACAATGGACATCAGTTCATGAATGAGCGCGGAGAAAAATTCGCTGCGGTCGCAGCGACGGCCCCGAACCAGCGACCTGGGAACTATCGTGCCCCAGTGATGGAGGAAGCGGTTCGCGCATTGCAAGCTCAGCTGCGCGGGGGAACGACCGGAGGAGGGAAGTACGGGGGCGGTGGCGGCGGCTACAAGGGCGGCCGCAGCGGCAAGGATAAGTACAACAACAGTTCCTCAAATAACGCGTCCGCAGCGGCAGGAGATACTGCGACTGCAACGCTGCAGCCGAATAAACCTGGCACCCGACAAACCACAATCGCGGAGAACCTCAAGGTAGACGTTTCGGAGCCACCAGAGGTGGACGTGTCGGCCAAGCTGGCCTATTTTCGCCACCGATACGAGTGGGAGTACACGGAAAGCAGCTGTGCAAAAACCATTGCAGCAGCCAAAGCTGCGGCTGCCGGCGAGAATGTCGATAGTTCGACTCTCAGTCGCGGCATGAAGTATTTGGAGGACCCCTCGCGCAAGCCAAACGCCCCGAACGAGGTGCGCCAGCTCAACGGGTACTATCGGGACTACGACGAAAAAGCGCTACACAAGTTGTCGGCCTTCGCCTACTTCCGGCAAGTAGAGAAAGCGCTGGACAATAACGAAGCAGTTCCGAAACCCCCCTCGAGCTTGCACTGCCGCACTTTGCTGGACGCAGAGCGCGAGGTGGATTGCGACGAAAAGAACACGCCGTTGCTCCAGCAAATCAGTAGCAGCACTCCTTGCCGCCGCCGTCGCCGCGGCGGCAAGGAGTACCGTGGCGGAGGTCTTGACCAGGTTCCAGAAGAAGATGAAGACGACAACTACAGTTAAGACTTCCGGAAATGTACCATTTTGAGAAGCATCTTGAACCTCCCGTGCAAGGGGGAAACGGGTCCAAGATGACTTTCAAGATGGATTCTCGCAAGGTCTAATATAAGAAAGACGACGACCTGCAGTGGAATCGTAGCGCGATCACTAAACGCGGTGACGGTAAGCGTGAGCGAGGAGGTACAACTAAAAATCCCATGTATCATTTTTACATTTTCCATTATTCACTAAGAATCAACTAGTGTTTCGACATCGACTAGATCATCTACTTCTGGAGTGATTTCTTCAATGAACCTACTTCTGTACTTATAACATCACAAGAGAATGTGTCTTCAACACCAGCAGGTCGCGTTCGGGCAACGTGCGTGGTTTGCCGACGTCGCAAGCGCTGCACGTCTGTCGCTGGCAAGCTGTACTGCCGTCGTCATGTTCCTGTGGATGTCGCCGGTGGTCGAGATAAGAAGTTTCTGAACAAGTCTGGAGAGGAAACCACACCATCTTCGACCAAGTCTCGTCGCCGACCCCGTGGTGGCAGGAAAGAACGACGCAAGCGTGAACGACTTGCAGAAGTCGCTGGCGGTTACTCTTCCAGAAAGGACGAAGCGGTAGACAGTTACAACCCTGCGAGCGCAGCAGTTGTTAGTGGATCTTCGTCTGGCGACCAACATCAAAGTTACGACTACTCAAGCAACTTCCAACCCGAAAGTCGAACCGGCGGAGCCTCATCCTCCGTTCCAAAGATCAAGGTGCTGGAGAAAGAGAAAGGCACACCAGGTGGTGCAGCAGCAGGATCATCTACGGGGCCACTACCCACCTCCTCGAAGGCTGATATGCCCAGCGGAAGCAAAAGCAGCGGCGATGGTGGAGCCGCTTCTAAGGACCATTCGGCTGAAAAAAAGAAGTGTCCTGGCTGTGGTTACCGAGCAGTGTTGGACGAGGGATACTGCAGTCAATGCTGGACCTCGTGGCAGTGGAAAAAGGACAAGAAAAAAAAGCGCTAAACAAAGAAGCGCGCAAAGAGAGTCTTATTTAAGTAGCCCCTCTTCGCAGAAGTTATCATGTCGTATATAATGATGCTGTAGTTTTGCTTCTCGTGGTCGTGCTACAACCAACCTCTAGAAGTACTACAACTACTCGATCATGAGACATGATTACGGGTGCAACTCGAACATCCGTACACAAACACACTCCATGTTCATTCCGTACCCTTGTCACTTGGACTTGGTGGATCCTCAGAGAAATCGGCCATCCATCGCTCGATATTCGACCCACAGTGTACTAATTTTTCAAAAAATGGAAATCACTATGCCGTGGATACCCTTTCACATCGAGCATATTTGAATAGGGTGTTTGTTATGCTTCCTCTTGATGACAACGCGACGCACTCATCTTCGTAAGTTTCTTGTTCTCAAAAACGACCGACTAAGTCGGTGCCTGACAGACTGCGTCATTCTGCTCGAGAAAGAATGCTCTGCCTCTGTCAGAATCATGCTTGCTTTTGGTAAGGAAAAATCCATGATCACTGAAGTCTAGATCCAAGTTGGATGGCTGTTGTGATTTGTGGATCTCATACAGGAAACAGGCTCTAAGGGCGAGAGGCGCGTTTACCCATTGAGGTATTGGAGGAGCACTTGGGCTAGCAGCACGTTTTTTCGGCCGTATCTTTTCTTGACTTCATGAGATTGTGATTGACTACTTTATTTTCTGGCCGCCTCTTTGTCTTTGAAACAAGAACTTTCTTTTTGTGAAGATTGGTCAGCTCGCATTGTGTAGTTTCAACGAGGTACAAAAACAAAAAGCACGTAAGTATTTTGTTCTTGGCCCTAGTTGTAATCAATGTATTTTTGTTGATGAATAGCATGAAGATAGATCAACGACGCTGCGGTCAAAAGGGTGAACAAGCTTGCCTTGTAAAAATTACGAAATAAGTGGAAAAAGAAATAGTATGCTGAGATGAGAAACAACGTAAACACCAGCAAGGATATTTCACTGTGTGTTGAAAGTGACTGAAAAGAGAACAAGAAAGCATGTCAGCTGCTTCGGCTGGCACGTCCTCCGCGGTGGATGATGCTAGTGGTACTCCAGCTGCCCCTTGTAGTGAAGGTACTCTCGAGGGTGGCGTGCCACTACCAGCAGAGCTGCAAAGAATACCCGATATCACCGTAGCTACCATCGGAAACGTGGACAGTGGGAAGTCTACGCTTGTTGGTGTGTTGACGAAGAGCGTACTTGACGACGGACGTGGTTATGCACGAAGCAAGGTATTCAACTTCAATCACGAACAGGAAAATGGACGCACGAGCAGTATCGCGCACGAAATCATGGGATTCCACACGCTTCCGGGTGCAGCATCATCAGCTGCTGCACAACCAGGAGGCAAGTGGAGTGGAAGCAAAGCATCAATTGTAAGCAGTACCAAAAACGATGCAGCTGCATCGTCACCAGTGGCAAATCCAAATGGATCCTCAGATGCCAATCCCAATGGTACTTCTACAGCAAGAGATGATGCTGGAGGAAAGACATCAACGAACACTGCCACTTCCGATGCAGCTACACGCGACTCCGAAAGCTCCGAAGCCAGAAGCACAACGGCTACCGTATCAACTTCCGCGAGCGTTCGGGACTCCGCAGCTTCCTCTTCGAGTGGCGCAAGCACAAGGGACACCACGAGCACGATGGCATCAGTTAACGATACAGGAGAGGACCCAAGCCGAGCCTCAGAGGCAAGCATAAAAGGCGACGCTCCTAGTCCGACGTCGGGAGGTGGTGGGCCGTCTTCATCGACAGACGCGAATGCGGGAGGGAAAGAAACGAAGCAGCAGCGGAACAGCAAAAATTCAAATGTATGGGTGTGAGATGTCTTTGCTTTTTTTTGTATGTCGGAACAACAACTACAAGCGAAAGAGGCAAATGCACAAGCATGACCCGTCAGCCTTCTTGAGATCACTTGCTTCTGAGATAAAAATTGAAGCTTAGCGACCTGTCTTTCCTCCCCTTCTGACCTTCTCATCTCGTCAGGGATTTTGAGGTAGTTGGAAGGGATCGCCATTTGCCTGGCTGGGCAGTTGTTGTGGGAGTCGACCTTGCAGTCGGCTGCCATTTTGGCTCTACGAAAAAAGAAAAAAAAATCTACGTTGGTCACGAAAGACCATATCAGGGGCACTCATATGACACCCAGCATTTCTTATCCAACGAACGGGCTGTAGGGTCTTTCCTTTTCTTCATATACCAACAACGCGGCAAGCCAGACGCAGAAATTCGAAGTCGTGGCGGTCGATGTGGATCGACATCATGGTCGCGTAGTACAAAGCGGTATGCAGAAAAATGCCTTGTGGGCCAAGATCCAAGAGCAGAGCGACAGGCTTATCCAATTTGTGGATTTGTGCGGACATGAGAAATACCTGAAGACGACAATTTTCGGCCTAGTGGGCCTCTGTCCAGACTACGCGCTGGTCGTCATTAACGCCAATGCAGGATTGCAGCGCATGACCAGAGAACACATCGGTACTCGGTCTACAGCTGCCTAGAAATAACTCTACTACGAGAATAAAACTCAACGCGGAAGTTCTCGGAACCAATTTTCTGAGAGGACTCGCGCATAGTTGTATATAGCACCAAAGCACTGTGAGCTTCAGGGAGTCACCCATTATCGACTGCGAAATGTATGACCTCCAGGTATCGCGATCGCTTTGAGGATACCAATAATAATCGTGGTGACGAAGAAGGATATGACGCCAGGCAATGTCTACGATGCGAATATGCTGAATATTTGCAAAGTCCTAAAGAGTAACGCGGTAAGAAAGATGCCAGTTCTCATCAAACACGAAAGCGACGTTGAGCATGGTACAACTGCTCTTTTTTACCTAGTCCTTCTCCTCATCATTTTCTTTATCGGCGAGGTGGTCGAGAATAATATTTTTGCGCGGCTATGATTATGAAGTTCAAGGAAATGACGGACTTGGTAACTACATATTTTCTGCTCCTCCATGACAATGACTTTGTATAAACAGCTGCCAATTCGATTCTCTCTGAGCGAATTGTGCCAGTCTTCAGCGTTAGTTCAGTAACGGGAGATGGCCTTCCGTTCTTACGGTCGTTCCTCTACAATTTGAAACCGCGAGCTAAGGAGTTACTGTGCAGACCGCCATCAGACCCTAGAGTGGAGTTTCACATCGAGTCCATCTTCCTCGTCGCTGGTGTTGGCGTCGTTGTGGCCGGATTCATGCGCAGCGGTATTGTACAACTTGCTTTCGATTCCCCTCGAAAGTGGAGTGCTAATTTTCGCTCATCGTTGGGTTTGAAGATGTATTAGGTTGAGACAAGTAGAGGTGCAAGGTCTTCCACGAGTCCACTGAATTCCAAAAACACACAGGGTCGGTGCAAGTGGGCTCGCACTTGTATCTTGGCCCGGATAGCTTGGGAAAGTATAAGCACCTGATTATACGCGGCATTCACATTCGGAGGGTTCCGAAAAGCAAGGCGATCAGCGGGGATCACTGCAGCTTCAGCCTTCGTTCAGTACTTGAATTTTCTGCGCACCAGTGTACCTCCACCAACATGATTTACATCATAATGAATCAGCATATCTATCTGTGTTTCAAGAGGAACATAATTGAATATAAGGAAAAAGAACTTTGTCCTCTTGTCTTAAGTATCTAACTATGAATGTCTACCTATAGATACGTCTTTTGGCATGTATTTCCTAGCGTGCTCACACGCCTTCAAAGAAATAGGTAGACGCAAAGGAGAAGTTTAAGAAGCAGCATTTCCGAAAGGGTATGGTCCTCCTGTCGCATATCAACGACGAGCCGGTTGCTTTTCGAGAATTCGAAGCTGAAATTGTGATTTTGCATCACTCGACGACAATACGGCAGAGGTTTAGCTAATATCTTTATCACAGTATGCCTATGCTCGATGAAGAAAGTATTGCATTTCTTTTGCTTCTTCTCGACTTCAAATTTCACCTTATTCATCTCTGTCTTCTCACAAACGAGAAGTAACGTAAGAGGACTTCCTTCATCGATTTCTCTAGGTATCAAGCTGTGATCCACTGTGGTGTGATTCGTCAGAGCGCGGAGGTATTAGGCATGTCCTCCGAGCTGTTGCGGACGGGTGACAAAGCGACGGTACGATTTCGGTTCCTGTACCATGTGGAGTACATGCAACTGGGTTGGACCTTGCTCTTCCGTGAAGGGCGTACAAAGGGCATCGGGAGAATAACAAAGCTAATTCCAGCGCAAACAGCGGACGCTACCGAACCGAATCCGAACTTGCGCCGGCACCCAGGAGGCTCGACGGTCCAAGCTTCGTCCCCAGCAGGCAAAAGCAAGGAAGAGGCGTCGTCCTCGTCTGGAGCAAGAAAGTGATTTATTTGTTTGCCGAGACACTATCTTCGTCGTTGGTGGAAAAAAACGACGCGCTTCTTCTGATCGTCGACCTCGAGGTGCTCCAAATATTCATGAAGGTGTTTCACCACTGTACGCGTTTCATTCATACGTTGTTCTTCAGATCAAGAAGATCATTACGTGGATTCAGGATACCGATACAGAGGGCTGGTGGTCTGGTTAATATTACAACCGTTTTCATCTTCACGTAATGGATAATACTGGTAAAAGAAGAAAGATTCTACTTGATTCTATCAAGCAAGGGCAGCTCATGCTCATCTTGTCTATTTCTACTCGTAATTGAATACCCCTGTCCAACCAAACCGACCACTGTATTTTTGACGCGAGTACAATCCGACAGCCGTCTTGTGCCTCCTGTCGATTTATATAGGAGGAGCTTTCCGTTTCCCACGAGGTGGATACTGTCGCTGGCCTGATTATGTATGGCCCCCAATTCAAAGAATACCAAAAGCAGAGTGTGCGTAGAATCGCCTAGGAGTCTACGCCCTTTTAGTTTTGTCGCGGCAGTTGTTGTTGTAGTTTTTTTGTAAGTAAGGTTAATATCGATGAATTTTTGGAAGGAAGTACGTAGTAAACTGTGTAGTCCTTGTTGTGAAGTGTATCTAAATGTGTATGAAGATCTGTTTTTGTCCAGAAATTGTTGTCGTGTCAGAAAGGAGTTGAAACGATTTCAAGTCCTCGTGGAAAATTCTTTCATTATTACATCCCTGCTCGTGCGGGTTGACGTCTAGATAGCAGATAAAGTACCTATTTACTCAGTAGGATCGTGGTAAGAGTGACCTTTCTGTCTGTCTCCTCGTCTCTCTGTTTTAAATCTTTTGAGCGCTTGAGATCATCTTCTTTCTGTCTCTCTACCTGCTGGCTCTGTCTTCTGTCTTCCCTTGCTCCTGATTTCTCTGAGTGACCTTTCTTCTGTTCTCGAGTGTTGGCTGAGTTGTGTGCGTTAGCTCTAGTCGTTGTTGATTCAGGTAATCCATGCTTTCTTCATCTGGGGCCCTTCACTATTCTCTTCTATCCTCGTGGCATTAGCTTCCCAAGATACGAGCTTCGTTCTCAGTTTCCTCTCGCACAGCCCGGCCGCAAGTCGATTGGTCTTTGCAAACTATAATTGCGAAGGCTTAGGTCCGGAGACGCTCAAGGCCCTGCTGGGGGAGGCGGGTGGCTCCCCTCTCCTGCCGGTCCGAGTGCGTTACATTCATTGCGTAGATTGTTTTTGTGTGTTGGTGGCTTCTTTGCAGGTCCTTTTGGCTCGGGTTTTGCCATCCTTTTTCTCCTCCTCCCCCCCCTACATTTCTCTATTCTAATTTGTTTCTTCCACACTTTTTTACTCATTCATCCGTTCCCATTTTCTCGCTTTTGTTGATGAACATCGCTTGACACCTATGGGAATTGATGCTTACTAGTTTCTTTAAACATCCAAAAGCAAAAACTAATCTCTTGTGCCCTATTTAACTCGCAGAAAGGCAGCCGCGGGACACTATGCGGGAAACATCAGCGAGCGGAAAAATGGCGTCATTTACCAAAAGAAGAAAAACCGAGTCAAACTAGCGCATATTTTGACTTTCTGATGATGGACGGCGAATAATCACAGCCGAAGCGGGTGCTTTTCCTTCTTTTATCTTTGCGCGCTGAATATTTTTATTCTTACCAATCAATCTTATACTTATTTTTCTAGAAGAATTACGCGTGGCAGTGCCAGTGGCTGCAGGCAAAGAGAATCTTTACCTCCTAGTACTAGAAAAGTAACACTTCGGCACCTCCGACATGATAGATAGCTTGATAGTGTTGAGAGTCGTATTTCTGAACACTGTCCGTCGTGTTTGAATAGCATCGCTTTACTGTGTTATCCTTTCCTCACTCGGGAGTTCTTGCTTTCCTTTGGCCGCTATCATGCATCGCATGCATTTACAGGATACAATTCGTATCTGCAATCACCAGGATCAACTTCAACAACGCCTTAAAGAATAATCCAATACGTACTTAAGTAGATGTTTGCGCACTTGTAGACAAGTAGGCAACAAAACAAAAAAAAGTATGGGTCTGGCCGAAGAAGAGTAAGAGAAATGCAAACAAGATCACCAATATCTATGCGCCGTGCGTCATGAGGATCCCGATCCTTGTCGAGGTGGTGATCACGGAGACGTTTTTTCAGTCGGAGTGGCTCATTGATCGTACTTCCTTGTAGAGTCCTCGCACCTCCAGGCATCAAAAACAACAAGCTCACTCTGCTTTCACTGAAAAGGTTGTTTCAGGGGCAGCGCACGGCTTTGCTTCGATCGTAGCCAAATGGATGCATTGATGTTTCAGTTTATGTGTCGAAGTAGAGTCTTGATGTTGTAGGAAAGCTAAAGTCACTCCATCCTGCTCGTTCATCAATCTTCTACTTGATGTAGTTCCACTTGCATCAGCATGATCTGACGCAAAGATGAAGGTCAATATCTAAGGTAGAAGATATCTTGAAGATGGAAAAGCATTTTTTTATACCTCTGGAGTGGGTACATTCATTCATTCATAGTTGATATCTTGATTTATGGCACTGGAACAGCAATGCCGACGAAAATCCTAATCTTATGTCATGAAAAGACGCTCTAGTACTAATTGACTTCAACAGGGGTGGACGGGTGATTGCTTCATCTTGCAAGGACTCAAAAATGGCTCCTCCACAACGCCACTTCAACCCTGGCCTGAGTGCCATGGGGCTCCCTTATTTCCTTTATTATCGTGCGTGGCGATTTTTGTCGCTTTTCGTAATCCTCGGCCGAAAGCACACACACGACAACCTTTCTTTGGGACCTGAGGCGACGGCTCTGGCCATAGATCCACTTTCGAATAGTCCGGTGAAGGATGACGTCCATCATTAAGGCTTCTCCTTATCCATCTTCGGAAGCATCGCACGCAGAGACGTCCTCAAGGGGGAAACGGTCTCAGAATGCGTCTCAAGATGGATAAGGGTGAGCTCTAACATCAACAATGGTGGCCAAACACGGCTGAGCCAGTGGATGTTGTAAGAAGTGGACAGAAGCAAAATCCTGGAGACACTACTGGCAGCAGTGGAACCTCTGAAACTGAAGAAGCCCAAGTTACTGCAGAAGAAGAAGTAAAGTCAACATCGACTTCATCCCGCCTGCGGAGTGGCTATCTGGACTGCAGTGAGAGCGGCGAAGCTTTAGACGAGAAGGCCCTCAGGCGAGCCTATCGACGAATGGCACTTGATGCCCATCCTGATGTTGCTTCTCGTAGAGCGGTAGAAGAAGGAGACCTAAAAGGTCAGGAGAGCAATGTAGGCGATATTGCTGAGTTGCGAGATCGGCTGATTCGTGACCCTTTGCAATTTCAGGTCTACCGTGCTATGTTCGATGGAAAACAGAAGCTTAGACCCTTCGACGAAGGAGATGAAGTCTTTGAGCAAGTTGTACAAACGACATTCTCCTCGAGCGCAGCGACTGATACAACTGAAAGAACAGTTCCAACATCAGTATACCCCTCGAGCAGTAGTGCAACCAGTAGGATTCAAGGAGTCGCGGCTCGAATTGTTCGTAACGCAGACGGAGATTCAAACTGGCCATATATCGAAATGGTGCTTCGCGTGGACAACCGTGACGGGCAGCTTTCTGCGGGTGGCCGCTGGAGTTTTGCCATTGGCCACAAGGGCGTAAGCACAATTCATTACAGGGGAGACGAGGCGCAAGGTGGCTATGATCTCTGCTGTAGCTTTATGCTGGGCGGCAGTCCATGCACAACTAGTGAAACTGAAAGGCCTGTGGGCAATGTGGAGCAACTCACAGATACAAAAGACACCAGTATGGGAGATGAAGGCGGAACGAGCAAAGGTGGTTCGAAATGCACGGCGGACGACGGCGCACAACAGAGCCGGGACGAATCATGTGTTAAAGGGCAAAAGAATGGCCAAAATGATACAACTTCAGAAGTCGGGGAGAGGGAGTCTCAGAACGATGTTGAAACTCCTAGCGACACCCTGACGGCTTTCCAGAACGACAAAGACTCTGGACAAAAGTCTGACTGTCCTCTTCCTGCACGCGACGATTTGCTGTTCAGAGTGCGGCGGCCATTGCATTTGGATTCGGTAGGTCAATGGGGTTCTGCACTCCGGATTCGAGATGCAAAAGGCGGCAAGCCTCTCGTTTGTGCCGCACTAGCTTTTCCTGTGTTTGAAGATCAGGGTTCGGACTCGGCTGCAAGAAGAGGAAGCCAAGATGTCGAAGGTTCTGGCAAGGAGACGCAAACGGATGATCATGAAGGTGCTATGGGAAACAAAGCACGGGCGAACAACAAAACACACGATGAAAGCGACCAGAACGAGGATGGGTCGCGTTGTGAAGATGGAGATCGACAAGCCAAGAACAACCAAGAGCTGAAATTTCAGTTGCTGAAGGCTGGCGAGTTCTGCGAGGATGGAATTGACATTCTTGAAGGCCCTGTGGATAATTACAGTAGCGGCGGCTTTGACCCGTTCGATTTCGCGCCGGGTCGAGAAGCACGAGCGATGACGCCTCAGTCTGAACTTTATGGCGGCAATTGTAGGGCCAAGTGCGCAAAGAAGAAAAGATGTCGTTTTTACACCATATACAGCAGTGGTTGGTGCCAACTTAGTACACGATGTAGCCGTACACGCCCGACGGGTGACCCGCTGGCAGCAACTTTTATAAAAATATGATGCGCTGACGCTGAGCCTGGCCTTGACATTTTTTCCTGTTATCTAAGCCTAAGTGTAAGTATCCACGCCCCCACGTAGAACCCCTGAAGAAATGATTGATTCATTTTAGATGATTATGTATGATTCCCCCCGGCTGTCTACAAAGACCAGCACTAAATCATGATCATGACCCAGTTTATTAACAGGTGACGTTGTTGAGCGCGAAGACGCAAAATGCATCAAAGCACCTACAAGATGCTTCTCTTACTTAGGAACGAAAGTCGCCTTTGCTAGTCTTAGCGATAAGACTAGGGGGCGGGCTGTCTATTGGATTGGTACTGGTACCAGGACCAACTCAGTAGGGAGCCTGCCGCCCTAGTCTTAAGGAGAGGCCGCCTTTACTAGTCATCAACGAAGCAGCCAAGTGCGTGCGCGTGCCCCCGCGCTCCTCCAGAATCCAGCACGCAACCACGAGCAGCAGCGGAACGCGCCGGAGGATTCTGGAGGAGAGCGGGGACGCGGTGGCCGCTATTAGCAAGGCACAAGCCCGCGCGGTAGCGCGGTCGCCCACATCCTCGTCCACGACAGCCTCCCCGATACACGGGCGGGCGCACTGCTGTGGTGGCAAGAATGTGGCGCCTCTGGCCGGCGTTGGAGTATTATGGAGCGACCCGGCGCAAGCTCGTCAGTTTCTTGTTCTTCCTGGAATCACTCACCGAGCTGGGCAGGCCCCTCGACTGTGTAGCACCGCACTGCCGCCGGGAGTGGCTTCCTCCAAGAAAAACCAGAAGCCACTGGGTGGCTCTGCTTTTTTCGTCAAAGAGTGCACGCCGGGTCGGGTCGCAATGCGGTACACAGTGGAGGGATCTACTTACTCAATTTAGGGGACCTGAGAAAGGCCGTCCGCCTATGGAATCGCTTATGCGCTTCGCACTCGATTGGCCCTAAATCTGGGGAGTTGTGTCCTGAGTTGTGGGGGCTGTGTCCTAAGTTGTGGCGAGTTGTGAGCTAAGTTTTATGAGACAGCCTTATCTTATGAAAAAGGCGCGCTCTATTCTTTGGCCGTTCGATTTTGATTTGAACGCCATGAGGCTCCGAAGAATCGCGTGGACTTTATGGTGTTCAAATTCGAACAGCCCGAGAGTGGAGCTGGGCCTTTTCGTATGCTTTCCGTCTGCGCACAACTCGCCTGCCACAGCTTTCACCGCTTCCACAACTTAGAAAACAGCCGCCACAACTTAGGCCACAACTTCCACACAACTTCCACACAACTTCCACACAACTTCCACACAACTCCAGGCGCAACTTCCACAACCTTCCACAGCTTAAAAGTAATAAAGTGCAGCTCTTTCGTGGGGTTTTGGCCTTTCTAAGGACGCCTCCAAGGATGGGGCAGCAGGAGAAGGGGCCGAGTCAGTGGGTTCGTTACTTTTCATGACGAAGAACCCCCCCAGAACTGCTTCGCCTACTCTTAGAAAGGTCGCTTTTTCTAGTCTTAAGCTGACGATGAGAGTGAGACTACCTAGGGAAGCGGGCTGCCTCTTGAGTTGGTACTGGTTGGGAAAGGGACTTAGTTTGGGTTTTGAGAGTTTGGGTTTTGCGAGTTTGGGTTTTGAGAGTTTGGGCCCTGAGAGTTTGGGCCTTGAAGGCTGAGAGCTGAAAGTTTGGGTGCTGAGAGTTTGTGTTTTGCGACGAGTTTGGGCCCTGAGAGTTTGGGTCCTGAGAGTGTCGGGCTTCAGAGTTTGGGTTTTGAAAGTTTGGGCTTTGAGAATTTGGGTCCTTGGAGTTTGGATCCTGAGCGCCTTGGTCTTGAGAGTTTGGGTCTTGAGAGTTTGCGCCCTGAGAATTTGGGCCTTGAGGTTGAGGGTTTATTGGGTTCTGAGAGTTTGGGTGCTGAGAGTTTGGGCCTGGGGGTGGGGAGTTTGGGTTTGGAGAGTTTGGGTTTTGAGAGTTTCGGCTTTGAGGGCTTCGGTTTTGAGACTTTCGGCCTTGAGAGTTTGGGTCCTGAGCCTGACGGTTTGGGCCTTGAGGGTCGGCGCCTTGAGACTTTGGCTCTTAAGAGTTTGGGCCTTGAGAGTTTGGGCTTTGAGACTTGGGGTCCTCAGGCTTTGGGCCTTGAGGCTTTGGGCTTTGAGACTGATAAGTGAACATGCCAACGCCTAAACCAGGAAGCCCACTGGGCAGTTGGCTTAGTGGCTTAGGCGTTGGCTTGTTCGCTCATCAATCAAACTGCCAAGGGACTGCGCAGCTAGCTTAGTGGCCTAGGCGTTGGCCTGTTCACTTATCAGAGACCTCGGGCCTTGAGCCTTTGGGTTTTCAGAGCTTGGGTCCTGAGGATTTTGGTTTTTCGTTTTGTATTCTCATTTTCCGTGATTAATATACAATTAGCATCTTGACCATATTTTTAATGCTAAAGCTAATGGTGTCTCGTTGTATTTTCTTGACGTAAATCAATCAGTAGCATTCCTTCAGGAAAAACATGGCGTGATGCATGATTAGCGATCAGCTGTGAAGTCGACGCCGATGCTTACAAAAAGGCCACAGCGACAAACAGTTGCTAGAAGTTAACGACAATATAGCTGCTGCAAAAAAGATTTTCGCTTTACATTACAACAGGCAAATTGGAAGCTTGAACGAAGTTCTTCCCTATAGTATCAATTTCGAGTAGTCATTCTCATTTGTGATTCATTTTTGGCCTACACACTAACACTAGAATGTTGCTACCTGTAGTACTGCCATTGTTGTTGCTAAACGCCCTTACCTGCATGAGTGAAAGGAAGAATTATGAGTAGATCGCTCTTTATGTTTAAAGATGTTTTATCATTATCAGGCATATACATTGTTCCCCTTACTCGTCCTCGCATTACGCATTTCATAATCTTGATTCTTTTGTGTAAAACCTTCTGATGAAATTTGAAACCTCATATTTATACTTTTTATAGTATCGTCTTTTTCTCATTGAAAAAGTTGGTTCGTCCTGTGATGTGTAAGAAGAAGGTAAGATGACCATTCATTAGATGGAACTCATTCAAGTAGACGCCTCTTTATTTACTGAAACAGAAATAGAGTAGAATTCACTATTACTCTTAGCAGAAAATAAAAATGCCAACCTCTTCTTCTTCTTCGTCTGCTGGCGAAGGCACGGGCGCGAGTAGGTCGCTCGCGCGTTTGCATCGTGAAGCCAAGAAATTGCTGGCGGACAACTCCTTGGAGACGAACGGTGTGGAATTCGACGAGCAGAGTATCAAAGATAGTGCCAGCGATGATACAGCCGCCGCTGGTGATATTCGATGGGTTGCCTACATTCAGGGCCCGCTGCTGAGTATCTGGCGTCATGGCGTGTTTCGTGTGGATATCGAATTTCCGAAAAACTACCCGTTCGAAGCGCCACGAGTAAAGTTTCACGATCCGATCTTTCATCCGAACGTAAATCCGGACGATGGATATCTTTGCATGCGATTCCTGCAGGATCAGTGGAGTCCCACGTACCGCATTGACAGCGTGCTGCAAGTGTTGCGAGCCATGCTGGCGGACCCGAATTTCTCCGCGAGTGACATTGGCGTGGAAACCGACATGGGTCGCTTGATGGAGCAGGAGGATAAAGCACGCGGAAGTGGCAACCTTCCCGCAAAGCTCTTTCACTACACAAACAGCCAGGCGATCGAATTAATCCGCGCATCTCAGCTGCTCAAAGCGAGCGCGTCGGGGGCGCGTGGTCCTGGTGTGTACACCACTTGTTTGCCCCCGACTCTGGTAACCCAGGAGCAAGTGGTCAGTAACACTTCGTGCAAGGGCGCGGACTGGGTGATCGAGCTCGACGTACCGGCTCTGCAAGGGGAGGGCTTTGCCGTAAACAAGTGCAACCAGGGCTACTCCATCAAAGGCGCAGACCATTACCTGGTGACGAAAGGACTCAAAGTTAGTTCAACCCACGGCGGTCTTGCACAGGCAAGCTATAACTCAGTAGGCGCAGGATGGGGATCTGGAGCATCTTGCAGCGATATTCAGTTGACGCTTCGGAACAGCGTAATCCTCACGTTCGAACAGGCGAAGAGCTGCACCCCGAATATGAAAGCTGCCACACTGTTTCAGCGAACCGAATACGGAACGCAGAGACCGAAAAGTGCCAAGCAAGCGCAGCAAGACTGGGCCGTCTACAAGGCTGGTGTTGAGCGCAGCATCGAGCTGTACGGAGGGCACCGTAGCACAGCTGCCCGACAAGTGATCTCACTCGGCGATAGGGACTCTGATTTCGATAACATTACAGCAGATGTGGCTAAGTTCAAAAAGAATTTTCCTGACTTCGGCAAGAATGCAGGTGGCCAACAGGTCTCGAGCTCAACTTCTACTGCTGGTTCGGGACTCCTTGCCAAGAATGCTTTTAAAAAGTTCCGTTTTCCGTGGGGACAAGGAAGTTCTCAGCAAGCCCCAGGCGCATCATCCTCATCAAGCGCCGTAGGTGGCACGAATCCACCACATCAACATCTAGCTGGCACCGCAAATGTCAATCCTTCTGCGGAGTTTTGGGACCACGTGTTATATCAAGACGGCGCTTTGGGTTTGCCGCACGACCTCGAGAAGGACGACTGGAAGCTGAGCGACGTGGCGGAATTGGGAAGCAATGTTATAAAAGCTAGTGCACCAAGACCAAGACCAAGACCAACAGCAAAAGCAAATGCAAATGGAGTGGCAACCGCGTCGGGTTCTTCGTCCTCTGGAGCAGACGAGGCCGATAAGAATAACAACAACAACAACAACAACAACGACGACGACGACGACTCAGAAAGTAGAAGTTGTGACCACACATTCACATGTGCGATTTGCTTCGAACCCCTCGACTTCGATGAAGATGGGAATCCTCCGAAGGCGGATAGCATCGCCACACTGAAGGGCTGCAAGCATGTGTTCCACAGAACGTGCATTGAGGAGTGGTTTAAGCAAGGCAAGCTGGCATGCCCCATTTGTAAGCATGCAGTCACGGGAAAGGTCATCGGCAAGGGCCCTCGCAAGGGAACAATGAGTTGGTGTGCAAGTCGCACGCCATGTGCTGGCTGCACAGACATCGGGGGATGCGATGACCCTTGGTAGAATCTTCTACTTAAGCAAAAAATCGTTTCTGGCCTCTAGTTGACACCGCTCGTTAAAGAATATAAGTACATGGTTACACTTTTAGCAGTTGGCTCTAAGCGACAGTGGTCTCTTACAAGCACAACTTCGGCACTGAATAAGTAGAAAAACTAACAGTAATAGATCGATCCATTGATTTTGATATGAGTGATATGTTCATTCTGCTGCTTAACGCATCTTCTCCGTATCGCAGCATATTAAGTAATGCAGATCGATGATCTTCATTTATCCGATGCTATCTCAGGTGTTCCCCACGACACGGCAAGCATGGGAAGAACAACAAGTCGAAACGTGCTTTTAGCTACTATCAAAGCATCGCGGTGACATTCGATTTTCCTGCTTCCAAAACAGACGACCAACAACCGCAGCGCTACGACTCGCGCTCGGAAACTGCATGGCTTCCGTACAATGCCGAGGGGCTCACGTTGTTGGAACTGTTCAAAGTCGCTTTCCGTCGGCGAACAATGTTCGGGATCGGAACCCGTTTAACGCTGCAGACGTTCGCGCCGACGTTCAACATCCACATCAAAACGAGGCCCACAGGCGGGGCCACGTCCCACGCGTATCCGGACCCCGCTTATTTCGACAACGCGCTGGGAGAGTTGGAGACAAATGGTATTGACGTGCTCGACCTCCCGCAGGCCTGGCTCGCTTGGTTCCCACAGACGCCTTTTGGAAAACCGCTAATTCAGAAAGCTCGCGTTCGCAGAGGACTGGCCGTCGACAAAGCTGCGGAGAAGAAGGACGCCTCATCTTCTGCAGTACCTAAAAGCCTTGCTCCGTCTTCGACGTCCTCTTCATCTTCATCTGCTACTGGCAGTAAGACGGGGAATGCAGGCAGAAAAAATCGCGAAGCAATATCTCCAGCGCCAGGTGGATACAGTACATATTCAGCGTCTCATAATCTGGGTGCATCTTCATCAATGGCGCGAGCCGCTCCTGGGGGTCCATTTTGTACCAGTGCGTCAACCTTTTTCCCAGGCACAAACTATTCGTCTGCGGGGACGGGAGGAACCTTGCAAACTCAGTCACCTCGAAAAGCTTCTACTGGAGGTGCTGACCCCTCAGCCTCATCCTCCTCGGTTGGAGGAGCAGCGACGGCCGCGCCATCGAGTAGCGCTTTAGCTCCCCCGTCCACATCTAACGCCGGGCTTGGCGTGAACAGCAAGCGAGCTCCTGTATCTCCAACTCCAATAGAAGATGGTAGCTCGGTAGGCTCCCCTTCTTCTCAAGCATCTAACGCGCCTGTTGGTAATTATACGTCGGTCTTGACTGCTGGTAGGACTTTTGCTGGTACAGCATCTGCGACGTCACAACAGAATCATCAGCATCCTGCAACGAAGCGGCGTAGAAGCAACGACAGAGGCCTACCCGTTTCTCTCAGTACGACAGGCGGCCAAACAGGGTCGCTTCCCGCTTCTCCTGCTTTCGGTGCAGCGTCGAGTTCGACTGGTGCGTATGGTCCTTTGGCTTCATCAGCGTCATACTCAACCTCTCATCAATTAAATGCTGTTGCTGCAGTAGATGGAGGAGGCTTAGCCGCTTCATTGGGAGGACCTACAATTAGTTCAACAGGCGCACATCAAGGAGCTTTTAATCCGCCCACTAGAACAGCTTCGACAAATGTGAGCGCACCGGCAGCTGGAGGAGCTGCGAACACCAAAGCTCGCGATGTCGCTGACGTGACACGGTTGTCAATATCCGACGCGGAACTCCTCCTTAAATACAATAACAACGACGTGCAGCAGGCGCTTCAAGACTATTTCGGCGACCAGAGGGTAATTCAATCGTATAAACTCATGGACCAGATGGACGTGGATGATCAATAGTGAAGTAGACAGCCCGAGCCCGTTCTTATACATAGAAATAGTCTAACTAGTACGCTCATTCTTCTTGTATGTGTACCTAGTACTACATTTTGATTAAGTATACTGTCCGAGACCATGTCCATCTTCAATCTTTTTATCGAAGCCCGCTCTTGAGTTTTCGCCCTGCGAATTTCCCGTTCTTCTTGTATCCTCGAGTTATTCCAACGAAAAGGCTCTAGATCTACTGTTTGTACTGTTCATTCTTCTAACGAGCACCATCGTTCTTGCTCATTCCTCTTATATCAACAAGCATATTTTTGGATTTTATTTTTCTTCATGAGCATAACCTGAACCGAATAGAAGTAACATAGGTACTCGCAAGGCCTGTTTCACTCCATTTAATCAACTCCTTCCTACGAAGATAGCGCGTTCATATTTTTCTATGTTGAATTCCTAGCCCTACATACATAGGACGAGGAAAAGACCAATACTCGCAACTGCAGTCGCCACATTATTTATGTTATAATATAATACATTAGACTTACTCTTACAATTATTTTTTGGCACAAGAAATGAAAATGGCGGTCGATTTGTTCTCCTGTTCCGCCGACTATTAAAGATCAGGAACTGTTTCGTCATGTGAAGAGTGTTCTTCTTCCTGTCCAGGTTTCCTGATGTTTATAAAATATATTAAAGAAGAGTAGAAGAAGAAGAGCGTCGTCCTTGTCTTGTACTAGACGATCATATTCTTGTTTGCATTTGATCGTGTGAAGCTTCTCCTGTGTTCCTCAGCGTCCGCTGATTTAGTCACGGCTGTAAAGGAGAGACAGATGAAGAGAAAGCTTAAAAGGTGATCATGTTTTTACACATCGAGAGAGCGAGAGCGACAGAAAAAGTCACACGCTTTTGCATGAACTATGTATTTACTAGTCGTGGATCGTACCAATATGTAAGCAATAGAGCGTAGCCACTACTGTTCTTGATGTTAGAATTTGGACGAGAGACAACTGAAAGGAAAGAGGTCTGGTGCACGAAGAAAGTGAAAACGCGTCTGTACAAGCGGAGCGTTGGTTGAGAATCGAACGAATTACATGCGTGCAATTTGTAGTGTATCATGTGCAAGAAAACCCGTATTAAACGGATGTCCAAGGTAGTACTTGAATGAAAACTGATCGGGTTGTATAGACGACACGAACCAGACAGAGGAAAATATTGAAACTGTTGAAAGGTGGCCCCGGCTCCCCCTCGTCGTAAACAAGTACTATTATTATGTGATCGCAGATTAAAGAAGTAGGCCACGGAGGCGAAGTTAACATGCACAGGCACTCGCTTCTTGTTTGAGAGGATGTGAAGATGAGTAAGCTTCTACTTGTTAGTTCTTAATTATAAGTAACAAATTTCAATTTGTGATCGTGAGAAGAAAATTGAGCTTCATTGTCGTCGAATGCATTTTAGTATCTAATTCTTAAAAAAAGGGCGGAATTGTAGAAGAAGAACATGGGATTGGCTTCTCGATTCGCCTCAGCTGGCCGTAGCGGCCGCGTCCTCCCTCGGGTAGGCGGATTTTCACAGCGTCACGTATATAATCCGGAAGCGATCAACAACTTGTCTTCATCCTCCAGAATCCTGCAACCATGTCAACCACTTCAACGCTCTCAAGATCATCTTGTAGGAAATCGCTATGCTGCTGGGTCATCGAATTTTACTATTGATTTTGTGACGAGAAGATCTTTCGCATCTACCAGCGGCAACAAGATGAAGAACGAAGCAGGTGTAGATATTGCAGAAGGGTTAAGCGTTCCGCATTTCAGGAAGGGCGGCTCGCGGCTGATCAAAAAGGAAGCTGCAGCCGGAAGCGAGGCTGCAGAGAATCAGAATGTTGAAGTCCGTCAGGAACTGGTTCGAAAGCCGAGCGTCAAAGTATTACATACACCAACAAACTACAACTAGGAACGCCGATATTGAAGTAAAATTTTGATTTTTGGTTTGACTAAAAGAAAAATCCACGACGGACGAAGGAAAGACTGTAAGTCTGATCTGATCATAGATAAAGAAGATTCAGGGTCAAAAATACAAATATCTATAATGCTAAAATGTTTCAGCTGACGGACATCCAATATGGTCCGAATACCTATGCTCTACCGATGGTGAATCATTTGTGGACGAAGCCAGAGATAGAGAAGAGATTGAAGAATCAGCCGCAATTTCAACCCATTACGATGATGGACAAGGCCATGTACCACCTGGTGAAGACAGTTTTGTACCGGGGTTTCAACTACTTTTCCGGATTCAACTACGAGAACCCGACGGTGAAATCCTGCGAATTCAGGTTGATCTTGCTCGAGTCGATTGCGGGCGTTCCCGGGATGGTGGCAGCTGTCATCCGCCACTTCAACAGCTTGCGCACCTTGAAACGAGACCACGGCTGGATTCACACTTTGCTGGAAGAAGCGCAGAACGAGCGAATGCACTTGCTAGTGTGTATGCGCACGTTCGAAGCTGGCCTGCTCACTCGCTTGATGGTTTTTGGGGCGCAGTTTGTGATGGTGCCATTTTTGACGACTTTGTACATCGTCCATCCCCGCTCGTTGCATCGTTTCGTGGGCTACCTGGAGGAAACTGCCGTCAAAACGTACACGGACTTAATCAGATTGACGCAAACGGAAGGAACGCATTTGCACAAGAAGTGGGCTACTTTAAAAGCTCCAGATCTCGCCAAAGCCTACTGGAACCTGGACGATGATTATGACTGACACAACATTGTTAACATGAGCATTATCATTAATGTAGATGCATAATCAAAACGAGATGAAGAAGGCTACAACTGTTGAGTCTCCACTGAGTTGTTTTATCTAACCACATATGTAAAGTGCGCGTTTTGATGGTCATGACTACATGTGATCAAAAACAAAAGGTCTCTTTCAGCACTTTATACGACGCGTAGTTGATTGTTAAGTAGACTAGACATGGAGGCGAGAAGAGTTGATCTTCATCTTGATCTTTTTGATCCTTTATTCTAGATTTAGATACTTTATCATACATTTCTAATCATCTGCCATGTGGATTGAAGTATTGGAGAATTTGATGGCGGATGAGACGAACCATAGGGACGTGAACCACAAATTCGCTAACATGGATGCGGACGAACCCAACCCTTACATCGAGAAGCATATCGAAGACATCGCAAACTTCGACCAGCGCGAAGGGAAGTTTTTTGCGACTGATGCGCAGACAACATCAGTTGTTTCTGGAGAACAAAATCAAAAGCAAAAGGCGTCTTCGTAAATAAGACTGGAGAAAACTCGCGGCGCAATGAAGAAGAATAAATTTGAACTTGAACTCAATGCAGGACTACACAAATTAGCACAATTAGAGACCGATAAGGAACAAGAAACCGCGTGCAATATTGAATTGAGTGTTGGATAATTTTCCTTTCTGTTTTACTTTTCAGACTAGTACAAAAAGAAGAACAACAAGAACAGAAGCACGGTTGGCGGAACATTTACAGGCAGCATTGCTGATGCTGCCGTCCAAAGTTCCACCTAATGTACTAGAGGTATTATACTTAAAACTGAAAATGTCGATGTTGTTCGAACTCCAAGTAACAATGATCTTGTGAAGATAATATGATGCGGATTAGTTGTTGTATACTCGGTATGAAATGCCCCCGACGATCATTGGGTTTCTTAGTCAATAATTCTGCGATAACTTATGGTTATGTATGATTTTCAAAAGATAAAGATGTTATTGTTAATAAATGAACCCAATCTCAGAATTCGTTCCTACGGTCATTCAGAATAATGGCATCAGGAACGCACACATGACATGACATTGACTTGATCGCCATCCCCTTGAGTATGCCAATCTGATATCAATGCACAAACATTGAGTCCACTAAGTACAAGTAGATCCAGATCCGCAGAGGAAAACAGAGGTAGACGATTTATTGTGATTGGTCGAAATTCGGAGGAAGTAGCCCGGCTCGGCCTAGAAAGCTCTGCTGTTGTATTCGCTTCAAGGCAGCTAGCATTCAGATGATGTAGAAGCTGAAGCTCTACTGAGAGAAGATATCACCATCATGATAATTATCATTATTTTTATTTTTGTTTACACATAGTGACATGAATATGAATTGGAATGATAGCTAGTAGAAAAAGAAGTTCAAACAGACGCTGGCGCGAATTGTTGGACTCACGGTATGTGCATGCATTGTTAGATATTTCAGATGTTTAGCAGTGATGATTTTCATCTTGTTTTGTGAAGCCAAAGCTACAGTGCCACTTATCATGTTGGCCTTCCTACATGGACTATCTTCCGCTTTCCTTCAAGCAAGAAAGAGCTCGTCGGCAATCTGATGCTGGTAGTAAATTAACTGAGGAACAGCCGTTGAATGTGAAGAGAATCAAGTGTGATTAACAACGAGCACAGTTTCCTAGTGATTTAGTAGATTCGTGTACAACCGAGTCTAATGTGATCACCGTGATTGCGGCCTATCGTAACAAGTAATATCCGATTACGATTTTGCCTTGTTATAATATGTAAGCAAGCTTGGGATAACCAGCAAGAAGATGAAGATATCCATCTACCTAGTTTTACTTTTACCAGCACGGACAATTTAAGTACGTAGTTTCTTTGTTACATGATCATCGTGTCAACGACGAGGCACGATAGAATTAGCTAGATGCTCAAGGTACAGATCGCAAAGTACCAAGTAGCACTGTCGTCAACTATCGGGCTTGTCAACATAAAGAAAACGTGACAAAGAAGGCGCTCCTTCAAGATTAAAGTGGGGGCGATGGATGTTCAGGCTTCTTCAAGTACGAGTCGGGTGTCACAATACACAGCATAAATTCCCTACTGCCGTTACATGTATGTTTCTCAACGTCTAATCGGTTCCTAGACTAGGAAAACGAAACAGTGATGACAAGGAAGCTGGAGAAACTGTGTTTCATGTCGAGAGAGCTGAAAAATTTAAAATTATTTATTCTTGGTCGTGACTTCAGATGAAGGGTTATTCGCGATCAGAATAACGTTACAGCTTTCAAAATATATGACCAGCTTGATCAACATGATACAATTGACGCATCTAACGGAAGCATCCATGGACCCCGCTCCTCAGACCCCACTCGCTTCTGAAACAAAGTATATATCATTATAAGATCCGAACCGTACTAATTGATTCCATTGATATCGCCAGCTTCAAGACCAGACTGATTTTTTGCTGAAAGTAGTACCTAGATGTGAATGAGAATGAGTACGCACGACCATCATATCAGTCACCTCTAGCTTGTTGTTGTTTGTTGAGCAGCCTTCATTGCTTCGGTTTGCTTTAATAAATATACTTTAGTTGTTCGAGGTCATCTACTTCTCGTCTTCGAAAAATAGAAGATGGCGACCGCTGGTGATCAGTATGAGATCCGGACGGGGAATATCTGGAACTTCGCCCATAGGGATGACATAAAGACTGTAAAGAAATTAGTCGGTAATTTCACGAAAGCAGCATCAGCGACGCCGACAGAAACCGAACAAGTAGTCCAAGAAGTCCAAGACGTGAGGATAGACAACATGGCAGCATCAGGTTCAGGAGGAAAGCAAGATTATGACGGGGTTTATGAGGAACCCGAGGTCGACCTCACTCCACAAGATGTAAAAATAGACAGGGACGATGGCGCGGACGATGGTATCCATGATGACGGTATTCCTTGTGTCGTTGTCGAAAGAGAAGATGATGAACAAATAGTAGAGGATGATGCTCCCGCTCAACATGGTCCCGAAGAACCTAAAGCCACAACGCTCGCTGATGAGAAGCAAGGAGTAGCTGAGTCCTCGCCATACGGAGGGGCGACAGCTGCATGTAAAAACTTGTCTAATACCGCATCACGGAAGGGTACTAGCGGTCAGCACTTCGATATGCACATCTCGCCGACCCTCCAGAACAAGGTCGGTTGGACGCCTCTGCACGCCGCTGCACATGGAGGAGCGACGCGAGTTCTATCGTTTCTGCTTTTCGCATGTCGCGTCGAAGTCGATTCACCTGTATGCAATGCAGGCCGCAGCGCTCTGATGGATGCGGCGCGTACTGGACAGTTTCAGGCGGCAAAGATGCTGCTAAAAGCAAAGGCTGACCCGTCTTTACAGGATAAGCAGGGCAGAACAGCGCTGCAGCATGCATTGAAAAATCGAGCGCTTCGGGACTTGCTTGCTGACAAGATGACGCAAAGAAATCCTGGTCCTACTAGGCCTTTGAAGGAAATGAAAAACTCCAATGCTGCATCTACTTCTCCAAGCGGGGACAAGAAAGTATTTTCACCATGCAGCCGAGAAAAAGCAAAACAGGGATTTTCATGTGAAGGAACCGCGGTTGGTGGTGGAGATGATGGGGACCAAGGAAAAAGAGTTAATCAAAATAAGAAGAATCCGCCACTACGTGGACGGAAGAAGAAATTCGGAAGAAATGTGCAGAGTTCCGATGACGATGATGTGGCGTAAAGCCTGGCTCTGGCATAGCCATTATAGGTTAGTACCATATATATAAAAGGATGATAACAACAGTATATGCGCGGACCATATTGTCAATTCACCATAAATATGAACTATCACCTTGGTCTAGTTCTCTGTTGTTTTGGCAAGCTCAGGAATCGTCTCCAGTGAGTTGAATTTTTCTGAAAGCAGCTTAATACAGCTCTAATCTTCATGTTTGTATATTCATGGAATGGGTTTACTACTCCTACTAACTATATTCAAAAAGTTTAAGTTCTTGATCTGGATGTGGTTCGGGCTCCCTACAAATATCACAGCTTTTGATCATTCTCAAGCTGAAAATGCCGCGTCAATGTCAATCACAAACTGACGGAGAAGTTCTGCTACATGTATAAATATGTACCTCCAGTTCGCTTGTTGTAAAATTTTGAGTGCATCGCGTTGATCTCGATGCTTGCTCGACGGTACTTCAAGGAACTAATACATCGCACTTCATGTTGTGGATGTGGCTTCCACATCCACGAACATGACTCAGGGAGAGGTTGCGAAACAGGCGCAGCTTTGTCAGCGTTTTTTGCTGCGATGGACAGGAACTACTCACGACTCTGTGTATCTAAGTATGCATCGGAAAGCGAATTGTTTTGTGAGCTGTAGTTTAGGGCGATACTATCAGTACCACGAGCAGGTACAAATGATAACAAGCAGTAATGTCAGCGTTGTTGTAGTTGTAGAAAGTACTTTAGCAAATAATAAGAATAACTCTGTGTTGATGCTGATGTTCATCTCTGTTGCAATATCCCTTTTCCGTTCCTTTGCGTCTCTAAGTAATGAGAACATAAAAATCACTACCGAAGGAACGCTGAGTGAGGGTGACAGAAACGTGAGAGCGCCAAAGGATTATCACTGTCTATGAGCCCGAAGAAACCTCTGTTGATTTTTGTTTTCTTTTAACTAGAACTACTGGCACCCTCCAGCTCCACGCACAAGCACCTCCATACCATTGTGCCTAGCTAAATTAGATGGTTAACCAAGGGCTCAGCATCATGCAGGAGAAGCACCAGATATTTATATATTGGTCTAAAATGTTGTATACCTCCTCTACTCAAGTTCATCAACTTCGTGTTCTTTTAAAATAGATGTAGGATCCGGAGGTAGATTGCGGTGCTCGTCCTGAAGACACACCCGCACGGAAAAGGCTTCGCCTGTTTTAACATTGTTAACATTTATCATCATCATCATCATCATCATCATCATCATCATCATCATCATTGTTCAAGCTAGAGTAAAGTAACGCAGACCACTCTTTATTTACACTTCCTATGAAACGGGGGCATCAAGGAAGTTGTAGGAGCCTGTACGAGGTTAAGAAGAAACATGGCGCCTCCTTTCGTAAAAGTGGCTACAAAGAAATCATTCGTCCTACCAAGGGAGCAATGGTGGCCCTTCATAATTATGGGCATGGGGATTCCGGTCCACATCGTTGTGGGCCTTTGTGGGACGCCTTATCTGCTCTACATCTTTTATTCTGCGTTGGTAGTCGTATGCAAAGTGGTACTACCTCCAGTTCTTGGTCCTAATACGCATCACCACGAGGAGGAGGAGGATTTTAACAAGTTCTCAACTTCCTGTTGGATTCTCTTCTTTTTTGCACTCTATTGTGTTTCGTATTTTCAACCGGCGCAGTCGAGTTACCCCGGATGGAAAGGCCATAACTGGTTTTGGCACGACTTCGCGGACTATGCTAACACAGGTCGAAATTATTCGGGAACCTTCGAGATACGAAGCATGACGCGCGACTTGGTGAGGACGAAGGAAACGGAGAAAGTACAATAAATCACATTGGCCTTAGAATTCAGTAGCTTACATTGTTCGGAGAAAGTGCAATAAATATGAATATTTTACATAGCCATAATGATTATACATAGCCATAATGACAGCTATGTATATGTATCTATAGATACATCATATCACTAGTCATCATGCTATCCATGCCATCCAATGCGTATCATGCTATCTATCTGGCTATCTATGCTCCGTGCTCTCAACAACGTTAGAATCTAAGCGACCCGATGTGTGTATGGTTTTATTCTGCAGGGCGGTCCTGCGCCTGACACCAACAACCGCGCGACCAGTCGTGGCAAGGGGAGAGGTGCGACTTGCGACTTGGACTTCGAGCACGCCGGCGGAAGTACGTCCAGAAATGAGTTGGACCCAGACGGGCAATACGTATTGGCTGCGCATCCGCACGGCATTATCATTCAAGCCAGGACTTTGTGGAGAGCAAAAAACAGGTTGGAGGAATTTCTCAATCGGGAGTGGCGCATGATTGGCGCGAGTGTGCTCTTTCGAATCCCCTTGATCAGAGAGCTGTCGCTGAGCTACGGCGCAGTGGACGCAACGAAAGCAACGTGCGAGCTAGTGCTAAAAAACGGAGCAAATCTAATAGTCTATCCCGGCGGGCTAGATGAAGCAAATGCTTTGAAATCAACCTCCTGCTCCTCTTCTTCTCATTTTTCTGCACAGAACGGTTGTAGAGAAATGGAAAAAAATGTTGACGGAGGACGCGAGCGAACAGGTAAAAGCAGAACCGGGCATGGCTGTTTCGACGAAGCAGACGAGACATCACATGAGATGAAGGCGTCATCATCCTGCTCCACATCGTCCTCTTCTACTTCGAGTGAAACGATGTATCTGAAGCCACGGCGTGGTTTTGTGAGGCTCGCTGTTAGGTATGGGATTCCGGTCGTTCCAGTCTTCGTTTTTGGGGAACTGGACTGCGTCGACGCGGTGCCGCTTTTGCCAAGGCCTGTACAAGAATTTTTGCAGAAAAATTTTCGGATTAGCACCACCTGGTTCACTGGTCGCTGGGGGATGTTCATTCCCAAAAGGGTTCCATTCATGATTTGCCTTGGGAAACCCATCGAGATCACATCGACTAGCAAGAGAAATGTGGTTGGCGTCGAAAACAAGTGCAGTGCTCTAGGTACGTACTTTTGGAATATATTGTTCCATTTGAACTTCCAACTGCACACGGGAGAGGAATGTCCTTATCGTCGTCACACCGTTACAACTCGCCTTCTGATGTTTGTACTAGAACACCTAGATTGATAGTAGATGTAGATGATGGCATTCTTGGTCGTCAGGTAGCGATGGAAAGCAAGCAAAGAAAGCAATGCAAGACGAAGCAGAGGAGGCGGAGGTTGAGCGAGTATATGAGGCGTATAAAGCCGGCATAGTTGAGGTCTTCGAGCACTACAAATTGGAAGCGCACGGCTACGAAAAGAGGACAATTGAGTTTTTGCCTTAGCAAATCCAAGAAATGAAAGAGCTGTTACGCCGCGCAACGGACATCAACAAACTCCTCATCCTTTTAGTTTTACTCTCGCTCTAGCTCTACGCAAGAATTATGACGTCGGCTCGCCCGGGCACAGCTGTCCCTGGAGTGGGAGTGGCGTGGCGTGGGAGGAGTGAATAAGCGAGTTGTTGTATCTAGAGCGGTTTCACTACTTTCATGATAGTCTTCAATCATGCTAAAGATTATGTCGCATATCGGTATTACTATTATTGCGAGATTGGACACTCAGGAGGAGCAGTGTCAGAACGGATCATTCTCATGAACAGCGTAATCTTATCGGTCTGATCTTTCTCTAGCGTTTTGTAGATGGTCGGTCGTTTCATCGGTATGGGAAGGACATCTATTACAAAAAGCTGCAGGTTATATTGTCACTGCTGATGTAAAAATGAAGATGCGTTCTGTAGGTGCCATGCAAGTGAACGTGGCAACTAGATCTGATCTTGTGTGTTTCTGCTACGTTCAACTGCAGGAAAACGGGAATCGGAACAGTTTCAATCAAACCTTCTCTCCCTCACCTTCGTGCACAATTGATTGCTCACTTGTGAAAACTAGATACCCTTACTCAAGTTTATGACAATTCCCGTGTCTTCACCAAACTAGTAACTCCACGCTCTTCATGTGACATGATTCCAATTTCTTCATGTCGATGCTAGCGAAGAACAACGGAACTACAACTCCTTACTAGTTTACAGCATACTAGTGCTATTGGAATTGCTGTCGTGCTCCTCCTCGTCCTCGTGGTTAGGTAAGGTGGATGCAACTCAAAAAAGACCCAATAATGCTTGGAGGTGGTGTGCGTTCACCGTCGAGTCAGGACGAAACAAGGCGTGACCCATGCGAGAAGGACGGCAGAGACAAGCAAAGGAGTGAAGAAGAGGCTAGGAGTACGCCGCGTAAAATTGCAGTCAAAGTCGTGTTGCCTGGACTAAAGGAGGTTACTGAAGCCGAGAGTCCTGACTACACCAGTGCCGAAAGTGACCGACGATGTCGGACACAGGACGACATTACGGAAGAAGACGTGATGTTTTCTGATACAGACCACGCAGTGACCACTGCCTCTACATCATCTTCATGGAGAACGACGCCCCGAACCTCGTCAACATCAATCAGCAGCGACTCCTCAAGCGGGGCCTCGTCGATGTCCATCTCTGCAGACATAGATGACGCGCAAGAACATGAACGCCAAATGAATGTCGAGGATAATGGGAATACCGACATCATTTGCAAGGAGACCCCTGGTGCTGGTGTCTCCATCCCTCAGGAAATGTGCATGGAGATCGCAGGCTTTGCCGGTCCATTTGCTGATATTTTGGCCGAAGTGAGCAAGGACATGCGGAAAGCAACACGACCGTTGCGTCGCTGGAGAACATGTACTAGAACGTTGTTGTTCATGTTCATGTTCTAGAATTAGAATCGCGTTTAACTGATTAAACGTTGCCGTGAGCTAGAGGAGCGCTGCACGCACACGCTCTACAGCGTACGTATGCACGTAGCCCTGCTTGTGCACCTGCTCTATTCATGCCTAAGGTTCGAACTAAGAAAGTGGGGAGATTAAGAATGAGCGACGCGATCCTGTTGCCGTGATCGGCACCGGCATCCAGACGACTGACAAGTCCGTCGCCACCGTTCGCAGATTGTGCAATCGCGCTCCGCAAAGGCAGAAACCGGCCGGAACCAGTCTGCTCAAGGAGCAGCCCGAGTGAAAAACTCGGGCATCGTCGATCATGCTCCATTTGTTTTACTGAAAAACTGCGAATCTCGGAACGAGATGCGTCACCTCACTCCCGAGCTCACCAATTTCAAAAGGACCGCCCAACAAACCATCCGCCACTTCTTGTAATGAAATCCGCCAAATATTGTCCAGCACTGGATCCTCTAAGTATAGTCCTGGTTTCGGTCTAGTCAGAAGCCTAGCTTTTTCACATCGCCGGACCAAATCTGGAACGGAGTCGCCTGCCTCTTTCGCCTTGCGAAATGGCCACGACTTCGGGCAAAAGACGCGCGCACCACAGGTGCCTCCCTTCAAAACAAGGCTCCAGGCTGTCGGATCCTCGGGGTGAAAGAGCCCATTATTTAAGTCTCCGCAACAGCTTGCTCACGTTCTTAAAGCCCAGGACTCTACTATCCTCGAAATCGATAGCCCTCCAATCATCCGCAGAGGATGCTGGAGAAAAAGACTCTGCTTCAAGTTCATCTAACATCGCCCGCCCTTCTTCGAGTGTGCTAGAAGTAGGCCGAAGCCGGCGGATGGTCTCCAAATTTGCCGGATCAGTGACGTACTCAGGAGCGCGCACCTTCAAGGCTGCCACATCATTCAGAATCCTGCCAGTGTAATCCTCTGCCGATCGCACGGCACGCCTCAAAGCGGCCCTTTCAGCTTTGATGGACTTCACATTCTTCCCGCAAGCCTTTTTTTTTTTGAAACTCAGCTCTCTACTCGATAAAGTGAAGACCTCTCACTCTCCCGACTCAAAACACCAGCAGAGCTCATCGCTGGACATTATCTGCAACCAAATAACTTATTGAGAAAAGAGACAACGAGTGCTAATGGCAAGGAGGCTGAGCTCCAGCGACTTGCTCTGCCGTCGGAAGCGTAACGTCAGACCGCAGTCGTGACGCTGGCGAGCCTTCTTAAAGCAAAGCTTATCGCCCCCACATCGAAGCTTTATATCGGGTCACTTCACGCTAAGGCCCACCCAGAAGAGGCTCCTAGCCAGGAGCTAGCCTTATTTTTCAAGAAAACAACCACGCTCCAACTGGAGCTAAGTTCCGGGGTGCTCTTCCTTGCCATGAGCACCCTTTTGAACAAGTTTTAGGGGCTTACTCAATATTTCTATTCGGAACTTAAGTGCAACTTTTCCATTTTCATAAATTCTGAAAGCTCCTTCTTCTAGCACAAATACATAGCAGTTAGCACGACTAGCCACTTCCTTGTTGTAGAAGTCCACACGTGCTCCTCACACTTGCTCGTACCATCAAACTCCGCTGTCTAACTATCATCAGGCATCGACTGTAGCACTGCATACCGTGAGTGCGACCAACAAGAGGGAATGGGGCGGCGAGCTCGAACCGGGTGCCCCTATCATACTGGAAAACCAGTTCAGTGGACATGGGAAGGCGAAAAAATGCCTGGCTTTCAATGGGACTGCTGTCCGCATAGTTTCGTTTTTATGGCCTCTAGAAGACGCTTCGTCTTCCCTGTTCGTTGTCTCCGACCAATACTTCTTGCGGAAATCATTTCTTTCTCCCTCAGATATTGAGTAGTAGAGAATTTCGTTCCTCAGATTGATTCTTTAGATTTGCTTTTGCCACTGCTAGTTAACTACTAAGTAGTTATACTTATATTTATATCTATTGTAACTCAATGCAGCAACGTCTCTCTTGTCCCTTTATTATTGCGTTTCATTATTGTTGACCCGGATGGGTTCGGCATGGAAGACGAGTCTCCTGCCGACGGAGAGAGGAAATACAAGCTAGATGTTACCTCAATTCGCGGTTGCGCTCTGAGGCGACACAAAGACGCCGCAGAGGCATCTTCTGAGGAGGCAGGAGCTGACGCAGTCTTGGGCATTCCGTCGGCGGCCGTGTATATCCCGTCACAGGATACCTCTAAAAATGGGCGACGAGCACTTCGCAGACACATGACGACTTGCTAGTTGTGCTTGCAGGACGCCAATATAAGCTCAGAAGTAGACATGCACACTGCTTGGAGGAGGGTAAAGACACAAAGCGGTGGAAAACTTAACGAGCTGGGATTTAGTAGTCAAAATCTACGTAGAAGTGTAAGCAGGTGACATAGTTGAGAGGGTCCAATTCCAATTTATTCCATGCAGCGAGTGAACAGAGCGTCTTCACAGTGCATAGAAACTGATTAAGTAAACATGGAGCTGCACCACAAGCACAAACTTGGTGAGTGTATGCAACATTGATCGGTGGTCTTGTTAATATTATAATAGAGTTAGGTTTTTTTTGACCCATATCGGGTCGGGTTGCTCGAGTTGCTCGAGTTGCCAACCCAAATTTTTTGCGCGGCGCCCTTCGGGCGCAGATTTATGACCCTACGAGAGACCTTAACAGGAGCGCACGACACGACCACGCGCCGCGCCGTAGTTGCATACTGATGGCGGCGCGCTCGTGTATAATTCCAATACCAATTTAGCAACCTCCTCCAGTATACTTACTGCTATGCCCAAGACTGGACACGTCGCCCGCTGAAGCCAGCAGGCGGAGACTCGCTCTCAGCCCCCAAGTAGATTGGCCACGCTCGCACCCGAAGAAAAATAAATGGGAGAGATCGCCAACGACTCGGAGACGACAAACAACAGCGCCACTCACCTCAAAGAAAAACAACAGAGAGCAGGGGCCTGCGCTCCTTGTTTTCGCTTCAAACACGCGCCCGCACGCTACAAAAGGAGAGCCCGAAAGCCTGCCGAGCCCTTCAAACGTGGCTGCCCCTTTCATGAGCAACAACAACACAAAAGAAACTGCGCTCTTCTCCATTTCTTCACTTAGAGCGCACGGATGCCCCTCCATACCGCCCGGCTTCACCCCATTTTGCTGGGTCAGGATTCTCCTGGCAACCCATGGCAACCCGTTCCAGATTTGGAACCCCTGCGCTTCGGCAACCCGAGCAACCCGTTGCAACTCGAGCAACCCGAAACCCGTCATTTACCTTACTCTATTATAAGTATGTTGATGGAACTTTTGATTCGTAACGCCGTGTGCCAAAGATAGCATTATTACAAGATGCAGTGCATCGAAAAGTCGACGCATCCATAAAAATAACTGGTAATTTATCATTGGACGAAAAGCACTAGCACTAGCACTGTTGAAGCATATACCCATGTATACCTTCTGTATGTATATCACTAGTTGAAGTTGTAGACTTGATTTTATATATAAATTTGCTTGAGTGTATTGTTGTGTAGGGCTGGAGGACTTTTTGAGCATTTCCGCACGAAGTGAAAGTGAAGATACATCACCTTGATGATGGCAATTACAGACTTGAGCAACAGGGCGACACTCGTTGCCACAAACTTTCATCCGCGTTGATCGGATTGGTCTCTCTTGGTGCCAATGGAATAAGTAGAATGAAAGAAGCTCAGCTTGACAGTGAAGAGACGCGTTTTGCACTCCGGTGTCTGTGAAAGCTCAAATAGAGCAACTACAGCTGGTCGTTTTCAAGCTCGCCCATGACCTTTCAAGCAACTACAGATGGCTCACCCAAGACCTTTTACAAGCTTGAATCCTTATTATTTTCAGTGGGGTCATCATTTGATGTTGAAAGCGTCTTGTTCCTCGTTCGAACATTATCATTAGCCGGCTTTCCTACTTGTACTTCTCTATTTTCTTTTTTACTCGGACTACTTCGAGCGTTGCTTCCTTCATCTTCTGACACTTCCGTCGTGGCTCGCACTTGACCCTCCACCGTAAATTTCGGCGATACCGAGAAAATTTGCTCAGCGTACCAGGATTTCTCGATTTCCAGCAGATCGTTGTGTCCCGCAGTAAGACTCATTTTGAACTCCGGCGGTGGCCGGCCAAGTTTTCGCATGCGCTCTTCCACTACCGCATGCACCCTCTTGCCATGGTGGAACTCACAGATTTCGTCGTTCACTCCGTGAATTAGCGCGATGCGAGTCTGCGGTGGAAGACGTGCCGCGGCCCGCAGATTATTCCATCTCTGTTCCGGTGGTGTGAGGCGCTCGTATACGGAGACATTAGAGGCAACTTGAACTTGTTTCTTCCATCGTGACTTTATCCTTATCGAACACAAGAAAGTCGAAGTATTACTTCTTACACTGACTTAGTTGCCCTATCAAGTAAATAACCCGCACCTTCTGTCTTTCATCTTGTCAATCAAGCAGAACAATGAGGTGCGGTTTTTCCCCCTAAATTGAGTGATTCCTCGGAGGACAAGAATAGACAGACGTCGGAAGACACTGAGAAAAAGAAGCTAGCCTGTGGCGCTTAAAAAAAGGGAGGTAACCCAGGGCAGGCAGAAGTTGTGGAAGCAATTTCTGTCCTACGTGAGGGATGCTCATGAAGGGCGCAGACAGAATCAAGTTCGACAATACCGCTCCGCCTGGTTTCCGCGCTTCGCTACTAGCGTAGTGGAGAAGGGCAGCGCATCCGATGCTGTGTCCCAAACCGTTAAATATCAGGTCAAGTCCGCTGCCTTTACTTGCGTCTGTGTCCTATCATGGATTTGAAAATTTGAAGTCTTTCTCTCGACGACAAAATGCCACATTTTTAGAAATACAACATGATCAGATTTACAACTAGACGCGATTCAAGCCTTAGCATTGGTTCGTATAACTAGTTAGCACAGATAGAAATCATTTCGTTGGAGAAAATAGAGGAAGTGGGTTTCCACATGGATCCAAGAGATGAAACAGGCGGACGCTGCTAACTTCATTGACAAGATCGATACGAACTACGGCTGTCATCCTCATTTTCTTCAAAATTTTGATAGTTGAAAAGGATAATACAAAGGACCGTACTGCAGCATACGCGCTATCGTCGGCTTTTCTTAATATTCCATTGTGCTTCTCTCGAATGCTATTGACGACAGCCTGAGTTGTCGCTACTATTGTCTCGCTATCTGGTGCCGGCGCATCGTCTGCTCCAGCGGACAAGCCATAGCTTGGGTAGTCGATTAGAATGAAGGCGGGGCTGTCGCCTTCAATATCTTCGCGTCTGGGGCGTCCTTCTGACCATGCTTTCACCAACGACACCCACTCAAGAGCGACCATAGCGTTGCCACCATACACAAGCCAGAAATTTCGTTGCTTCCTTGTTGTATCCCAAAAACCTGAGAGCAAATGTTGTTTTGACGTATCCAGCTCCATCACCATCGCTCTTCAGGTAAGAAGTCGTGTACATGTACTTCTACTTACATTGAAATATTATACATCAGCAATAATGCCGCGTATCCATACGAGCAAGAGAGAAGATTTACCACGCGGATGCAAAATGAAACAGCTTTCCCACTTCCGTGGACCGTACGCGTGGGCTTGCAGGGTGTATCCAGGCCAGAGGTCTCCCGCGCTTAGCCATCTCTTTACGAGTTCGTCGTTGTATGGCCGCGGCATATACATCAAAGCAGAGACAAGCTTGCATGGTAACACTCGCAAGAAAAAATACGTCGACGCGGCCATCGCGGCCACAGCCAGCGCTGTCCGCTTGTAGTTCCTTCCGCCAGGCGCATTCATCTTTGACACAGAAGTCCAAATCCTTCCAATTTAGAATGGCGAATGGGCATGAAGAAGATGGTGAAGACGTTGTATACGTAAAAACTTCCTTGTGAATTACATTAAGAGCACGACTAATGCACGCCGACCAACTGTAGATGTAGTTCTTGTAGGCTGTATTATTTCTCCAAGAGCTTAGTCGGAAAACGTAAGTCGAACGTCTCCCGTTTCAGCCGAATATACCGTCAATACTTTTCCTTATCCTTTTAGGTTAGGTTAGGTGCGGGTCCACTAGATAAACCAGCAGACTTCAGTGGCTACTAAATAAATGAAAACTACGTCGATCGTAGCACGTATCAGTGGAGAAAAAATTTGTACTCTACGAAGTAACTAAAGGCTTCTGAAGCCTGGCTTTGTAATTGACCTGTGAGAATTATATATACGGATAGTGTATCTACTTCTACCCCAAGAATACCTGCATCAACGGAGAGAGACGAGATCTTTGATGGAGCAAATACCCTCATCAGGAGCCGATCTCGATGAACGACCACTGAAAAGCCTTTTCTGGTGCGCTTTCTAACGTGATAGAGCTCAGAGTTTTTGGTTGCGCTGACGCGTAAATCCAGCCGCCACGCGAGCACAAAGCAAGGAAAGGTTGCGTGACCAGTTCTAGGTAGATGACTGAGTCAGCGTTTTTTAGTATTTTTCCCGCAGTGCGGGACCGAAGAGCCGGCATGATCACTTCTATGCATTGAATCTTACAACCATTTTGTTTGCTAAGGAAAATCAATGCAACAAGACGCACTGCTGGGTCGTTTGTTAAAGAAAGTATCTACTTCGTTTCTTTTTGTTCTTTGATCCCATACATCGAACGATCATAGTAAGCTGGTTGTTGACCATTTGTTGCTCAGTCCTCTATGTATCCGGATAAAAATCAAACTTGATGAGTGACGTGTTGAATAAAACTAACATGTTGGATTGATATGGTGGAGGCGTGATATAATCATGTTCGGTTACCAGTGAGTGACGGCATATTTTCAAACACATGGTCATATGTTGTAGCATTTTTCATTGCATTCTTTATGATGAAGACGAACTAAAAATACTAAACTTTCCAAAACCGAGATACAATTACAAGGGGACACGCATTTACAAAATACAAGCTAGTACTAGAGTAGAGTTGCATGCAGAAAACTTAATTTTTGATTGATTTTACTTCGAATTTGAATCTGAATGATGCACTGCCAAACTCCAGGACATACTTGCAAACTAAACCTCAGATCTTGTCAAATATCTGGACGTCAAAATTTCGAGGACTAACTTGATGAAGAAGAAGAAGATGCAGTACCTATATCCATGACGACTGCGAGATCAACGGTTTCTCGTATATGAGACATTGAAGACACCTACAACGCCTATAAGAAAGTATAATATCAATCAAAAATCTAGGGCATTACCTACAACCTAGTACCACTGCCGCAACATTAAATTGAGGCTGAGCTTGAGGACAGGCTGCACAGACTTTTTTGAGGAGGAACTACGTACTGAAGAATTTTATATATTGGTTTTTCAAAAACTGCAACCGGCGTGCGAGTGAAGGTCTGGGTGCGAGTGAAGGACTGTAACATTGATTCTACTTCTCCTAGATACCCCCTCTCAGCTTCATATTTGTCGGTCGGTCGAACTTGAAAATAGAATGAGGTATTTAGATGCATATTCATTGTGGTTTAGTTTCATGAATTCTGCACAGTAATAGCTACTTCGCGTTTTGTCCTTCATACATCCTCTCACAGCGAGGAGAAGGCGATGCAATACTAGTCAACTACATGCACATGCTGTTCGAGCGGCCTTCATTCTATATATGTATCTATTTTGTTTCCATACATTGGCATAAAAATATGTGGCTTAGTACCTTTACAACGAATGTTGATCGATGATCAAAAGTAGTACACCCAAGAAGGTGACAATGATAAAAATGTTCATCTACTTCTTGCATTACTAGGTTGCTCAAGGTCATGCTATTCATTGAAATATTAATGTTAATCTTCCTTAGAAGCGTGTCTTAATATTCTTTACAGTGGTTGTGTCTTAACCCCACTGTATACTATTTCTATCTAATTTACTTTATGTAGTTGATGTTGTTGAAAAGAGTACTTGTGATTGTGTTAGTGTTTGTGTACTTGGGAGTAGGACATATTCCACATCTCAGGTCCTCTTCTGTGGGATCTCTATCGCCGAGAAGAAGTCATGAGGACACAGGAGTTTTCAGCCCTGCCCAATATGATTAGTTCCTGCTCCAGGAAAAAGTAGAAGGCCAGTTCCCGTTGTCGATGCATTCGATGACGTGCTCCGCAGCGACACTACGGACGTCTTGGAATCTGCGGAGGCTAATGTGTGTACCCCTTCTCCTGTGAAGAGTACAGCGGACGGCAAATCACCAGCCCGACGGGGTGGACAGATTGCTGTGGAGCTGGGTCGCTCATAATGATCTGTCGATCCCGGTGGGCTAGCAGAAGGAGCGGCCGCACTTGGCGACCAATGTTAGCGCTAAGTAATAGATTCTTCTCTTATCCTGACACAAAGTGAAAGCGAATGTTTCTATGCTAGAGGAGCCACGCTTTGTTCGCACGCTATGGAATTTCTATTTCTCTTGCTGCTACTTTTTGCGATTGCGACCCTCCATTTTACCCACACCGTCAAAATGATGATCATCAACATGATTTACATTCATTTATTTAAACATCACACACGCACAGGTTTGATCGATGTTACTCAAGATGGTGAAAAACTGTGCCCTTAACAATAGCCTGAGGCCTTTCGCCATTCCCGTGGTGTGCGTGACTGCCGAGCTGTCGGTGAGTCCGCGACGCGGCGCGTCGCGACCTTATCATACCGTTGCGCAGAGTTCTGGAGGCCACTGCGCGGAACCTCCGATAAGACCTCTTGCCCGCGCGGGGAGCACACATGCACTACTTCATTCTTCAGTCCAGTCGAGTCTTCTTCCATGATTTGTTGTGTTTCATCCACTACCGCTGCCACTTGTTCGTCCTCTACCAAATCAGAAGAGTGTGCGCCGCGAGTTGTCGTCTTCTCCATCACTGCGCTCGCAGCAGTCGCTTTTTTCACGCGTTGTACCAATTGCATGCCAGCCAAACCCAGCGGGGGGACACCCGAAAGAATCGACGCTCCCGGAGTCAATTGTGTTCCGATCATGCCCTGCACTGCAACTGGGCCCTTTGAGGAAGTTGTCTGCAAAAGTGGCCTACAATCCTCTCCTCCCAAAGACACGGGTGACACACTCTTTGATCCGCCAACAAGCCCACGAGAGTCGGATCCTAGAGATGCAGACGCACTGCTTGAATGGAATAGCGTTCGGGCTCCTGTCGACAGCGGACGCGTTTTCAATGCAAAGCGTGGACCCAGAGGAATAATGCCACCAGTCCCCTGCCTCGTTAAGCCCACACCATTCGTGGCCGCCGCATTTTGGCGCAACCTTCGTGAATCTTTATTAGAATTCGAGCCATCAATCATGAAAATTCCCCTTGAACAAGACTCCTCGACAACCTGTAGTAGAGAGAAAGCAAGGTAGAATGAATCTTAAGTTGTTCAGTCCTTTTGTCTGTCTCCGAAGGTGGGTGGTCCCCTAGTCCAGCACTGCTTGTTTTTGATGCATCCGACGATTTTTTACTGCGATTCGAAGATGCAGCGAGAGATGCCTTGGAGGACCTGGAACGACGATGCTCGTCTACGTCTTCTTGCCTCTGTTTTGCGTACTGCTCTCGCCGATTTCTATGATTCTCGTCGCGGACGAATGTTTCCAAATGCCGTGTCTTCGCGTACTTCTTTTTCTCTGAGTTTGTGTAGACGTCGTCATCCAACATGAAGTAGTCACTGGCACCACCTGGACTCTCTCCTGCTTTCGGGCTCGCGCATGATGTTATCGCGCCATGCCCATAATTACCATGTTTTTGAGGATCAAAATCGAAATCTCCAACGAGAAAAGACGAGGACGAGTGGGGTATTTTACCTCCATTCTCACGAGGACTTGATTCCGGCGAATTCCTCCCGCCTATTCCGGAAATTAGTGCGCGCTGCAGAGCGAGTGCGCCTGGAGTCGGCCCTCCTTCACAGGTCATCGAGTCGAGCTCGTGCGAATAGCTTTTTTCTGAAACCTTGTCGGTTGCGATGCGCACTGTCTTCACCACACCGGGTGGCATTTTCAGCCCTGGCATTGCCGCCCTGCTGTCCACGGAAGAGGCCCGCTGCTGCCTCACAACACGAACAGGCTTCACGCTTTTTGTCTCTCTGTCTGCAACATGCTGTGACTTCTTTTTGCGTTGAAGTTGAACATGGTTCACATTCGTCTTCGTGGCAGTAGTGCTCGATGGGTGATGTTCTCCTCGGCGATCATCACCCTTCCCGTTTACTGCACCGATTGCTATAGAGTTGCTTCGTGTAGATGTGGCTGTGCCTGGCCCTGGCACCGAGTTGTATCCTTCTCCAAGTGGTACAGCTACAGGCTCAGCTCCAGGATCATGGTAGTTGCCTTTTTTCTGCGGTGATACAACAGGCGACAGCTCAATCGTTGGATTTCCACTTTTTGTTGGACTAGGTGTGTCACCGACCATCGTTCCGCGGACGCGAGTTCCTCGGGCGGTAGTGCGGGATGGGCCAGTTGTAGCGCCTGTTTTTGCTGGACTGCGTTCTGTCGGTCCGTCGCAAGAAATATTAATAGTGGCTCCTGCATCGTCTAGTGTACTGCTACTGGCACTTGCCCAACTACTAGAACTATGCTGATTTTTCATGTATTTTTGACGAGGACCAGAGGTTGCGATGGACAGTGACCGTGGGGATTGAGGTGAAGAACCACTGACCGGACTAGTCGAGGAGTAGGTAATGCTGTTCTGTCCCAAAGCGCCCGCGCCCCACTGTACCACGACGCGAGCGGTAGGACCTCCTGTGCGACCGGAGCAAGAGGACGAGAGACTCGATGCGCTGCTGGCTCGGTTATATCCTCCATGCTGCACTCATGAAGATAAAGCGAGATGTTGTTGTACGACAATCTCGTACTGTTCAAAGAACCATGGCCATGCGTGATCGACTTTAATCTAAAATAATGGAAATGGACTGGACTGATTTTGTCAACTACAACATCTCGAGTACGGGTTTCGAGTGCCATGATGACGATGAGTATGAGCCGAGCTAATAATATGAATGTAAGAAGTTCTTAGTACTCTTACAGTAGAAATATCCTGTCGTAGGCCTAAGGGTAAGGAGGTTCTTGGCAACATACTGCTTGCTGCTGTGCCCATGCCAAAACTGGAAGGCGGACCCACGCTGCTGAAGCTGCCCATAATACCCATCGAGGATCCCTTACTGAGATTCAGACTCCGGTCAGCGGCAACTACCAGAGACGGCACAACATTAGCAGAGGCAGGCGCTCTTCCTTCCTCATTATTTGTCGTTGCCATTGAGACATTTGTTGCCTTCGAGTTCGACGATGGACCGGAGCGCGATGGCACGACGACCGACGCTTTCGACGAGGGCAGCAGAGAAGGGGCATTGCTGTTCAGCTTTGCCGGGGCAAATCGTGGGGTGGCCAGTGCAACGTGCGGGGAAACGGTCGGCTTCGTCACGTCATATGGCGTATTCGCTTGGGCTTCGACTACACTTTCGTTCACTAGCGGCTTCGATCTTGCCTCGATGCACTCCTTGCTCAGATTCTTCAGTGTTATTGACTTGATCGCGTCCACTTTCTCTGTCACTTAGAGGTGACATCATTTCATTCCTCATCCTCCCGCCGTACCTACTTACAACATTCTCTTCTTTACCTTGCTTTTTGTTGGAAGTGCAAGTGTGACAGCAAAAAAGGAGTGCCGAACGATTGATGTACTTCTGGGGAATGCAAAGTTGTAGACCTTAATTCAAGTTGTCGACCTCGGGTACAGCAAGCTCCTTCGTATCTGAATACTTCTTGGCTCGAAGTACTTCGTCCGTCAACAGCCTGTAAACAAAGTAGAAGTTTGATTGAAGCCTTGTTCTAAGTTGTACTGGTATCTATTGACCATAATTCTAAGTGTTGGGCTGAGTGATCTTGTGTAATGAAAGACGAGTTCTCAACTCCAGTGGCTACTTTTGGTTATGCTTGATAGTCTATCACTCGGCCATCTTGCTCTTCTATTTAGACGGTACAGGACGGCTGAACGGCCTCAATAACGTTAGTCAAAACGTGACGCGAGGTATCATGGCATGACTTCCAGTACAAAAAAGTATGTGCTGGAGGACGAGTACTATTTCTCGGAAATAGGGGACACAAGTTCTGGTGAGGTAGATGTACTTTGGCTCTTCTGCGGGCTTGCTAGGTGCGTAGTGGTCTTTCCACAATGGAAACTCCTGTCGCGGGGTCTTAATCGTGACGTGCTTTGACAAGTCTGTTGCAAATAAAAGGCTCGTTTCATTCTTGCCACCCTTGCCCCCGATTTTTTCTCCTGCTACTCCTGCTTTTGGTGCATCTGATTCTGATGGTTTAGTAGTCGCAGCCCTGCTGCTTGATCTTGCGGTGGCTACTCTAGCTGCTGGAGGGCCGCTTGGCGTTGCATGATTGTTGTAGGAACTCGGTTGTACAGTTCCAATCGAAAAGGGCTTTTTACCTTTTTTAGATGCGTTAGAACTGGAAGTCGTGGTCGTCACAGCAGCTGGACCCGCAAGCAAAGCCTGTTGTTGTCTCGCTCTCTCGAGAGTAATGTTCTTGCCGAACGTCTTCGTCGCGATATCAAGGGTAGGAAGCTCCTCGCTTACGACCGGAATTTCACCTTAAAATGGAAAATATACGCTTGGTTGTTTAACATTTGCCTAGAAGATGAAGAAAAATAATGCAGAAAAGACGCTGTTGATAAGTTAGTGTACTGTAGTGCTGGATCATCTTGATGTGCTTATGCTCTACCTGCTCTAACTTTATCGTTAGATTACGTAAAAGCAATTATTCTATTTCCAATAGCTTACTGATCCGTTCCTGGAGCTTCTCGTTGTGAGCTTTCAACTGGGCGATTTCTGCATCGGCCTCTTCTAGGCGCTGGCGTTCCTCTTCCAGAAACAGTTTTTCAATCTGCTCGTCCGAACCCGCTAAAGTTAGAGCTACAACAGTACTCGCACCTCTAGTAGCATGTTCCCTCTGCCCAGCGGCCGTGCCCGTTTTTGCTACAAAGGAGTAGCTACTTGAACAAGATATTACCAACGAAGCATGACGCTGAGAATCAATGAATCCTAGTCAGGGTAGCCCTAATAGAGACCCGTCTGCGTTAAGCAGAAGTCTCAACTGCTTCATCCGTGCTTCCAGTTGCTCTCGTTTCTGTCTTGCAGCGCCTTCTTTTTGGGAAAGTTGCGTCTCTTTCTCGAGCAGACTTTCCTTCTCGGTTTGGCACTTACGCACGCTGCGCTCTTTCTCCGCGTCCTTTTGGGCAAGCAGTAGCGAGAGCTTTTCACGCTGCAAATCCAAACGCCGCGCTTCCGCTTGCCCGACTTAGCGCTGCGTACTGACAGGCATGGGCATACACCATTTCTAAGTATACTTTTATCAAAATCCACGAGGAGGACTCCTGCCAATAGAGTTCTGTCCTCCGAGGGCTTCTTTTGTAATTTATATTTGTAGAATTAAAGCACAGGTGTTACAAACAAGAGCAGTGTGCCGACGTAGGTACTGCCAGCCGATTCACAACCTGAACTTGACCAACAAGAACAAGAAGACATAAAGATCATGAATAGATGGGTCACAACTTTATTATATCACTATGTATATTTGTAGAATAAAAATAATGCCAAGCCATGGAGGAGGAGCAAATGGATATTATCGCAACCTCTGCGCCTTGATCTATCATACCAACAAATACAAACCGACACCTTGGCTCCTAGGAAAGAGATTCTTTTTGCAAGTAAGTGAAAGTGTTGCACGAGAATACGCAGGAGATTGAAACAGACTCTATTCATCTGTACAACTACAGCAACACGCACGCACTAGCCCTACTTTCATCTTACTACTTAGTAGGTGCACTTTAGTGTTTCAGATGAAGATCAAGACAGAGGCATGTGATTTTTCCATGATGTATATAGATACAAGCCATAGTCAGCACGGAAGGCAATTTCTGCTTTGCGAATCTCGTCCCCAACTTTCTTTTTTGCCAAGGCTTGTCTTTCCTTCTCATAATCCGCATCTAGCGATTGCCGAGCCCGCGCGTAGTAATCCTCCTTGAGGTTGATGCTTCGCCTATTCAGTGTTAACTTAGAATTAACTTAGATGATGTTGATGACCTAAATGAAACAACTATTTGGAGGAGTAGTCGCATTTGGATACATAAGGAAGGACAACATCGACAACGGGGGTACATACAAAAAAGCAACGACAGATACGAACCAGACGACAGAGTTGACTACACCTTCAGAATCAGCACCTGCTGTATACATAATGTTTTCGAAAAATAACAAGACGAAGACTGTAGATAATATTGTAAACGGATGATAATTCCTGCACAACAACAAGCTGTATGCTTAGCGGACCCCCTACCTGCTGTTGAGGAAGAAGAAGCTGCAGAGCACGGCTGGGGCGCGTGGCTCTTTCCCGAGGCAGTAGCGTCGGTAGACTCGGCGCCTGAGCCGGTCGTTGCTGTGTCTATTCCACCGAGAACGCCACCTGCATTTTTCGAGGATGTTGATGTACTGATGTTGGAGCAATTTGAAAGCCTTCTACTCGGCGGAATCAATGCTGAAGAAGAGCTGTCCTCCTCTCGCTCTCGACACTGCCCTTGTTCACATTGTTCCCCTGTCGTTTTTTCTAGAGCCGCGCTTGGTGATCGTCTAGAACTAGCGGCCATCGGTTTCTCGTTCTTATCACCTGCGTAGTTAACTCGACCTCCCTGCGACTGCACGTCTCTCTTGATCTTGTTTTTGCTTGGCGATGATGAAGGTGTTCCCCTAGTGATAGCGCGATTATTTGCCTTTTTGGGAGAGGCAGTCTCAGATTTTGGACGTGCCTTTACTATTACACTGGTGACCTTCTTAGTTCTTTTCGCCTCCTGTCCTCGTTCTTCTGGTGGGGCAAAACTTCTAGTACCAGTTGTACTCGTTGCCAAACTAGTATCATTTACTTTTTCTCTTTGCATTGGCATTGGGCCAGTCGAGGTAGTCGCGCTTGAAGAAGATGTATTCTTGGTGGACGTGGATGTTGACGCATCTTGTCTGTTTGATGTAGTTTGTATCACTGGCTCATGCGGTATCTTCATTTTTATTATCGTTTCTTTAATATTCTGGGTCTGTTGCAGCGCTGCCGACCAATTCTTGAGAGCGCCGCCTTCAAGATTTTTCATGGGTAGTGTTACCGATATCCGGCTTTTTGGATCGAAAACACGAGGAGTTGCGACGGCTAAGACACTAGCGCTGTACGGCTGCCAAGAACTGGAGGGGATTTTCATAAATCAGTGTCAATGTCAATGTTGCTCTTTCTTCTTGTCTTCGAAAAAATTATGCTCAGCATTAGTACAATGTACTACCTCCAAACTCAAACATGTGCATAATTCTATAGCTGGAGATCTAAAAAAATAAACTGTCTATCGTAAGTATATTTATTATATATACGTAACTGATCTTGTAGTGGAGCTACGTATCTTATCTTCAAAGTCTCAACGAGCAAAAAGAAGATACAATTGATATCGAGGATACCTCTGTTTGTGCCGGACGATTCCTGTCGTAAGGTTTTTTTCCGGAAGCGCTCGCGGACTTGAACTTGTAGGTGTTAAAATTAAAGGTTGCAAGATTACACTTCTTCGAACACCTCGTCCATATCAACGACGACAAGGACAACACAGGAAACACTATCTAAGTACCTCGATCAGTCACCCTTGCAAAACGGTCACGCTCACGGATGCTTTTGGATATAATGTAACTCGATTACCCTTAATTGAAGTTTTTCTCGTTGAGGTTCCGTTGTTGGCGCGTCAGGTGGGGCGTCCGAGGTAGTTCTCACTGACGTCGCCGTGACACTTTTTACTTTGTCGGCTCGTCGCTCGCTCTTCTGCTTTGAGGGACTAGACCCACTGTTGCTACTGCAGCTGCTGTTTCGTTTCTTCTGCGGCAAGGGCGGGCCGAAGACTAAGGGGTCCTTCCCTTTTGGCCCTTGAATGATGATTGTTCTTGCTATTTCTAACGCTACTGCTAGTCCTGCTATTGCAACAATAATATCATGAGTCTGACGTCCTCCTGCTACTTAGCTCCGGCATCGGCTGTTGAAGAAAGCCTCATGTTCATGGTTGCTTGTCAACGTAAAGGTAAAGAAATCACGTTGGACAGAAATAACTACTTGTAGATAACGAAATCGAAGTGCTGCTTTCGCCAGAGACTTCGAATTACAGTGGTAAACCTTCAAGAATGTTCAAATCTCATGGGTTATTTGAGAGGAATATCATCAAAAGCGAACTTTAGTTGTAAGAGATCATACTTATTAATATTTGGAGTAATCGTGTCGTTCTGCATTGATTTACTGGTTACCTGTTACTTCTGGTTTGTCTTTCCAAGCGTGACAGGGCATTTTTTGAGCTCGGACGGTCTCGGTCACAACAGCTTCCAACGAAGCGATGCCGCCTCGTTTATCGGTCCCTGCCTTGCTGTTGTTTCCTCCGGCGACACCTTTCGTGGCAGGCCCCGACACGCGGCTCAGGGATGGCCCCAGAGTCGCAGAAGGTCCCGGAGTCACGAAATATGCTGGGATCAGCGGATTTCGGTCCTGACGACCAACGCTCCTTCCGAAATTAGACATCCTGTTAACTTCTATTTTAAATCTTGTTACTATTTCTGAGAGCTCCTACTACCTGCCAAAAATCAAATTAATGAATTGAAAAGCGGTCGTGGTTCTTTTGATAGATATTTCATTTATCTTTACGTTGATGTAGTTTCTTTTAGGTGCCGAAATATATTGAAACGCTTTGTGATTGTGTTTCCTTCCCTCATTTTCTTTCTCGAGTTGAGTACTACAACTTGGAGATGCTTTCAGCTTGACCTTGACCGAGTATTCATCATAATTTTGGCGTGCCTACCTAGATGTATTCATAACAATTGTAATTTTTTTGATTTCTCGTGATTCTACATCTACTTGCTTCGTACTCTTTGCGTTTAAGCTGTTGTAACGTCTCTCTCGCTTTGCTAGAGCTAGTGGCCATCGGGTACCGGACAAACCCTGCATTTTTTCTTTTTTGATCAGCAGGAGCAAACGTCGAAACGAATCAATTGATTCATCATCATTTGCGACTTCCTCCTATAATCAGCAGCTATGGCAGAAGAAGACTTTCATACAAACTCAAAAGCAGACACGAATCCTTGACCTTGACAGAAGTAGCTTCGCTGAGTAAATTGTTCCTAGAACAACTAACTGCTATTCATGACTAGAAAGCGATCTCAGATCGAAAATTGTGTGTCTTTTGTTTTCGCGATGACTCCAAGGTAGGAGGAGACGAGTGATAGGCTATAAACCCATCCTCATGAATAATTATGGTTATACTCTAGACTTTTAGTTCTTCGACATCAACATGATGATATGATCCTACCCCCCGTGTTCATCGTGTGCCAGGTGGCTCTTGTTCTTCTTCCCTTGTCTTCTTTTCCGCCTGGCGGGAGCTATGTTTTTTCAGCATAAACTACAAAACATTAATAAGTATATATAAGTACTATGTCTATGCCTATGGTCAAAATGAATTAGCAGCAATCAAAAAAAACCTGATTGATTATAATGTCGAATCGAAAGGGACAGGGTTATGCCTTCCCTTGTGTCGTCTTCTGTGTTGGCGTCGTCGCGGTTAGAACACTTGCCGCTAATGCCTCTGATTTGGATTTTGCTGCTGCCACAAAAGCGTCGACGTGCGGCTGTGCATTCTCTTTCCACCACGTCTTCGCTTGTCGCGTTTTCAGCTCCACTATAATTTTCGTCTCACCACCGTACTCTTGGACAAGCTCCCATACTGTGTCCGCCACTTGTGCTGCCGCGTCCCTTGCCGTTGCGTATGAATCTGCTAATCTCTTAGTAATATCCGAAATTCATTTCCCAGCAGTCGAAAAATCAAGAACATGTTCGTGGCTGTGGAGGTTGCACTTGCAAAAAAAGCCTGTGAATATATAATGCACTATCTAAGATATTAAGTCTAGGAGAGAAAAAAGCAAAAAGTACACGGCTGTTGTAGGTCACTGCGGATGCGGAAATGAATTATGAGCCTCCGTAAGGTCCCTTTCGAAACCGCGCCAAGTCTGCTTCACACTCGACAGCATCTCGACGCAGCCTCGTTCGGAGTCGAACTCCGGTCCCAGAACGGCGCTCGAGAGCGCGTTCGAACACGGGACTTCGAACAGCAGAATCTCCTCTGCAGGCCGAAATTTGTCTTTACCACTGTCAAACACGAGAGCTGCATACTCAGCAGGTACCAGAACACTTAGAACAACGGATGAAGCAGAACTCGCACTACTGGCGATTCTGCTGGTACTGGTAGTGCCGATGGGAGTATTTTCACTCGCTGTTGGCGACTCTGCTGACGTTGACGAAGTACTAGCTGTTGGAAGAGGACCAGCGCCACTCCCTGCAATCGCTGCTGACGCTGTCCGAGGTTGCACAACAAGCACAACTCGCAATGCTATTGCGAGTAGGACAAAGCTAAGGGAAGAACCGGTTATCACCATCTTGGCTAAGCAACTGAAACTGCAGATGCTCCGTCGTTTGGTGGAGTTTGCTGCAGCTGAAGATGATATTAGTAGAGTGGGTCGACTTGATGTAGGGGATGAGGTGCTACAATAATTTGTTTCAATATTCCCTTCCGGCACAGCGGGAGCAGCTGCTTGTCGCGCCTGCTCTCCTTGGTTAATACCAGTAGCAGTCGCAGAAAAAGATTCCGTCGCCACAGTGCCAGGTGACACTGGCGTCATTTCCATCAGACCGGAACGCGGGGTGCCTCCTGCTCCTGCTACCCAACCGTTGTTCAATCTGTTACAGCTAGCTGGCGTTTTTATCTCACAATTCAGTGTGCTTGTATGCCCACCGGGCGATGACGATGACGCTGGGGCTAAAGGAGAGGCGCCGTTTGCACCCGCTTGCGACACTGCTGAAAGTGGTCCTGGGGAAGCGGAGTCTGGAGCTGCGGTTCGCGCAGCCGCCGACGCAAATGGGGTTCTGAAGGTGCTCGCTTCGCTAGTTCGCAGCCCCAAAGGTGGAGCGCCTTCTCCTGTATACGAAAACGGTTTCCCGGAGGTCGACGCCGGAGTCGCGACGTCCCCGGAGGAAGCAGACGAAGCCCCTGGTGAACCCGCACCCGGGTGGAAGCCGTGCTTTGGTAGAGGCTGTGTGGTCCTGCCAAACTCGTCGCCTGGAGGCGCGGTTTTCGTGCTTGATGACGATATCGTCTTGCTTTGTTCAAATATACGGCGAGCCCGCTCGACCGACCCCTTGCGAATCACACCTCGCTGCAAGCTCTGTATCTATGTTGTTGTTGAAATTCACGTACTATCGCAACTGGAAGTGGTTTATCCGCCTTCTAAAAAAGAAGAAACTCTAACTGGTACTGGCACTGTTTCAGCTTTTATACATGATACCTTCGTAAAACGAAAAAGACAACGCCCGGTCGAAAAATATCAATCAGTCCTCACGCAATATCAGAAGTCAGATACTCAAACAGGATTTGGATCATATGTATGTATACCCCACTGTCGTTGACCGAAGTAGTGGGCGCGTCACTGCCATTGCGTGCATTTGGAGGCGAAGCCCTGCTCTTATTTCGCAAAATCCCTTGGTCTAGAACTGGTTGAGTCGCCGATTGAAAATGCCCGCCGTCGCGCTGAGACACCTCATTGCTGCGCTCGCGCATGTGCCCTGGACCCAGGCCTGCCTCAACCTCAGACGCCTCCGAATCCCGCGCTACTCTTCTTGGCGCTGCAGGTGTATGTAGGTTGAAAAAAACTGTAGAATTATCTTGATCATTCACAAACATGAAAATCTTCCATCAATGATAGATACCCGAACAAGGCTGTTGTTCTAAACTAATAAAGGAAAAGGTGGCCTAGGGTGGTTTAGGTGGCTTAGGGCGATGGCTTAGGGGGTGGCGGTTTAGGGTGGCTTAGGGCGGTGGGCTTATGATGGTTGGTGTAGGAGTAGGGTGGTTGTTTAGGGTGATTGAATAATCCACATCCAGTTCGTAACGAACTTAAGAGTCGTGAAAGTTGTACCAGCTGCGTCCCAGCCGGGCGGCGCTTGTTGGCGCGTACTAGGACTAGGAAGCCTTGTTCCTGAGCGTTCACGTTCTGAAGCTGCACTGCGAAAACTTTCATGTGCGCGACTGAAGGAAAGTCCACTGCTTTCCAGTTCGTCGCGCTGCTTCTCCAAAAGCCGCAACCTCTCCGCAGACCGTTCTCGGAGCGCAGATAAACCCGCCGAAAGCCTACGACATGAGATGAGGTGGTATTGATTCAGCGTGGGATCCAGCAATCTAATAGTTCTTCATGTTTTTTCAAGTCTCGCTCATGCATATCGATAAAATAAGTGAGCAGTACGGCGCTACAACCTTCTTTCGTGCATCATTTGCAACATGGTCCCAGCATCGCATCGATCATTCTTTTTCTTTCTAGACGTTTAGCAGGCACTATAAGTTTGAAAATTCAGTAAAATAACGGCACGTTGGAGAGACACGTCACGCCCATAACCAAGCAGAAATCGAAGATAATAGATCACATAGGTAGAAGAAGCACGACTTATAGTATTTATATATGATATTCCGAATATTCGGCACCTCTGCAATAGAGATAGGGTACTACCTGCTTGTGAGTCTGCTAGAGGAATCCGTCTCGTTTGCTTTCGTATTGTCGTTCTGCGCGGATATTGTCTCAGTAGTATTCGCTTGGTTCTCTTTGTCCACCCTACTCCTATCGTTAGAAAAACGCCTATTGAGGGTTGCCTTCGCCTGGCCCAGTCGTGAAGATGCCTGATGGTCGTCACAGTGCGCTAGATTGATCACATGTCACAGGTGATGGTTCTTGTAGAATGCTGATCTTAATACGGAAAAGACTAAAAACAAAGCGATCGCTCTCTCTTTCAAGCTACAACTTGTTTTTGTTGTGCGGAATCTTTGACTGCGATGTTCATCTCATGAGAAAATTATTTCGATTACTCTGCCAGGGCTATGCTACTCCCTGTTTGTCTATGCACACAACTGCGATTGCGAAGATTCAACATTATAAGACAGGGGTGCGCTAGATTCGCACCGATGAATGAGTCATCTATCCAAGTCCAAAAGAAGATACCTATGAATGTATTTATTTGCAAATAAATCAGAGAGAAATAAAATGAAAGGACGAGGAAACTAGACATATATAATTTACTATAGCATTATAATGTGAACAAGAATCATGTAGCTGGTCACTAGCAGTACCCCCGCTGAATCCGTGTAGGAGCTTTTTGTGCGTTCGGCGGAAGGAATGCGATTTGACGCTGGCATCAGTGTAGACGTCAGCGGCTTCCGCTCACCTGAAAATTTTCGCTCTAGAGACGGCCTACGTTCTACGGATGGTGCTCTCGCCCGCTCCAAGGATGGTCTACGTTGTTCTAGAGAGGGCCCTCTAGCGCGCCCCCCCGTGATAGTGCCAAACTCAACACTCGGCCGTCGCGTTGTCGCGCCGCTCGCTGGAACGTTTGTGCCGAAGGTGGAGCGCCCTGGTGATGGTCCTCGGCCACTGTGAAACCCTGTTGCTGTCCTCGTGGATGCAGAAGCCGAAAAGACGCTGGTGCCGGGACGGGTGCTTGGACGTTCCGCACTGCTTCTCTGCACGTTGTTGAGCCGTTCTTGACTACTGGGCCGACAAAGGCTTGCACCTGATGAGCGAATGCTGCTCAGCACCGAAGCCTGCAGATAAAACAGTTGTAGTTGTAAGCAAAGGATGATGCACGTGCTGTCGTGGGCGATCATACACGATATTCATATTATCCGGTTCCGGCTATAGTTCTCTTCAACCAACATCATCATAAGCTAAACCCTTCTCTACGTAATACAAGACGTGCTAAAAAGAAAGAGCGGCCTGACTTCTGGTTGCAGGTCTGCGTCCTCTAAACCAATCTATTTACTTATAAAGTTTTGCCTTTGTTTTCTTTTCTTATTTTTGATTTTGATTTTTCTTTTTTGATTTTGATTTTTCTTTTTTGATTTTGATTTTTCTTTTTTGATTTTGAATTCTCTTTTTGAATTTTGAATTTACATTTTGAATTTTGATTTTTCTTTTTATATTTTGAGCTTACATTTTGAATTTTGAATTTAC